GCATGCTGTGGCAGACAATGGGCGCATAATCACGTGATTTTCCGCCCAAAAAAATGGAAGCCTTCCCCAAATCATCCTGGTATCATTTCTATCGGTAAATACACTAGTTAAGCATGAATTTGAGCTTAGAAAGCCCAAAATGCACCCTGCACAATGGGACTGGTAATGCACTTGATCCCATCATTTGGCGGGGTCTGCTGCGGGGGGTGCCACGGGGGGTGCTGCGGGGGGTGCTGCGGGGGGTGCCGCAGGGGGTGCCACAAGGGGTGCCGCAGGGGGTGCCGCAGGGCCCGCTGTGGGGTCAACCACAGGAGCAGGGGTAGGGGTGCATTGCATCATATTTTGATCTATCTATTCTCGCTGTGGTCATAGCATGCAGCATAATTATCCTTCATTTTGCCAGGAGTTTGGAGGCTGTGTCTGGGGTTGGTCTGCAGCTACAGCCATGTGACTCCCTGATGCTTTGGCAGGGGCTGGGATATCAAAACTGTGCAAATTTACCTAAATCTTTTGGCTTGGCTTGGGGCACTGATATATATGACTTGGTTCATTTTAGCATGGTCTGCTCAAGCTGTCAGGTCAAACTAAAAATTTGAAAAATGTGCAACTTGATTTGTTAGGCAAATCTCCCAAGTACATGCTCCAGGGACAGCCAACATCATCAACAAGAAATGGCTAATGTTTCTTTTCTTTGTCTGTTTGCTTCAGGTAGTCTGTCTGCACTCAAATTTTTCTCTCCATTTGCAGCATATTCCGTGGAGGTGTCATAATTGTTGATTTCCGGATTTCATACTTCTTGTCTACACACCATTTGGGCCCTTTACTGAATCCAATAATACTGTAGACTCTTACAATGGATTGAGCAGGACATTTGTCAATTAAATCCTTGCAGGGGTTGGGGGGGGGGGGGGTCAACCACAGGGGGTGCCGCGGGGGGTGCCACGGGGGGTGCCGTGGGGGTGCACAAGCATCTGCCAGCCTATCAAATGTGGATCAACTACAAAATCACTTTCCAAAGCTTCTGTACTGCAACCCAAGTGACTTCTAGGTAACCTTTACCCAATCCCAGTGAAACAACTTCACTGCTCTTGTTTCTGGGTGACAATTGATTTTATGAGCTTGAGTGTGTATGCACCCTTTTTAGTGGGAAATGAGGCCATGTGATGAGAGGTAGGGCACCGAAACATTGTAAAATACTATATTCAACATGACCGGTGGCCCATGTCTCTTCAAACCAGCCCATATCTCATGTTTATCAAGACCCTATTTTTCGGACTCATTTCAAGTTTTTGAATAGTTCCAGGGTCCAGGGCTCTCAGAATTTGTTTCAGACACTGCCAAAGAGTATATCATTCAGCTGTATTGAATTGCTTGTGTGTAGAAAAAATATTTTTTGCCATACCCAAAGTGAACCATGTTGAACCATTGTCTACATAGGAACCTTGAGCAATGGTGAACTCTTTTCATGTTTCGAATTTTAGGTGGACAAATGATATGAAGTATCTACATATTCAATAAGAATAGCAGAAGGAGACCTTATTCCGATGGTTTTCAGCTGCATAACTGTAGGAACAGTGTTAGAAGAGCAGTAAACACTTAGGTACGACGTTTATACAGGTTCTGATTGGCTAGTGACTTGACGTGTTCCGAGCTGTCAGTTTACATAATCTTACATATAAGAAAATCACGGGGACAAGGCACCGGTGCAGCGGGGGGTGCTAGACTGGCGGGGGTGCCGGCGGGGGTGCCGGCGGGGGTGCCGGCGGGGGTGCCAACAGGGGTGCGGGCGGGGGTGCCAATGGGGGTACCAGCAGGGTGCAGGCAGTGGGTCATGGCAAGGATGTGTGCAGCCCCAGAGGTAGGAAAAGTAACCATCTATGTCTCTACAGTCTATCTTGCAAATATACGAGCTCTGAGTGCACAGAGTGTTGTATATGAAATTTGAAATTCAAATATTACCAATCTCTGACTATTGTGAGGCAACTTGCTGGTGAATCCATTGTCTCATATTCCACCTAGGAATCAATTCAGGGCATGTCAAATCCACTCTATTACATCTGTTCATGTTGCAACTAAAGCAAACTGCTTGTAAAGTAACACAGAACAGATGAACTTCAATGAGTCCCAGACAGGAAGTGTGACATTAGGTGCATAATTAACGTGTGGTATTATCCACTGGGTAAGATTAGACTGTGCCTACAGCATGATCAGTTTACCAATGGGCATGTGTATAGAATGAGCAGACGAAACAATCAATGAGTTGACAGTGGACCCGATGCAGCCCATGATGTCAGCCCACCTACCCTGCCAGCCAAAAAATGAACAAATCACACTTTCTTTTTAACCCTACATGCCTGGATTATGCAGACAATATTGCACAGTTTTGATATCCCAGCCCCTGCCAAAGCATCAGGGAGTCACATGGCTGTAGCTGCAGACCAACCCCAGACACAGCCTCCAAACTCCTGGCAAAATGAAGGATAATTATGCTGCATGCTATGACCACAGCGAGAATAGATAGATCAAAATATGATGCAATGCACCCCTACCCCTGCTCCTGTGGTTGACCCCACAGCGGGCCCTGCGGCACCCCCTGCGGCACCCCTTGTGGCACCCCCTGCGGCACCCCCCGCAGCACCCCCCGCAGCACCCCCCGTGGCACCCCCCGCAGCAGACCCCGCCAAATGATGGGATCAAGTGCATCACCAGTCCCATTGTGCAGGGTGCATTTTGGGCTTTCTAAGCTCAAATTCATGCTTAACTAGTGTATTTACCGATAGAAATGATACCAGGATGATTTGGGGAAGGCTTCCATTTTTTTGGGCGGAAAATCACGTGATTATGCGCCCATTGTCTGCCACAGCATGCAATGGATCAAGCAACACCTCCGAAATCATGCCGAATGGTGCACAAAAGGTGCCCCAAAAGTCACGTGATAATGCGCCCACTGCCCGCCATGGTGTGCGGGGGGCCAGTAGCGCCCCCGCCAACCCCCGCCAACCCCTGCTAGCCATTTTTGATAATTTTCATGCGGTGCATCACGTGATTTTTTTACCCCGCCATCAGCCGCCATCCCGCCCATTGGATGTGTCATGTGATTCATTTTTTTTTTCGCGCCCACCTGCCCGCTCCCAATGATAAATCACATGACATGTACAGACCCCCCCCTGCTGACCCCCGCATATGCCCCCGCCCCCAAATGGACCAAATCCCCCCCGCGGGCCCCGCAGGGGGGTACCTGTTAGGTACCCTCAGAGCTACGTCTGAGGGTACCCAGGAGGACCCCCGCGGGGGTGCAACCGGGTGATGGCGGTGGTAACTGAGGTGAGAACCTTCTGGAGCATATTTCACACAGTCTCAATGTACAGATAACCCCTCTGAACCCCCAACCTGAACCGTATGATACTGGGATCTGTGATAAGATAGCCCAATGCCAAGATAAGATGATCAATCAATGAAATGATGTGAAAAATGATTGAACTATGAGAATGGACACAGATCTTTGTTCTTGGCACCTTCAAACTTTGAAAATGCACAAGGCCTGGGGAAGTGTTACACTGAACATGTATATTTTGGGTGTCAAATAGCTCAGTTTTTATACCTGCTTTCATCCAAGCCATATTTGAATCTTTTCTTGGTATTTGAATGTCCCTCACCTCATAGGTATTGCTCCAGATGTGGTTCAATCACTGGTTTTCATAAGCTGGATGAACTGATGGCTGGATGGACAAACAACAGAATTGATCATGTGCTAGCAGCCCTAGTGTTGTTGATCAATTTCCAGGTTGAGCTTGCCAAGGCATTCTTAGGCACTGGAAAATTGTTGCAGAAGACCCCAGGTGCTTTGCTAGGTGGTATCCAATAATGTATGAAGATGAATCTCACTGCTATGGCATTTGGAAGACAGGAGATCCCTTCTATACTGGTCAGCATTCATATCCAACTCTTTCATGAGAGAGATTAGAACAGTCGGATGGATAGTTTGTTCTGTGGCAATGCTCTTGATATCAATGTCATGTTGACCTCACAACCCTCTTCCATACTTGCAATCATTTCTGTCTTGCCACCAGCAACGAGTCCCATCTTCAGAATTCATATCGTTGACTGGCAATACTGTACCGTGCCAATCAAATTGTCAGTCACGCGTCACAGGCTGCCTGACGAAGTCGAAATTTGTTTTGATGTCACGCATCACATGCTCAGGTGACGAATTCATTTTTCCGTTCAGAAATAAATAAGGCTTGTGGGGTTCAGCTGAAGTGTTAAAAATACTTGTGTACCCTTCCCTGTGTTGTTTTGAGTCTGTCTGGGGCTATCACACAGATAGCTTCAGATCAAGTTGCAAGCAACTCATAGGGAGGTGAATGCATGACCTGACGAAAAAATCAACATGTCACATGTCATGGGGGGACCTGACGAATTGACGAATTGATCTTTTGTGTCACGCATCACACCCCCTGACGATTTGATTGGCACGGTACAGTAATTGCTGTTGAGCGCGTATTCAAGTCCCAAATCGCGGCCTCATCATGATGCTTTCCTTACCAAGTTTACGTCAGGGCATCGCCAATCCTTTTCCCCTTCGCCTCGTGATTTTATCTTTAAAGGCGCTTCAGGCTGCTCCAGAGACGGAGTCGTGACCGGGCCATTCTTGGCCTGACCACTACTTAGCCGTCCTAGCCGTCACGAGAGTTCAAGGCGTCATTTGCCATGATCATGCCGTCGGCGGGTTCACGGCGATGATCATTCCAGTCCAGGCGCTACTCCCACTCAGACGTAATGGAAGTGGTCAAAAGTGCCCAGGACTGGTCGCCTGACAAATTCTGAACTCCGCTTGGAAACTTGAGATCATATGGAGTTATGTACCATCGTACACTAGGTCTTTCATGGCATTATAGTCGCCTGCGCCTACGCATATTGTACTTATAATCCACGTAAACTACAGGGTCGTGTTCCTTGCTATCCGGAAAGCACTGGGCTCGTATGCAATGCGAATGTGACTGCAAAGTCATTGCTTCAAGAGTCGTTACGCGTGACTACAGACGCTTTCCTCCTCCCTTCACGGCCAAGGCCAGAATCGATGGCCTTGCTGCAACTCTAAATGGACACAACCTCAAACCATACTCAGGCCAGTAGCAGCACGAGTGAAACCAATCAACCAGAGCTCCGCACGAGCGCCAGAGTGAAAGCCGCAAAGCAGAAGGCGAGGGACAAGGCAGACGACTCCGAGCAATCAACCACCGCGCAACCCCAGACTCGGTCCAAACCCAAACGCAGCAACAAGAATAAATCGAAAGACACCTCTGAATCCGCCGCCACCCGCCCTTCCAAACGGTGTGTGTTCTATCGTTGCGCCCTACCCGATTTCGGGTCGGGTGCACTGTACGACTGTAATGAGTTCTGATCCTTTGCTTTGTGTCTTTCGTTTACAGCGCACGTCGGAACATACCGGCAGCACAACCCGCGCTGAGTATCAACGAGCCCGTGAGCGATCCCAAGGGAAAGAAGCGCGCAGTACCCGAGCCGAGCTCCGACGACGACCCCACTGCTGGATCCTCCCCTAAACGAATCCGTACCACATCTTATTCACTCCGCTCAAGCACCACAACCGTGAAAGACTCCACTACCGAAATGCCGAAAAAATCACGGTGAGTCGCGCATCTTCCGCATCTGTCCATCTCCGAGTGCTTACAAACCTGTGCTTCTTTTCGTCTTTCCTTCGTTTCCGCCATACAGTTCAGCAGCAAAGGGGAAGCAACCGGCCAAGTCGAAAGCCATGACCGCTGCGGGCTCATCGAAGATCGAGGACGAGGACGTCGAGATGATGGATGCTGAGATGAAGGATGACAACGAGAATGAGGATGGGGATGGGGGAAACGAGGAGACGGGGGATGTCGCGATGAATGAGGATCAGCTGAACCACGATGATGATGATGACGACGACGACGACGACGGAGACGACGGTGATGGTGGTGGTCCCCTTGGCACTGGCGGAAGTCCGCCAATTCCTGGGGGCTTGGACGAGAGTGCGGCACTGGCCATTTTTGGTGATTACCATCAATTTGGATCGTACATGATGTCGCTCTCGTCTCGGCTCAAGACGATGCTGAATAACATCAAGCCGACCGCAGACCCCACAACACGGCTTCTGACGTTACAGGAGCTCAGTGAGTTGTTGAGCATGAGCACTGAAGACACTCTTGCGGGGTCGTTCCAGGTTGAGCAGTTCGTGAAGGAGTTGGTGAAGATCCTCGGAGGACGCGGGAATGATGAGGACGAAGATGAAGACGGAGATGGTGATGACGGCGGTGGGCAAGATGAGGATGCCGCCCTTGCTGCTGCCCTTGCTATAAGTGGTGGAGGATATCAAGGCGACGAGAATCTCGAAGCCCAGGTGCTCGCTTGTCGCTGCCTTGCCAATCTCATGGAGGCGCTTCCGGGCGTCGCGCACACCGTCGTTTACCATGGGGCCATTCCTGTGCTGTGCAGCAAGCTCATCGAAATATCATACATCGATTTGGCGGAGCAGACACTCAGTGTATGTTCTCCCTCACTTCGTGCAATGTGGTCTATTCAACTCATGTGCAGACTATGGAGAAGATCTCCGAGGAGTTCCCTAGCGCCATCGTCCGCGAGAATGGTCTTTCCGCATTACTCAACTACCTCGACTTCTTCTCTATCGCCGTTCAGCGGACAGCCATCCAGGCCGCTTCAAACTGCTGCCGAAATGTTTCTCCTGAGCACTCGAAACAGATTCGTGAAGTGTGGCCAATCATTCGGAACTGTCTGTCGTATTCAGATCAGCGACTGGTCGAGTTTGCGTGCATGTGTGTCATCCGGGCGATTGACTCGTATCATCGTTCCTCAGTCGAGAACTTGGAATTGCTTGTGGACGCTGACCTCATCCGGGCGGTCAATCAGTTGCTGATACCCGCCGGCGCGCCACTAGTCACCCCCAACACGTACACACTTCTCGTCCGTGCACTGGGTACTGCTGCTCGCGCGAGCCCCAAAATCACTATCGCATTGCTCGAGGCCGATATTGTCGACACTACGTATCAGATCCTCACTGGTGTTCTTCCCTCAGCCAGTGCTGCAGCGGAGCAAGGAAGTGCCAGCGGTGGACAGGGTCTGGGCGGTGGTCTGGCCGACATGACGGTCATGGAGAATCTGGCCCATCGTCCGAAGGATCAGATTGAAGAGACTCTCAGTCTTGTGTCTGAGTTGTTGCCCCCGTTGCCTAAAGGCCGGTTCTTTCTCTTTGTGCTTTTTGTGACTCATTGTGACTCAAACCGTCTACGTAGATGGTGTCTTCGATCACAAGTCCTACACTGAGAAGGCCCTCGGTCGTATGATCAAAGCTAAAGCTAAAGCTGAACGGGCTGCTGCACGACAAGCCGTCCAGGAGTCCTTGGCCGCTGCCATGCTCATTGACTCTGCTCCACTCGCTTCAGAAAGCTCAAAGCCGACCTCGTCTTCGGCCAGTCAGGATGATACCATGTCTGCTGAGACCGCAGTGGCGGAGACTGAGGAACACGTCGGGGGAATTGTGCCTGCTCCGGACCGGACCGATATGCTGCGCTCGAAGCCAGCTGTCGTTGACCGATTCATGGATCTGATGGTGCCCATCCTCATCGATGTGTATGCTGCGAGTGTCATCACTCCCGTTCGGGTCAAGACTTTGACGGGCCTTCTCAAGGCAGTCAGCTTTCTGGATGCGGACGGTCTGAAACGAGTTCTGAGGGTGCGTGGGTGAGACGCCCTATTCCGTGTGAGTACTCATTCTTTCTTAGTTCGTTCCTGTCGCGAGTTTCGCGTCCTCGATCTTGTCTTCGAAAGATCACCCAACCCTGGTCATCGGCGCGCTGCAGATTGTAGACATGCTACTTGCCAAGATTCCCACGCTCTACAAGCCGGCCTTCAAACGCGAGGGTGTATTCCACGAGATTGAGACTCTTTCCTCCCGCACGATCGTGTCGTCCAAGTCGAAAGACAAGGAGTCCAAGGAGAAGATGACCGATAACTCTGATTCCGCTGTGCCTTCGTCAGATGACACTCCCCCGCCGCCTACCGCTTCGACCAGCAGTGCCATTAGCATGGCCGCCACCCTACCCGGTTTCAAGAAGCTTTCGTCTCTCCAACTTGAGCCTGAAGACGCCATCACTCTCCGGGCACGCGTCATTCAGTTCAGGTATCTTGCTGGTGACGATAAGGCCGACGGTGAAGGCTCCTTCAGTGTTTTACAAAGTCTCGTGACGCGTCTCACTGTCGATGGAACGGAGTCGGAAGCCACCCAGGTGTTGCACGACTTGGCAGATTTGTTCGATGCCACAATGTCCACCGTGTCTAGCTTCGAGCTCCTGCAGAGCGGTCTTGTTGATAGCTTGTTGTCCTTTGCCACAGATGCTGAGCGTAAATGTGAGTGTTCGGGTTGGAGACGATCTTCCTCATGTCGCTGATTGCCGCGTTGTAGTGAGCGTGTCCCGTCGCAAGGAACTTCTGCTCGATGCGTTTACTGCACGAAATAGGACGGGTGCATTCGCCACATTTGTCAAGAAACTGCAGGAAAGTCTAACTCGAATGGAGTCATTCGAAGTGGTGTCAGTTGGGCAGGGGACCGACGGTGTGTCTCTAGTTTGTTTTTTTCTCCTGAATACTGAGAGAAGAAATGTAGACTCGAAGCGCAGCTCGCCGTCCCTGTTAGCTCGTCAACTTCGTCTTCGTTTAGTGGCGGAGGATGATTCGGACATTCCGCGGAATCTTCACAATATCGTGGTCTCGATTCATGCGATAGCTACTTTCCAGGCGCTTCATGATTACCTTCGACCTCGAGTGTCCGGCTTGTTGTCTGGAGGGTCCCGTCTCTCGGGGATGCTCGCAGCACTGGCTGCATCTGGCTTTGGGGCCGCATCGAGTTCTCGTACACCTGCTGACGAGGCACCCCCAACATCAACATCGAATGGAGCAGCAGCTTCCACCTCTTCTGGTTCATCGTCAGCTGATTCCGGCTCGACCGTTACACGTCGTCGTAGCCAGCGCCTGAGTGCGAAGAAGGGCTCAACATCGGAAACACCCGCTGATCCGATTGAAGCAGATCCGCAAACTGAATCCTCAGCCGAGCCATCCGACACTGCGGCTGCTGGCCCGAGCTCGGGGCCATTCCCTGTCGCTGAAGATTCCGGTCTTGCGGCTGAATTCACGGATGACGAAGATGAGGATCTGGGTGTGTTCGATGATGAGGCTGATCCTGATAATTCCATCGCCGACAAAACTGTGACTTTGTCTATCGCGGAGGACGGGTCGAAAGTGGAGGCTCAGACTCCGGATGGAACGCGCGTTGCGACACCAAGAGAAGCACCAGCGTCCCGGCCATCACCTGCACGACCATCTTATGCCGCTGCACTGAAGGCTAAGCCGACGGATTGGCACCTCGAATTTTCGATGGACGACCAGACTTTGCCTTTGGATTTGACGATCTACGGGGCCATGCACCAACACGAGATCCGGAAGAAAACGGGGGCACTGCCACCGAATCTTATCTGGCAAGGCGTCTACACCATCAAGTTCAAGAAAGTGACGGGCCCAGCCCCGTCAGCAGCCGATCCTCGAACGGATGTCGGAGAGTGTAGCTCGAAGGGACGATCACTAAGTCCGACACTGTCATCTTTGCCTGAGGATGCACCCCATGCCAAGATCCTGCGTCTGTTGCGGGTGCTGCATCAGATCAACATGTTGGAGACCGAAAGATCAGCATTTGCTGGAGAGAGGAGGGACCTTCCCGAGTCCGCCTTTGTGAACAACAAGTTGACTGCGAAGCTGACGAGGCAGCTAGAGGAGCCGATGATTGTTGCCAGGTACGTTGCGCCGGTCCCGCTGCTCGTATATTAACTTGACAATCCGCTCTTAGTTCGTGTCTGCCTGATTGGGCACTGGATTTGCCGCAACACTTCCCGTTCCTTTTCCCCTTCACGACAAGATATAACTTCTTGCAGTCGACCTCCTTTGGCTACGCGCGTTTGATCCAGAAATGGCAGAGCCAGCAAACTCGCACGCAGGATTCCTCGCGTCGCGATGACGGGATCGGGTTCCTCGGAAGACTGCAGCGGCAAAAAGTCCGCATCTCTCGGAAACACATCCTTGAGTCTGCAGTGAAGGTGTTCGAGCTGTATGGATCTTCGTCGTCTGTGCTGGAGGTCGAATATTTTGAAGAGGTCGGAACAGGGCTGGGTCCCACCCTTGAATTCTACTCGCTTGTGTCGCGGGAATTCGCACGCAAGGATCTCAAGCTTTGGAGAGATGCTGACACTTCAGGAATGGGAGCCTATGTCAGTCATCCATCGGGATTGTATCCTGCGCCATTGAACACTCAAGATCTCAGCAACGATGGTGTACAGTAAGTTATCTTTACTGTCTCCATCCCACCTGTCTCAATGATCAACAGGAAACGCACACACATATATCGGATTATCGGCCAGTTTGTGGCAAAAGCAATGCTCGACTCACGCATCATCGATCTTTCGCTCAACAAGATCTTCCTCAAGATCGTCCTGGGTGAAGAGGTCCCTTTGACGATTGCGACGCTCAAGGTATATGTGATGCAAACTGTGATCTGGCACTTCTTTTGACCATTTCATCAACTTAGTTGGTCGACATCTCGTTGGCAAACTCTCTCGAAAAGATCCAGAACATCGTTGCGGCTGGGCCAGTGCCGGAAGACGACAAGCTGAAGCGAAAAGTGGCCTTGATCGAGACCGTGAGCATCGACGACTTGGCGCTCGACTTCACCATCCCTGGATACGATATCGAACTTCGCGTGCGTCTTGCTTCTCTCTTTTCCCTTCGATTACTGATATCATCCAGCCCGGAGGCTGTGATACCGCGGTGACCAAGGACAACGTCGATGAATATATCCACGAGGTTTTGGAAGCGATTATCGGCCAAGGAGTACAGCTGCAAGCCAAAGCATTCCGTGAGGGATTCTCGAAAGTATTCCCGATCACCGATCTGCAGGCGTTTTCTGCGGACGAGCTGGTGCTGCTGTTTGGTAACTCGGACGAAGATTGGTCGCCAGAAAGTGCGTTCTCCTCTCTGAACACCAGCGCATTGGCACTAACTATCCCTGCAGTGCTGAGCGAAGCGGTCAAAGCTGACCACGGCTTCAACGGAGAAAGTCGAGCGATCCGGGATCTGCTGGACATCATGTCTGAGTATGATGTCAAGACGAGGAGGAGTTTCCTGCAGTTTGTTTCCGGGAGTCCGAAGTTGCCCATCGGAGGTGCGTTTGCTTGCTATTTCGACTGAAGCATCTCTCATTTGTTCCTATGTCTACAGGCTTCCGAGGCTTGAATCCGGCGCTCACTGTCGTTCGGAAACCTCACGAGGCACCGTTGACGGCAGACGACTACCTTCCGAGTGTGATGACCTGTGTCAACTACCTGAAGCTGCCAGAGTATAGCACGAGGGATGTGATGCGAGAGAAGTTGCGTGTTGCGATGTCGGAAGGTGGTGGGAGCTTCCATTTGTCTTGAGCTGTTTGTATGCATGAACAATGAGTAATATTAAGAGGAATTGAATCAAGGCACTGGATACTGTTTATGACATGCGCGCGCGCATCTCCCTTGATGATAACCCACTGCTCGACGACGAGACTGGGTCAGTTGTATACCGAGCAGGGCGCCTCTTGGATCGGCAGACTGATTGAAGATCTTTCGAACGACGATCACACACGCTTACGGGGTAGTCTGAGGGGGCAGTCTGAGGGGACATGATGCGTTGGCTTGAGACATCAAGCTCGTCCGCATTTGACTGGTGTCACAGCTCGACACAAGTACGTTATTCCTGAAGATCTCCTCGCATGTGTCATCACTGCTTGGCTGGCCCGCCGTCCCAAAGCCGGTGCGCACGCACGAAACGACGGTTCTAACATATCAATTACGATCAATGACCCTAGAATGTTGCCCTGGAATCTTAAGGTCTCCTTCAATGCTGGACAGTCCAAGTTTCATCTAGGATGGTCCATGTCTCTACTCTGAGATCAGAGAAACGCAATCGACTACATCATCGTCACGAAGCTATCTAACGCCCTGTCCTCCACATCCCACGTCTCTCAGGTCGGGTTGCCTCGCCGATTCCGTCGCACGTACGCCTCGTATCTCTCCGCTGCACGCTTCAGCCTCTCGAAGATTATCTTCTTTCTGTCTGGCAGCGGGAGCCCCTTTTCTTCCTGCGTAAACTCCGTCTCGATCTCCCAATCCTCACGCTCCGGCCATATCCTGCGCTCCCGTTTCTTCATCAATTTCAGCTGCGGGAGCGAATCTTTCAGAGGGGGCAGATCCCCGGACATCCCTCCCAATCTGTGCGTGTCCCAGAATTTGTGCGGATCTATCTCATGGCCCAGCACCCTCAGGTGCACCTCTCCGCCGCCGAGTCGCACGGTTCCATCCCGCCTGCGTTCAGTGATCCGTGGGTGGCCGCCGTCATCATAGACCGACTGCCCTCCAAGCGTGGTTGCATCGAGATCAGTGGCCGTCAGAGGCGGGCCGTCTGCGATCGACCCAGTGGGATTCCCTCCATGTTCCAATTCGTCCCACGCCGCAGTCTCCCCGGCGTCCTCCCCGATCCGGAAGGGATGCAAGAACTGCGAGGCAAACTGTGTCTCCACGTTGGAATTGGGCTCGAATGCGGCATCCAGTTCGAACTCGTCTGCGTCGAGATCGTGGGCGGTTTTGCGTCGTTTCGTCAAAGGGCCCGGTTCTTCAGCCTCGTGTCCTGCATCCGGTCGGTCTTGTTTGGTTCCCCGCGACCTGTTATGCCTGCGAGTATCGAATTCAGGCAGCAGGTAATCTTCCATGACCGTGTTCCACCGGTCGCGGTTGAACTCGACGATCGGGTGACAGTCATCGTCAAAGTACCGGTGCTGGAGGAGCGTCGAATACCGATTGTGCAGATTCGTCAACGACGGCCAGCCCACAATCACCCGCAGCACGCTGTGTTTCCCGCATCCATCGAGGACGGCCAGCTCATCCGCGGTCGCGTCGAAAGGTTGGGAGAAGTCGGGCCCAGAATAGTGGTCGATCATGCGTTTCATGAACGCTTTGTTTTTGCGGTCGAAGCCGGGAATCTCAAGCCGGTTCGGAAGGCTGTCCATGTCCTTGAGAATCTGGATCTGGTGTGCTGCCAGTGGTTGCGGCTCTTCGTCGGACACTGCATTCTTTGTCTGAACAGGCTAGTCAGCTTTCGTGATCTGCGGGGTACGATCCGGTCAGCTCACCCGTCGCTCGTAATAACCGTCCGGGGTGACAGTGGGGAGGGCCTCCTTCAATTTGCTGGGCTCGAGCTCCTGAGCGGCAGAGAATTTGGACTGAATGGCAAGCCAAATGAGCGATCGTTGCGCGTTGTGCAGCCGCAGGACCATCACGAGGTCTGGACCCATGAACTTGTCCGGGAAGCAGATTGACGCTCGCTCCAAATGCTGCATCCATCGGCGCGTGTCCGATATCGTAGATGCACAGTATCCGAGTGAGTTGCTTGGTCCCGACTGGTCGGTCACGGGCGAAACATCATATTCGGCGGTCCAAGACCGGGCTTCGACGGGGTCGTTTGGTCTCGAATCTTGATTAGTGCAGTAGACGGAGACCAGGTCGGCCGATGTTTCTGCCCATTCGGGGATCTTCAGCCCCTTGTGGAAGTGGAATATCTCCTTGAGCTTCGCGCCCGATTTGAATGCTACGGCGCAGTAGAACGCAATATATTCTTCGACGCCGTTGTTGCCCGCGTGGTTCTGCAGTCCCCCGACCGCTGCCTTGCGCAATATGGCTGCCAGAGGAGCGTCGCAGCTCTGGAGCCATTCCAGCAACGCTCTGAGCGCAAGGGGCTCGTCCATGAGCAGCCGCACGTCCTTTTCCACACCCATGTCGTTTTCGTCATAACGGGCCACGCCGTATTGCACCAATTGACCGAAATCCTCCAGCACTCTGCCGGTCCTGTCCTTGTACTTCAGAGGCATCATCGTGGATGTGATCTTCGACCGCATGCACATTTCCGGAACGTACGTGCGCACGAGTTCGACGAATCTGACATCTGCAGAACCGGTTCAGTCTCCGGCCACTTCTGCAAAGTCATTGAGAGGCCAAACACGCACTGTCTTTGATCTTTCCAAAGTCGAACAGCCGCTGTTCGCCAATGGTAATCACCAGCGGATCGCCGCGATTCGCCTCCAGCTCAGACTCCAAGTGGATGGCCCCATCCGTAGCATCGAACCCATCCGAGGTGAAACGGCCGAGGGTCCTGAGCAGAGGAGACTTGGTCGCAACTTTGATGAATGCGTTCAGCCTCATATGGGGCAATTGGTATCCGCTAATGAGAAGCTCTCGAATGAACGCTGAGGTAAATCGGTATCTGGGCAGAGGTTCAGTGGATCTACGTCTCACACTAAACAACCAGGATGCTCACCGTCCTCGCAACCAGTAAATGATTCGGTCAAAGAGGGCTTTGAAACTTGTTGTGGCGAGCAGATCCGTTGGAATGTACTTTTTCACATAATCGATATGGTCTGTGGGTTTGCTGAAGGCGCCGAAATGAGTGATCGGCCTGTAGTCATTTCCCATTTTGAGGAACTTGGAGGCAATTATTGCGTCTAGAAGGACCCGAGCCAGCGCAGTTCCCGTGAACACCACTGCGAGATTGTTCTCACGTGCCAACAACACTACGCCGAGCTCTCGAAGGACTGGTCGTGGCGTGGGTTTCGCATCGCCCTGCAGTTCATGAGAAATGAACGCGTTTTCTAGAGTCGTGATGGCAATTTGTGATTCATCAACAACACAGAACAGGCGATCATTGAGACCAAGCCTGAGGGAAGAGTGCAGAGTGTGCAACTTCTCTCCGGTCAACATGTTTCGATGATCTTCATCCAGGCCCAGGATCTTTTCGACTGTGGACTGGAACATATCACCGCCGTTGGGTCCACGAGGTGGGTGGAGTTGAAGAATAGTCCATAGTCGCCTATTTTTGGCACTATCCAGTGGCCCTGCCGGGTTGAGCTCCTTCAACACATCCAAAAACCATGTCAAGATACAGATCCGAGCAAAGAGAACCTCAGATATCCGGCTCCTCGCGATCTGACAGTTGACCCGATGGAGGCTACTGAGAGTCACATTTTCGTCCTTCTTTGCCGCTTCATCCAGATTCTCGACGAAGGCCGGATCTAGTTTGATGTGCTCGTTGAATGCGATCGAGAGATCGCAGGACCCCCGTCCCTCCGAATCGACTGCACAGGTCAGGTAGAATCCCCAGTGCCCACACAGTCCCTCGATCATAGTCTTTGTCTTCCCTGCCCCCGGGGCATTCACAACTGATCTGTAAGGACGGGCTGGATGAGCAAACTTCCAGCAAGGAGAATCAATTCAGACATACACGACAGGCGGTGGAGCTCTGGGAAAGATCTTGCGAATCGCACGATCCAGGCTGGAGTCCTTCTTCACATTGCCGAGGTCGTGAAGCAACATGTCAGGCACATTCTCGCCGCCGGGAACACGTGGAATCTTCAATCTCCTGAGAAACTTGGACTGTGGAAGGAGATGGCTGGGCTCCCACAGCGGAAGAGGGTCCTCCTGGGCAAGGAACCCACGCAAGATGTTCTTGACTTCTTCTTCCGCAGCCTGTAGCACTGCAACAGCTTGTTGTGGGGAGATCGGGATCACGAAGGTCATTACTGGGAAGAGGTCAAACACACAGCATGTGCACGAAGGGTGCGCTTAATACCTTCATCCAACACGAACTGGAAATCTACCTCCGCCACTTGAGATTTCCGGGTCTCTCCGAGGATCTTGTCGAGCAAAGTCGCATCCTCTTTGGCTCGAAGCGCCGGATTGGTCTGCAAGATAGAGCGCTTGCGGTCCCAGCTGGCGTACAGCTCGGCCGGGTCTCTCCCAATGTCCCGGGCGATGAAGGTGAAGATCCTATTGATGCTATCCAATACGGAGAGGTGAGGGCCAACTTCGAAAGCTGATATAATCGGCCTGAGAGTTCCATGGATCCGAGCGTTGAGCTCAGGCGTCGCCTTCGTCTGAGTCGGGCGATGAGCGCTTGTGCTGGACATGGGGGGAGCTGGATAGACGGAAGGAAGAGAGGGAGGAGGGAAGGAAGGAACAAACACGCGGCTGCCTATAAGCTGGCACCCACAAAAGACTGCCATGACAGATCGTTCGCACGGCTTCGGTGCATATGACGAGATACCTACTTGTACTAACAAAAAGCGCGGGAACATTCGGGTAACGATACCTGACGCACAAAACTACCTAGTCTGCGCGCGCGAGCTGAAACGGGAAGGTTGCGGTACAATTTTGATGGGAGTCTGGTTATCCCCGGAAGACTGCGGCGAGAGCATGACTGATTGGTACATTTGCTCGAACGCGTCAGTCATCGAGATCTGCACCGATATTTTGTAAAACTGTCCGGTGTTCAGCCCGACTATGGCCCGGGATTTTGTGGCATTCTTGATATGTGCTTGGCCTGGAAAGGACGCCATCACTCGCATCACAGGCGCTTCTGTCAACCGCGGCGGACGTTTCCCTTTCCTTCGAGCCACGGTCGGTGGTGGGACAGGGAGCGAGTGCAAACCGCTGATGGCTTTCTCCCTCATCTCTTCAGGCTTCGGGAAAATGTCAGCGGTCATGTCGGCAAAAGAAGCCAAACGTACAAGAGACAAAAACAGGGCATCATCATCTGCTCGAGAGATCATCTGGGTCAATCTCGAGTCCCTGAGCGTTGTCGTCGTCCCCAATGCCGCGACTACAGCTTGGACAAACGTCCCATCCGGAGTGCGAAACACGAAGAACAGATCGGCGTGCGGCAGATCGGGGAGACAGAATGGAGACCCATGTCGCTCATTGTGCGACAGCCAGCTGACCAGCTCATTGGAAGCGAATGGGGAAGCGGCAAGGCGAGAGGTCAATGCTTTGTCGGTCAGCCGATATGACTCCCCGCGGTACACGCTGACCAGCTCCGACGGGCGCTTCGCCCATTCAGGGGCACCACGCGGAAATGAGAAGATCGTTTTTGGTGCTGCTCGCGTGAAAGCGTGCGCGAGATAGATCACAAGCACACACGCAAATGTTTCCGGGTCCATGGGCGAGATGAGCTCCACCACATCGAGCAGTGACGTTGGCCTGGGAGAACCGGGATCGGAGGGTTCAGATTGTGGCGTTCGCACTGGACAGAACCACTGCGCTGCGGCTGCAAGAACGAGAAGCGGTTCGTCGAACACAATCTGCGAGCGATTCTCATCACAGAATCGACCAAAAGCATCTGCAACGAGCTTGATATGCTCAAGGCCAAACGGACGGCCATGGCTTCCAGTGGTTGCGTACCGAAGAAGGACCAGACGAATAGCAGCAGCGCGCAGAGAGTAGGCAGCTGATAGCAATTAGTGCTTCCGTCAAAGGACTTGGAGATCAGCCGTACGATGTTTCAAAACGGAGAAATTGATCCTGGGATAGATGATGTCAGCATCGACTGGAGCCTCCGCTCGGATGAAAGGATTGTCGTCGGGGGGATAGAACCCGGAAATCACGTAGAAGTGGGCACCTAGAATGCGATGCGGGCTCTTGAAACCATTCCTGAGCAAAGAATACATCAGGCTGTCGGTGATTCGATGTCTGGGCAACATTCAGGACAACTGCTGATCGCCAAACAGAAATTGACTAGCCTTCCGCGACAAAGTTTCCAGCAATGCGTCAAGAAATGTTGGCCGGCCTCCGAACGAGTGTAGCGGGGAGATAGCCATTGAGAAACGTAAGCCTTGTGCCGGGCTGCATCGTCGAAAGCCCCCGTGTCCGATATCCAGCGATGTAGATGGACGTGGGCAGAGCGCGAAAACCCATCAGAAGGAACATCAGTCCCCGCGACGATAAAAGAACATTCTTCGCTGGGGTAAACCGCAATGAGACCGTCCACAAGCTCTCGGAGGAGCGGATAAGAGGAACCATCGGGATCCCGCAGAAGGGCTCGGTCATGGAAATGATTGAAGACGACTTGAGCCTCATCGAGAATTATAAAGGGATGGAAGTCGTCTCCAAGTCGCTTCCGAAGTTTCGAGAGAAGATAGGAGAGATAGTCGGCGATAAAGTCGTCGTCCAGCTTCCGTGTCGACAGCAGAAGTTTTGCAAAGATATTGAGTCTGCTGCCCAGTGCTTCCGAGATCACTTGAAAGAGTGTCCAAAGTCTTCTATGCTCTGCCATGTCGCCTCCGCCTATCATTCGTACATCCAGAAACATGTCAAGCACGAGGAAACGACACAAGAGCAGTCCACCCATGCATCGATGAATTGCTTTGACGCGCCGATCTTGAGAGGTGTTTGAGAGATCGTAATGAAAGGTATGTGGCAGATGCATGGTGAAAACATCATGCAGGTCTCCAGCGCCGAAGCCGTCTACATCTGTCTCGCCGACAATGTAGAATCCCCAGCGTTGGCAGAGTCCCTCAAGCAACAGTCTCGTCTTGCCCGTTCCTGACGCGTTCACCAAGAACCTGCATCCAAAATATATATCAGAGCTGAAAACCTAGCATGCCACTCACGTATGCTTTCCTCGCGCAAAGATACGTTCCACTCTCGCTTTGAGAACAGAGTCTTGAGCGAAACTCCCCAGCTTCCACAAAAGAAGCAAAGGGGTGCGAGGGTTTCGCGGAATGGCGGGAATTCTCAAGGACGCGATGTGCGCTTTGTCCTCAGCGTCTGCAGTATCTGACGACCAGTCGAATATGGCGTGTGGGTCAACTTGGAGGGCAAAAGACTCCATAGATGAAGAGTAGGTAGCCAGTACGCGAGCAAGCTCAGTCGAATCCACTTGGCGTTGCAGGGCATCTGGAGCGCATGAACTTGGTATGCAGCGCAAGTGCTCAACAACAATACCCGACGCACCGTGCTTCCCGACCTCACCAAAGTCTCTTGAAGCATGCCCCTGCTTGAGGAGCAGATGTAAATCCTCATGTCGCGTCAGAACGCGCCGGCAGGGTATCGTGTTGGTATAGAGCGGATCCAAGGGTGTGCCGCTCTCAACGAGCGCCGCAACCACAATTCCCAGGGCCCGCGCAGCTTCATCGAGATCCTCCAAGTCTTCAAACACGTCGAGCTCGGGCAGTGGCCCCGGGTGTGCCATGGGCATCAAAGAGCATTCGCGAGGGACCGAGGGTATGTTGGTCGTTTACATATCTGTGGTGCTGGGTTGTGGTTAGGGTCAGATCTAATTCCCACAATCTTTCAAGCCCCATCCGGGCCAATGTAAATCGAGGCCGACAAATCTCTACAGTTTTCTCCAGGGCCGGGACAAAAGACGCACATAATTCTGAAGATTCAGCTCTGTACGGCCGTGAGGGACCCCAATGTTGAATTCAGGACACTCTCGTCACACACATGATGATGTGATGTCCCGTTCTCCAAATCTCAGTCTGGGTATCCTGCGTGGGATCTTCCCAATCTCTCACCAACTATCATGCCAGGCATTGCGATACTCGGTGCAGGCATCTTTGCCAAAGAAGGTGGGCCACACATCTGTTCGGGCCTTGCCAAAGGTCACTCGGCCATCCAGCCCACCTCCCCGCCCTTCACAAACTCGGGTCCAAGGCCCCTCCCCTCCTAGCAGTCTACTCTCGCTCCGAGAAAACCTCGCGTGAGTGTGCCGAAGCCGCCGCAGAGCTCGGTCTCGGCCCCGCACCCGCACCTGCGATCTACCACGACGCCGAGCCGTCCGCCAATCTCGACGCTTTGCTCGCACGGGCCGACATAACCGCCGTGATCATCGTCCTCCCCATCACGCTCCAGCCCTCGATCGTTCTCAAGGCCCTCGCGGCGGGCAAGCACGTCATCAGCGAGAAGCCTGTCGCTCCCGATGTCGCGGGTGGGATCAAGCTCATCAACGAATACGAGCAAAAGTACCAGCGCGATCTCGTCTGGCGCGTTGCCGAGAACTTCGAGGCGGAGCCGGGCTACCGTGCAGCGGGCGAGATGATCGCGACTGGCAAGATCGGTCAGGTGAAGCTCTTCAAGGCCAACGTCAGCAACTACATCGACAAGAACAACAAATACTACAACACCCCGTGGCGAACGATACCCGATGTGAGTCGTCGCCATGATGGATTCGCTGGGCAGGGATGACGATTTGTGCAGTATCAAGGTGGCTTCTTGGTGAGTCTTCTGCGAACTTTCTCGACCAGAACGCTGAATGAATGCGATCGCAGTTGGACGGAGGCGTGCATACCATCGCTGCACTGCGCGTGATGCTCCCGGAACCGCTCACCCATCTCTCCTCTATCGCATCTCTCAATCGCGAGCACCTCAAGCCGCACGACACGATCCACGCTCTGGCCACAGCCGGCTCGCATTTCCACGGCATCGTCGACATGTCCTTCGCTTCCCCGACCGCGTCTACGCCGAAAGCCGACGCTTTCGTGATCACCGGCTCCAAGGGTTGGATGACGGTCAATTCTGCGAAACCCGAGGGGAAAGATGCCGTGTTGCGCGTCGTTGTCAAGCGCGCGATCGAGGTCGAGGGACGGCCGACAGAAGAAATCGAGGAGGTCTACGAAGTGCCGCAACGCGGGATCGAAGAGGAATTTGGGGCGTTCTTCGACGCGATCGCTGGCAGAGAGAGCCAAGACTTTGGAAGCCCGCTGGGAGCACTGCGAGACGTGGCGTTCATCGAAGCGGCACTAACGAGCGAAGGAAAGGTCGTCGATCTCGGTGCGCTGGTGGCTGGCATAGACTGAGGAGCAGGACCTGGAATCGCTCTGGATAAAGATCAATGTACGATCGAGGAGATGGTCAAGATATTGGAAGCAAGTTCATGATAAAGCTACATAAATTCACATCGACGACAACAGCACGTAAAGAATCTCTTCTCGAACCTCTCCTTACTGGATCACACACTTTCCTCCTCCGGGCTGGAAGTTGGGGTCGGTCAGCTTGGCCAGGCGGGTGTTGAATTTGGCATTTCCAGCCTGTCCCTGGGCGTACAACCCATTTGTCAGCTCTTGTCCAGTGGGAACGTTCCTGCAGATGATGTTTCTGTGACGCGAGACGAGCTGGAGATGGGCGTCGGCCGCGGGTTGTTTCACGACCGCATATTGCTGGAAGCTGTTTGTCAAGAGGACGTCTGACAATGTTCTGGTCAGGATCATGTGCTTTGAAACAAGATAGCGAGGCAACTTACCGACAGGGCCGTTGAGCGGGCCGACAATCATGTCGTTCTGGTAGATCTGGAGGGCTTTGGCGTGGAAGGGGCTGGCCGTGTTCTCGACAGCATTCGGGTTTGCATTGTACTGTTGGAAGGCCAACCAATCCGCTGTCTCACCGGGGAAGTTGAAGACTTGAGCACTGCCCCCGGTCCATTTGTACTCTGGCGTCCGTGAGCACGACAGGTCCTGAAAAACCAGGCTATTTGTCACATACCTAGAACGTCGACCTGGGCGGGACGCTGGCCGGGAATACCGAAACAAGCAAACTGCGCGGCAGCGACGAGACTGTCAGTCATGTAGAAGCCACCAGCGACCTCTGCAATAAGCTCATTTAGCATGGAAGGCGCGCGCGAGAAAACATGGAAACGAGAAACGCACCAGGACGATGGTTGAAGTCTCCGGTGCCGCGAGTGACCGAGAGATCGACGTGCCCTGCAGCCAAGCTCGCGGCGTTTGAAGCGCTAGCGCCGTGGAACAAGTTGACCGTGCTCTGGCCGGACGGGTGTCGGAGCCCGACACGGGCAACGAGCTCTTCCATCTCACGTTCCTCGACATCGATGAATTCACGCGCCTCGACCTGAGCAGCAGAGCAGAGAGGCTTCTTCGCAGCCGCGGACGGCTTTGTCACAGGTGCTTTGGAGGACGTCGTGGGCTTCTTGGCGGGTGCTTTCGCAGGAGGTTTAGCGGTAGTAGGCTTCTTGGCGGGAGCGGCGGCGGGCTTCTTCGCGGGAGCCTTGGCCGGGGCGGCGGGTTTCTTCGCCACGGGCTTCGCGGCAGGCTTTGCGACAGGCTTTGCAGCCGGTTTCGTGACAGGCTTTGCGACAGGCTTTGCGGCGGGCTTCGTCGCAGGCGGGAGTCTGTTCTTGGCCGGCTTCGCGACTGGCTTTGCAGCAGGTTTGGCCACTGGCTTTGCAGCAGGTTTGGCCACTGGCTTTGCAGCAGGCTTCGCGGCGGGTTTGGCCACCGGTTTTGCGGCGGGCTTCGCAACTGGTTTGGCCACCGGCTTCGCGACTGGTTTGGCCACTGGTTTGGCTACAGGCTTCGCCACTGGTTTAGCAGCCGGTTTCGCGACTGGTTTCGCGACAGGCTTTGCTACTGGTTTAGCAACGGGTTTGGCTACAGGTCTCGCCACCGGTTTGGCCTTGGGTTTGGCAATGGGCTTTGCAGCCTTGACCTTGCGAGCATCGATGTTTTCGAGCGTCTCCAACCCCTGCGATCGGAGCCATCAACGTGAATTTCCCCAGAAACGAACACAAGACACGCACATTCTCATCAACGGGAACCGGAGCGGCGATCGCTTGGAGCGAGAGGATAAAGGTGAGGAGGAGAGTGAATGGGACTTTCATGACGTGTCTGGATCAACCGAACGTGAAGAAGATGTATAAAGTAAAAGGGTGTAAGAGAGAAAAGAATGGAGAAAAGGCCGACCAAGCGGAAGGGAAAGGAAGAAGAATGAAGATCTACCGCGTATGGTCTCTTGCTTTTATGCATCAGGCCTCGCAATATACGTCACCCACATCTGATGCTCTCTGATGCTTTTCTTGGCGATAATTTGTCAATGCGGTATCCAGAAACCAGATCATCGCTCACCGCCATCGGGAATTCGTGAAACAGGTGCGATGAGTATCGGACTGGCGACGCCCCTTCTGTCTGAACGCACCCAGAGGGCCAGCAAGACTGTGCGAGAAGCCCGTCTGTAACAAGCAGCTGCCGTGTAAGGTGCCTGACGGACCCTCTACTGGGGTTTGCAATCTTGCAAGCCGTATCGCGACCTTGAGTACGATGGACCTCCCGGATCCCCAGCATGCCCGGGACTTGGGACTTCCGACTCGAGTCCGCACCAGCGCCGACGAGCTGCATTAGACCTGATGAAACACGCAACGCCCCGCACGAAACACAGGAATAGATTGAGAATCATTGTGTGAATGGCGAGATGATTAGCCGCAAAGGCACCAGACTTGGCAACAGTTGTTGATGGAGCCTGCAGCATGATTCCAGCACTCAGCAGTAAGTATGACCCAGGGGCCTAGAGTCAAACGACCAACTCGGAATACCTGCGAGAAAGTCCCGCCGATTCGTAACAGCGGTAGGCAGGATCCGGGTCGCTACTGCAAGCGGCCTCTAACGAAGCCCAAAGGGACGGAAGCAGACTTTGACATATGCACCGCCACCGATCATGATCCACGTCCTGGCCCACGAGTGATTGCGTTTCCCCCTATTTCGCCTTTGAGACCCGTCAAGAACAAGGAGCTGCACGGCAAGTGAGATATACGATTACGGTGGAGTCGCCTCTGGAACGCGCGTGTGAACTTGGACCCACGCCAGGTGCCCGCAGATGTCGGGAAGGTGGGTGTATTCTCCGAAAAACGGTGGTCTGACTAATGTACCGTCTAAACTAGGAAAGACCAGCTCTAGACTCCTGGCACAGCCACAGGTGCCCCCCTCAAGCGATGTCCGTCCTCGGACATGTCCCCCCGTCTTGTCAATGGAAACGCCACGCATTGGGCTCCGCAGTTGCGGCCCTACTCGCCCGACGCAACCCCAGCTGCCCACTGGTTTTAGAGACTCGACTTCCACGCGTCTTCCGCCATCCGTTCCTCCGCTGCGGCGATCTCCAGGTCCTGGGTCGTAGGATCTGGCGTTGTCGTATCCCGCGGGTGCTTCTGGTCCAGGGTAGAATCACGTAGCGGGATGTAGTGTCGTAGCCGTCTCGAATGAACGAATTGTAGATTGGCGAGTGGTTTGCCCTCTAGGTTGCAGAGGGAGAACGAATTCAAGTGCTGCGCGTAGATTTGCACCGGCGCAGACCAGCGCGGCTTTAGCTTGTTCACCGAGAGGCGGTTGTTGTCCGCTTCCGAATCGTACCATTGCACCAGGTCGCCGATCCTGAAGTGGACAATTTTGGAGTTTGCTTCGAAACTGGACTTCTGTTGTGCTGCCCGTTGGAGCGATCTGAGGTGTGCTGTCCAGCGGATGCTGTCTGCTATCGCGAAGTGAATGTCCGCGTCTGATGCGGTCGTTTCACTCAGCTGGTCTGGTATGGCCTGGTCCCGCGTGAAGGGTCGTCCGAATAGCAGCTCCCTCGGTGTGGCTTTGAGGGCAATCAGGATCCGGTCGTTCATCATGCTCAGCGCTTCGTCGAAGTGATCTGGCCAGTTCCTCGGTATATCACCTGGGTCCACCGTCCCCTCGTCTGCATCGTGATCGGGTGCGCACAGTCGTTTCAAGATCTTGAGCAAGATCTTGTTGCTTCCCTCGATGAGGCCATTGACCCACGGTGAGTATGCCGGTGTCGTAATGTGCTTGACGTTGTTAGCGGCGCAATAGTCTGACACTGCGTCATTGCGAAAATGCTTCCCCCCGTCCGCCATGAAAGCGTCAGGCACCGCGTGTTCGTGGAAGATATGACTTAGCGAATCAATGGTCGTTTTTGCGGTGCCCGCCGACTTCAGTTTCGTCCCCCACACAATAGTGGGAGAACACATCCACGTAGAGACCCACGTTCTTGAATCCACCCTTGCCGTCCGGTAACGAGAGATAGTCGCCTGCAATCAGGGCAAATGGAAGTGTACGGCGGATCGGTTGCAGCAGTGAGTTACGAGTCGGGGCCCCAAAGCTCTTGCACCGCGGGCATTCGAGTATTACCGACCGGCAGTCTGTGTCCATACCCGGCCAGAAGTAGCGGTCTGAGAGCTTGAGCTTCGTGCTCTCCACATTGAAGTGCCCGTTCTGCGCATGGACCTTCATCGCTAGATCAAAGCCCTGCGCTGTGGGGATGCATTCCGTCCGTGCTACTCGGCGCGCTGCCGTATCCGCGACTCGCCAGAGTTTACCCTCTGCAATCATGAACCCTTCCGCGCGGTGCGCGAGTCTTCTGCGCTCTGCAATCGAATCCCCGACTGTATACCCCAGCAGGTAGTCGATTACCGGGGCAAAGAATAGGTCGTCAGCAAACAGAGCTTGGAGAGGGTGACTCGCCGCGTGTGTGTCTGCCACTGTAAACACGTCCCTTATGACCCCTCGTGGTGCTTCCCAGTCTGCTAGGACCGACCACGCTGATCCGTCCTGCTCTGTGCGGTCCCGGTTCGCCCACTTCCTGCTTAGCGCGTCTGCCACCGGGTTCTCAATGCCGGGTCGGTGTCGAATGTCGATGATGTTGCGCGCAAGGATCGACTCCTTCCAGCGGCTATGGTGGGAGTTTAGTTTCTCCCGCATCAGCGTGTCGCGCAGGGCTTGGCAGTCCGTCTCGATCTCGATGGGGGAGCCGTAGGTGTACATTTCAAATTCGTCTAGTGCGTATTTCAAGGCAGCAAACTCGAGTAAGAACGGTTCATACTTAGCTTCGCTCGTTGATGTGCGTTTGGAGCAAAACGCTATTGGGTGCCATCGTTTTGATTCCTTCCCGTTCTTGTCTGTGTGGGGGAACTCCTGCGCCAAGTAGCCCGCAAAGCCTTCTGCTGAGCCATCTGTCGTGATCTTGAATGGCCGGCCATCGTATTGGGGCGTCTTCAACACCGGTTCCTGTGATAATAAGCATTTGAGGGTGACAAACGCACGTTGTTGAGCATCGCCCCATTTGTGTCTTATTGACGCTGACTTTAGGGCCCGTTTGTAGTCGCCTTTCCGCACACGCCAGTTTGAGCTTGGTGGGGCTACCTCCACGTTTCGCGTGAGGTCTGTGAGTGGGGCTGCAATGCGTGCGAAGGCTGGGATCATTTTCCTGAAGTAGCCCGCAATGCCGAGGAAGCCCATGAGGTCGGACACATTCTCGGGCACCGGCCAGTCCACCACTGCACCGACCTTGTCCAGGTTCGGCTTCAAGCCCGCTGGTCCAACTACCGCGCCCGCAAACAAGACCTCCGTGAAGAAAAGCTTTGTTTTGGATGGTGACAGTGATAGCTGTTTCTCGCGGCATCTGGTAAAGAAGCGCTTCAGATTGGCTAACTTGACTTCGAATACATCACCTGGTAGGCAGATGTCGTCCATCCAATTGACAAGTTCCCGGCCAATCATGTCCTCGAGTGCGGCTGCTACCATCTCACAGAAGGTGGTTGGAGCGCCTGTGAGACCGAATGGCATGCGCAGGTATACGAAATATCCCCTTCCTTCGACGTAGAATGCCGTATAGGGAACCGTCTCGTCGTCTAGGGGGACCGCGTAGTATCCAGACGCGAGGTCGATCACGCTTGCCCAGCGGTGTCCGGCTGCAAATTGATGCTTGGCTCCGATGTCCCCGTGTGGGAACGGCGGTACTTGGGACGCCTTGTTGAGGGCCGTGAAAGCGTGGCAGACCCTCCACTTTGTTGTCTTGGTGCCCTTCCCGGTGTCTTCCTCTGTTGCCTCCAGTGTTGCTTCATCTCGGCTCGTGTCTTGGTTCTGGGTCTCGACCTCCTCCCAAAAGGGCGGCAACCCGTTCTTCACACACTCTTCGTTCACTCGTCTGAGGACCTCTGCTCTTGTGAGTCCGGTTTTGCCTGCGTCTTTGGGAGCCAAATTCGTGCTATTCAGACATTTCAGAAACTCGCCTGGGACCCTCTGGATTACGTGCGCTTCCTCCATCTCATCTAGGACGTTGTAGAACCAAGACTTCTGGTTCTCCGTGAGCGGGCGTTGCGACATGCGGGTCGGCAACTTGATATTCGGGTCGACGTCTATGTGGTGTTTCCACCAGTCCACAAATAGGACTTCTGACATGGACAGGGCGAACACATCCGCGTATTCTTTGATGAGCGCAACCACTTCTTCCTTCTGTTCCGTTGTCAGGTCCGTCCCAATCTGGACCGCGTCTATTATCTTGTTGACTCGTTCCTCGTTGAAGGGGTCCGTTGCACGGATCGATCTATTTGTTCCTCTGTCAATCTTGAAGCCCTCTGAGCCTGTGGCCGTGCTCATTGTGAATATTGTGTCTGGTGTGGACCCTGCCCCTTCCTTGTCCACGTCTGCCATTTGTTCCGTGCAAATGGATCTGAGTTCGTCCAGTCTCGACCGGAGGTGTCGAAGTCGGTGGTCCGATCGGCGAAGCTTGTTCTCGTCGTCTTGTCCACCTGATGTCCGCCACAACGCCGCTATGATTGCTTCTCTTCGCCTTGTCCTCCATTTCGCCGCATCTGCCTCTGTCTGCCTCTTTCTGGCCTCCCTCGCTGTCTCCTCTGGTCTGTTGTCCCCGTACTTTGCGTATCTTGTTTCGGCTCCCCGTCTCGACGACTGGATCTGCAGGACACGTGTGAGCTCGTCGTTGACCATGTCGTCTTCCCTTGTTGCTGAACTCTGTTCCTTCATGTCGTTGCCGTTGTGGTGTGTCCGTTTTGGCGCTGTCCTGGTGGGTGGGGGAAGTGGCTGCTCGGGGGGTGGTCGGGGTGGTTGGGCGTCATGTGGTATGTCCTTCGGCTCGTTCTGCAGGGTTGTTTCACGTCCTGCCGCTGTGATGCGTATCTCATCGTTCCCGTAGTTGTGGATAGCTCGCACGCTATGCAGCCACGGTTTTCCTAGGATCACGTCGAATGCTCCGCCACCCTGGAAGACCTCAAACCACGCTCCTGTTGTCACGCCGCCTACTGATACTTGGCCCCACCACCTTCCTTTTGGTGTGATCCGTTCACCGCTCGCTACCTTGAGGACTGTCTTCGACTGGGCCAGCCTGCCCAAGCACTGTCCGTACTGTGTCCACCGCTCCGCCGAGATGCAGTTGCGCATGGCGCCGTTGTCGATCTGCGCCGTCAGGCGGACCGTGCTGCCGTTGTCATTGGCGAGCCGGATCCGTTGGTAGAACGGTTCGACAGCAGTGTCTGGGTCGGATCCTATGCTCAGTATGGCGCTCGGCAGGGGTGCCCTATACTCGAGAACCCGTGTATTCGATGGTTGGCCTAATACAAATCGTATTTCCGAATTGGTGTCCCGCGTAAAAACTTCCCGGCGCCTCCGTGCTGAATGGTCTCTTTCCGGGGGATTTGGAGAATTTGGAGCAACACCACCCCCTACAAGGTGTGCTCCCCTCCGTTTCCCTGTTCCTCGTTCTCTTCTTGCTCGCCGAAATCGATGGGCTCATTTGCATCCAGCTCACCAAATATGGCGTTGATTGGCACCGCTCCCATCTGACGGGGAGGGAATACCACTGAGTGGACCCATCGTCGGATGTTCGACTCGATGATTGGTAGCGGTAGCGGCACAGCACAACTTCCAGCGCCGTGGGGTGGGTCTCGAAGGCCGCACCGGTAGCATTCCCGTGACCCCGGTGGGAGTGTCCCTGGCGTAAATGGGAAGGTGAGTACGTCCTTGTTCCCGGTCTGCCAGGCAGCGAAATCGGTTTGGTATTTGCGGAGCCCCTGTGCGTCTTTTGCGTACAGGTGGGTAGTCTGTGTCAACGCCCGTGCTGTTTCGTCATTCCCGAGCGACGGTATTGCGGGTTTTGCGTTGGGGATGAGGCTGCGTCCTGCTGATGGGCTGATTGGCGAGGCAAAGACGTCCCTGCTGAATGAGCTTGTGGGTCGTATAGTCGTGCCCGTCCATTGGCTTGCTGTGCCCATGTGCGGGGGTTGCTGTCGTACCGGTGTTGTCGGTGTGAACATTGAGCGTGGTTGTTGCGCCTGCTGTTGTGTCTGTGTCGGCGCTGCTTGTGTCATGAATGCCGGGGCCTGAATGCGCGTGTTTGATAGCTGGAACGCTTGCCGATGGCGTGGGCGGGTCGGGGAGAGGATGTGGGTGACGTCTAGGGCATGCGCCAAGCTGGCTACAATGGACTCCGCCCCTTCCCGTGCTGATCCCGTGGTTGTCGCTGGGCCTTCCTGCCGTTCTATTCGATTCTCCGCCATCCAATCGTTGATGGCGTAGATTGATATTGCCTCGAATGCCGCAAACCAGGCATCCCAGGTCTTTTTCGTTGCCTCCTCCGAGATCAAGCGACAGAATCCGGGGGGCAAGGTGGCCCGTATCTCGCCCATCAGCAGCATCGATGGGTCCCCTCCCTGTAGGTCGTTGACAAGGCGTCTTGCAATCTGCGCCCATGCCCAATGTGCTGGGATGCGCGTCCCGTCCTCATCTTCCACCATTTCTCCTACTGCCTTCGCCTCTAACACATTCTCCTTTAGATCCTTCATTACCTCGGAATTCTCCCGTGCGGTGTAAGAAGGCGGCGGCCACTTCTTCTCGAAGGCTGCGGTGATCCTTTGCCAGTCTGCCTTGTCTGTTGCTGGTAGCGCTTTGTACCAGACCTCCGCGGGGCTCCCTGGGTACAACGCCCGCTCGAACCTCCACCTCTTTTCGTCATCCTTCGCATCGAATTTCCACATCTGCTCTAGCTGTCTTAGCCAGACATTCGCCTTCTCTGCTGTTCCGTCCCCCTTGAAGAGCTCTGTTTTCGGGCCCATACTATGCTCGTCCTCGTCGTCTGATGTTGGTGGCGTTTGTGAGCTGTGCAGTGTCTTTTCTTGCACTTGATTCTGATACGGCCCAGTTGTGTGGTCCGCGTTGATACCAATGGGTTCTGATGACGCTGTCCTTCGTGCTAGGCGGAGTCGTCGAAGCTGTTTTTGAGCTTCTCGTGCGTTTTTTTCAAGTGCGTGCGTGGCTTGGATCCGCTCGTATTGGCGGAGTTGTCGGTCCGAAAGGTACGACGGTGTTTCAGGTGCCAGGGTGTGGTATTCGATCCCTCCAATCACCAAATGGAGTCGCCTCTGGAACGCGCGTGTGAACTTGGACCCACGCCAGGTGCCCGCAGATGTCGGGAAGGTGGGTGTATTCTCCGAAAAACGGTGGTCTGACTAATGTACCGTCTAAACTAGGAAAGACCAGCTCTAGACTCCTGGCACAGCCACAACGGTGTGCTATTATACAGCGTACACGTGCAGATAACTATCGATAGATGGCATACGGGATGATCGGGAGGGGATTTTCAGTAGGCGTGAAAGCCTTGAGGGCAGGGACATCAACCGGACTCTTGAACATCATGAAGCAGTGCGCGTCATTATGGGTGTCCACGGCTTCGCATGCGTCGCACAAATCCTTCCCGCAATACGCACAGCGGAACCAAACACCCTGGATCGAGGACATGCATCTGTCACAAACAGCCGTCGTGTGCTTGAGATTCATCAAGTATGCACGAGCGTCGGTCCCTGGTGCCGGACCTGGGCCTCGTTTGTAGCTGTGGATAGATTAACAACTAAGGACACTGCGAAACAAAAGACACACAGATTCGGCAGATATCCTTGCGGAGACGCCAGCGGCGTTTGAACGGGCCGCGGAAACTTGAAGAATATGTGCGCGGGGTCGTGGATCGAATACGAGTTGGGCTCGCAATTCTCACACAAGCTGTAACCTTGCGGAATCGACGGACAGTTGCCGCATTGGTAGCGGACGCCAAGGATGTTCTGCACACACATCAGCTTCCATGTGCAACACCAAAAACCACGAATCCTCACGTTTCCACAGCCATGACACGCTATATGATGGTCATTGTCTTGGGCAACAGGCTGTCGCGAGACCGCAGATCCCACCACAGTCCGAGCATGGGAAGAGTACACAGAACTCGCTGTGGGCATAAGCCCAACATTTGCTGCATCCCGGCCCTGCCACAGGTCAATCGCCCGCCGACTCGCCGTCTGCACCTCATCGGTTTCCAACGGATACGGGATCTGCCGGCTTTATCAGCATTCTCCCCAAAGAACTGACAACGTAAAGGACCTTGATCAAGATATGCGACGAGTTGTGCCCCCCGTCGGCGGAGTCCAAGTTACCGGGCAACCCGGCTGACTCGCAATTGGAGCAGATATCCACCGAGTCGCAGATAGCACAATGGAAGCGTGCACCAACAATATCCAACATGCAACTAATGTAGGATCAGAACAAGCACAAGAGAAGCGGACGGACATCCACTCACTGTGCACATCGGACACCACGGTGGAGCATCGCTAGCGGCCAGTCAGTGCTATCCAATCGACGTCACTGCCACACACACATTGTTCTCCTTGAGGTACTATGTCCGGGGGAACGCTCTCGAACTCGTCTACCTCTGTGCTTGGAGACACGATTGGCGCATCTGGTATGACGATGAACGCATGCGAAGGATGGACATCGTGCACTTGACTATATGGAGCAAAATTAGCATAGCCACCCTCTCGCGCACAAATGACTCACGTGTAGCAAGCCCGACAAAGATGGAAGTTCTTGCATGATGCACATTTGTATCGATGATGGGTGGTCACAGCGGAACAGGTCGAGCATTTGGAGACTTGCGACTCGTCGTGGTCTGTCAGAAATGTGAGATACTGTCGAGAAGCAAAAAGCCATCAACAAGGACGCACCAACGTCTTCCCATCCGAAATGCCCCCACGCCTTTTCATGGAACGCGTGTCTCAGCTGGCCCTTCTTCAGCGCCAGGCGACGCCACTCCGATGGCGGTCCACTCATCGCCGATCCGCTCACAGCCTCAATGGCATGTGTCACTCCGGCATGCTCGATGCATCCCGAGCATAGCTCGTACCCGTGTTCTGGAGCGACCAGCGTCACCTGCGAGCTGGAGGCGCTGGGGACATCGGTGTGTGGCGGCGAATCGGGGAGTTTGGGGAGCGGCTTGTGCGATCGCAACGATTCCATGCTCGCGTTGAGAGACGACGAGCGGGTCGATGACAACGAGCCCAGGCTGCGAATGGGTGTCGGGCGTGGATCGCTGCTGGGTTGGGGCGGATACGAGTAGTCCATCGGAGGGGGATATGTGTGTGCATGATGGATGGGTGGATGCTGATGGTGGAGATGGGGGTCGGGATCCGTGAGCGGCCGGTGCTGCAATTGTGGAAGCGGGCTCTTGCCTTTCCCCTTGTTCAGCTCGCTGACGGGCTTCTTCTCCCCACAAATCGTACACACGTAACGGATAGAGTCAAGCAGCACCCCACACGATGAGCAATCCGTGAGCTTGTCTGCAGGGAGTGCCGTGACTGGCAAGAATTGAAGCAGTTCCGGTGGAATCGATTCTTTTGTGTACGGAACGTCATTGGGAGAGTCTGGGTTGTGAACCTCTCGAGGTGGTTTGCTGATTGATGGCGCCGGTGAGGGAGACTGTCGCACCGCCTGAGCTTCGAGCCAGTTATTGACACTCGGCTGTTGTCTGAGCTGGTGCGAATCTTCCATCAGACGAGCCTCGTCGTAATATCCCGAGTCCCGGCTCTGAGACGCAGACGAGGAGGAGGATGTGTACGAGTAGTAGTATCTTCCTCGCACATCGCGTTCCAGCTCGAGCTCGCCACCCAAAAGAGCCCCTTGCTCTCGGACCTCTTCGCTTTCTGCCCGCCAACTGTCCGGCACGGAAGACGAACCAGACGACACGGACGGTTCGGGAAGCACACCCAGCATCGTTCGGATCGCTCGGTCATTCTGGTCGCGTAGCCATGTTGCATTGCGGTCGTTCCCGCGAAAATGGTCAGCCGCTCGGCCATTGCCGTTGACCAAGTCGGACTGGATGCTCGATGAGTCGTCCTCGTCGTCTTGCTCTTGCAGCTTCAGACGCTCGAAGACAGCAGAAGGGTCGGACGTAATGTACTCATCCTGTGCCGTCGTCGATCCGGGCTTGCTTTTATCGGCGAATGGATCCCGGGCGGTGTCATCGGACTGGTGATGATTCGAGGACTTTGCGGGGAGACGACTCGACCCACCACTCCCCCGGGAGAGCACATCCCATGAGCCTTGGGAACGAACATCCCTGATTCGATACTGGGCGCGGGGGACGGGGTCCCTTGAGCTGACCGTGACCGCATCGTCTTCTAGCTCCAACTCCGACTGCGCACCGAACGAGAATTCACTCTCTCTGCCTCCCGCACCATAGCCATTCCGCTGATAAGAGTTCCCCTCCCCAGCGCCCGATCCAGACGCCATCCCCAGGCTCAGCACCGACGACGTATCAGACAAACTCGGCCCATCGTAGTCGACGGTGACCGCCACCCGGACCGTGATCTTCCTCCCTCCGAAACTCCTACCCGAGAGTATTGAGGCGGCGGATGATAGAGGCCCGTCGTCAGCGCCGGCCTGAAAGTACGTGATGGCTTCGGTGAGGTCGGTATCGGTCGTGACATCGGTGATCTCGCCGTCGTCGTCTTTATATGTAATGAGGTATGTCGCAGCGTATAATGAGAAGCATTGTTCAACCTATGTGAGAGCACCTTAGATTCTTGGATGTGCACGGGTATGTATGGAGGCAGTCGAAGAGACAGGTGACTTACCCTATGTCGCAAGAGATCGTACGAACAGTTCCTTGCCGAGTTAAATGTGATACGTTTAGTAGACCCATTGAATGTGCATTTGATGACCAATGGGCGGTCCGGGCGGCGGTCCATGGCACGACAGAGCACGGAGGAGGATCTGCTCGAGAGAGGGATGATGTGAATAAGCGGCACAGCAATCGATTCTAGACATAGACGCGATCACGTGCAGATCTTCCGGAACCTCAGCCGCCATCTTAAACGTGGTTCGATACTATATCGAACACCGATGAGGAGCACACATCATAGTACAGATCCTAGAAATGGTCGTGTTTGAAAAAAATCTGGAAATCCTCCTGTCTAGGTACTTTTGGCATTGACTAAGATCCCCTAATGCTAGATGATGCCGAATTTCAGCTTCTCTTCAGCTGTCCACTCGAATATGGGCAGAGGGTGGGCTTCAGTGTTGAAAACCCATTTGTCCAACGGAAACAGGTCGTCTTTGGTGAACAACAGATACAAATACTTCAATCTGGGATGACGCTCAGGACAAGAGCAAACGAACCAGAAGCATGCGAACGTACGTCTCTGCAAGAAAGTAGCTTGGCATGTCATCCATCTGAACCGCTGGAGACATCTCGGCAGACTTGATCGCTGCATATCCTGCTGCCGTACGCGTTTCACGCTCGATTGCCTGGAAGATTGTCCAGCCCATTTCCCTCCACCGTCGCTCTCCGGTGACTCTCCATAGAATGTACAGCGACTCTACCGTCTGGAAGGGGTCAAAAAAGACTTGAAAGGTTACTGGCTGGAAGCTTACCTCCGGACGAAGTAGGTAGGCAGTCTGCTTGATGCTGTAATCCCGACCCTTCCCAGATCCTCGCTGACGCTGATCCTTGGAATAGACGATAGGCTCGAGCTTCTCCTTGACTCCAGGTGGGAATCTTCGGTATTTGAACCGTCCCAATCCCATGCCCAACCTATGACGCCAGTTTTGCACTTCATCAATCCATCGGCGACCGCCGCCGTCCACCCAGGACCCATTTTGCAGTTTGCCCCAACGTCGGTCCTTGACCTGGAATATGAGCTGTTCTGGCGAGAGGCCCGACTCTTCGTCGGCGTACATCATGAAGCAGGTTTCGGCCAATCCTTTGGCGGCCCAGAGATGGAGCTCTCTCAGTGAAGGCTCTTGCGAGAGTATATTGTATCCCCGCGACGCCCAGCCGAAGTCCTTGCCCAGCTCGGGAAGTTCTTTCGCAAGCTCATCAAGTGGGAGGGAGTGGGCACCGAGCGCGAGGAGACCAGGAAGAAAGCACGCCAGGTGCTCCATCTTGTGTGACGGGCAACCTGGATGGTCATCCGTGGTCGAGGTCGTGTCCGTGACGTACAACAGATTTCGCTCTGGAGTGACGTACAATAGATTTGCGAGGATGTGAGTGCTAGTACGCAGATCTATGAGAACGAGGTCAGACGTGGATCATTGGCACTGTAGTCGTCTCGAGACATACACATTCTCAGACTCTCTTTGTCCGTCTTTGAAGTGAGAAGATACTGCTTCAGCAGATATTCGTGTGTGCTGTCTGCCTGGCCACCTACACCCAGATGAGCCAGACATCGGTACGAACCGCCGTTCGGCAATGCCACAGGAGGAGCCGACATATATTCGCAATCGAAAGGTTGACCCGAGGTCAGGTTCCACTTGGTAGGCAGCATTCCACCAGTACTGCGCAAATCGGCACTAGCCAGAGCGCTTATCACACTAGCGGCCTAGCAAGAATCAGCTCCCACCACGAGCGATAAGGCGGCTCCACTGACGCGATCGTACCAGTGTTTCTTTCCAGTTGCTTTAGCCAGATACATATATTCCACCTGCATCGTAGCCATCTCAGCCAGTCCACCAATCTCCGAACCAGTTACATGTCCACTATGACGGTTTAGCACATTTCTCAGACTGAGAGCACTAGAGAATCGACGCACTCGCGTGTGTTGACACCGAACACGGGAAAAACAGAGCTCCAGTTGCCGAAGGCAGGATCTAATCTGATCGCGAGATCGTCTGCGAGATCAAGGAAGATGCGATCGTTTGTCATGGCGTAAGCGCTGAGAAACCCCCCCAGGTACCGTATGACAGTCTCAAAGTACGGAGCGAATTCTCCCTGCTCCATTGGGAACGTGAGCTTGGCTATTCGCGACGATGCGCGAGAGAACTCGGCGTCGAGGTCCATGATCAACATCGTGTCGAGCGAGTCGACGGCGGTGACCCCCCATCCACTGAAGCTGGAAGGAGTCAGGAAAACACAGTCTAAATATTGGATATCACAAGACACACGGATCTTTGTGACCACTCGACAAGGGCGCCAATTCGTCGTGGCCTTCAGCGAACAGCTCATACCCATGATACGCGTGCAAGAAAGCCGCCTTGACCTGCAGCGCACGCTCGTCCCAGACCTGCTGCTCCCCCGTCCCAAGCGTGTGGAGAAAGAAATTGAGAGATGGTCTGACGTGCGAGACTAAGAAGACCAGGGCGACCAGAATAGCGACGCAGATGTAAGGACGGTGTCGCATTGCTCTCCCCAGTCGTAGTTGCCCTCGAAGCCGCAAGAAAGGGAGCTGAGATTGAGCCATGCTTGAAGCATTGGTCTATAATGGTCGCAGGGTTGCTTGAGAGATCGTTGTCGAAGATTCGACCGACCGGCAGTCGGAGTGGAGACGAGGCCTCACATCAGAAGCACAACAAAACCAAGCGCGTTCCTCCCCTATATTGCACAACTGCGGTGCCAAGTCTAGCTTGACTCTGTGTATCGATACCTGCGGCCGCTTCCTCTCTGTTTCTGACACGAATATGTGACAAAGTTGGGATTTATGCGTATCGGGGGCCCTCAGATGTCCTTGGAACATTGCTGGAGCACAGAATACGATTTCTAAGCTATTACTGTAATTCGCGGTGGGCGTTGCGCGTTTCCTGGAATTTGATGCGGCTTTTCGGGACTCGGTGCCGGTACGGAATTCCCGGAATTCCAAGTCTCAGGTATGCCGGGATTGGGGAGGCTCATCTTACTCTGTGTTTCGAACCCGGAATCGCAAGAGGGCTTCACTCGATGATTGGGGAGGCACCGTGTGCGCAAGGCAGCTATTCATTCTGAAGCAGGACTCGCGCGGAGTTTGGCTAACCTCGTAGAGCTTCCAGGCGGGATGGGGCGCCGCCAATCCGATAGACATTGCACTTGTTTCATGAATGGAGGACGACAGTCACTCCCGGTAAGCGATGATGTGGAAATACCGCCAGAAGGAGGATTGAAGTGCATCAGAGTGCATCAGATGCGGGTGAGGAAGATGGCGCAGTTAGATGACGGGCTGATGAAAGCAAGGACCGAACACGCTAGATCTTCATTTCTCTTTCCCTCCCATCCGCTTGGTCAGCCTTGTCTGATTCCTTCTTTCTATTGCGTTTTTTTTCTTTACGCATCTTCTTGACGTTTAGGTGATCCAGAATACGCATCATCAAGGTGCCATTCATTCTCCTCTCCACCTTGATCCTTCTGAAAATGGATTGCATGCACAGGGACAGGCTGGAAATGCCAAATTCAACACCCGCCTGGCCAAGCTGACCGACCCCAACTTCCAGCCCGGAGGAGGAAAGTGTGTGATCCAGTAAGGAGAGGTTCGAGAAGAGATTCTTTACGTGCTGTTGTCGTCGATGTGAATTTATGTAGCTTTATCATGAACTTGCTTCCAATATCTTGACCATCTCCTCGATCGTACATTGATATTTGTCCAGAGCGTTTCCAGGTCCTGCTCCTCAGTGTGTGCCAGCCACCAGCGCACCGAGATCGACGACCTTTCCTTCGCTCGTCAGTGCCGCTTCGATGAACGCCACGTCTCGCAGTGCTCCCAGCGGGCTTCCAAAGTCTTGGCTTTCTCTGCCAGCGATCGCGTCGAAGAACGCCCCAAATTCTTCTTCGATCCCGCGTTGCGGCACTTCGTAGACCTCCTCGGCTTCTTCTGTCGGCTGTCCCTCGACCTCGATCGCGCGCTTGACAACGACGCGCAACACGGTATTTTTGCCATCGGGTTTCTCAAAATTGACCGTCATCCAGCCCTTGGAGCCGGTGATCACGAAAGCATCGGCTTTCGGCGTAGACGCGGTCGGGGAAGCGAAGGACATGTCGACGATGCCGTGGAAGTGCGAGCCAGCTCTGGCCAGAGCGTGGATCGTGTCGTGCGGCTTGAGGTGCTCGCGATTGAGAGATGCGATGGAAGAGAGATGGGTGAGCGGTTCCGGGAGCATCACGCGCAGTGCAGCGATGGTATGCACGCCTCCGTCCAACTGCGGTCGCATTCATTCAGCGTTCTGGTCGAGAAAGTTCGCAGAAGACTCACCAGGAAGCCACCTTGATACTGCTCAAATCGTCATCCCGGTCCAGAGAATCTATCGGGGCGACGACTCACATCAGGTATCGTTCGCCACGGCGTGTTGTAGTACTTGTTGTTCTTGTCGATGTAGTTGCTCACGTTGGCCTTGAAGAGCTTCACCTGACCGATCTTGCCAGCCGCGATCATCTCGCCCGCAGCACGGTAGCCCGGCTCCGCCTCGAAGTTCTCGGCAACGCGCCAGACGAGATCGCGCTTGTACTTTTGCTCGTATTCGTTGATGAGCTTGATCCCACGCGCGACATCCGGAGCGACGGGCTTCTCGCTGATGACGTGCTTGCCCGCCGCGAGGGCCTTGAGAACGATGGTGGGCTGGAGCGTGATGGGGAGGACGATGATCACGGCGGTTATGTCGGCCCGTGCGAGCAAGGCGTCGAGATTGACGGACGGCTCGGCGTCGTGGTAGATCGCAGGTGCGGGTGCGGGGCCGAGACCGAGCTCTGCGGCGGCTTCGGCACACTCACGCGAGGTTTTCTCGGAGCGAGAGTAGACTGCCAGGAGGGGAGGGGCCTTGGACCCGAGTTTGTGAAGGGCGGGGAGATGGGCTGGATGGCCAAATGACCTTTGGCAAGGCCCGAACAGATGTGTGACCCACCTTCTTTGGCAAATATGCCTGCACCGAGTATCGCAATGCCTGGCATGATAGTTGGTGAGAGATTGGGAAGATCCATCATCCCACGCAGGATACCCAGACTGAGACTCGGAGAACGGAACATCGCATCATCATGTGTGTGACGAGAGTGTCCTAAATTCAACATTGGGGTCCCTCGCGGCCGTACAGAGCTGAATCTTCAGCATGATGTGCGTCTTTTGTCCCGGCTGGAGAAATCCGTAGAGATTTGTCGGTCTCGATTTACATTGGCCCGGATGGGGTTTGAAAGATTGTGGGAATTAGATCTGACCCTAACCACAGCCCAACATCCCAGATATGTAAACGACCAACATACCCTCGGTCCCTCGCGAATGCTCTTTGATGCCCATGGCACACCCGGGGCCACTGCCCGAGCTCGACGTGTTTGAAGACTTGGAGGATCTCGATGACGCCGCGCGGGCCCTGGGAATTGTGGTCGCGGCGCTCGTCGAGAGCGGGACACCCCTGGATCTGCTCTATACCAACACAATACCCTGCCGGCGTGTTCTGACGCGACACGAGGATTTACATCTGCTCCTCAAGCAGGGGCATGCTTCAAGAGACTTTGGTGAGGTCGGGAAGCACGGTGCGTCGGGTATTGTTGTTGAGCACTTGCGCTGCATACCAAGTTCATGCGCTCTAGATGCCCTGCAACGGCAACTGAATTCGGCTGAGATGGCTGACGCACTGGCTACCTACTCTTCATCTATGGAAGCATTTGTGCGCCAAGTTGACCCACACGCCATATTTGACTGGTCGTCAGAAACTGCGGACACCAAGGACAAAGCACATATCGCATCTTTGAAAATTCCCGCCATTCCGCGAAACCCTCGCACCCCTTTGCTTCTATTATGGAAGCTGGGGAGTTTCGCTCAAGACTCTGTCCTCAAAGCGAGAGTGGAACGTATCTTTGCGCGAGGAAAGCATACGTGAGTGGCAGGCTAGGTTTTCAGCTCTGATATATATTTTGGATGCAGGTTCTTGGTGAACGCGTCAGGAACGGGCAAGACGAGACTGTTGCTCGAGGGACTCTGCCAACGCTGGGGATTCTACATTGTCGGCGAGACAGATGTAGACGGCTTCGGCGCTGGAGACCTGGATGATGTTTTCACCATGCATCTGCGATCTACCTTCCACTACGATCTCTCAAACGCCTCTCAAGATCGGCGCGTCGAAGCAATTCATCGATGCATGGGTGGACTGCTCTTGTGTCGTTTCCTTGTGCTAGATATGTTTCTGGACCTGCCACCGAGTGCTGACGGCGACATGGCAGAGCGTAGAAGACTTTGGACGCTGTTTCAAGTGATCTCGGAAGCACTGGGAAATAGACTCAATATCTTTGTACAACTTCTACTGTCGGCACGGAAGCTGGACGATGACTTCATCGCTGACTATCTCTCCTTCCTTCTCTCAAAACTTCGCAAGCGACTGGGAGATGACTTCGATCCTTTGATAGTCCTCGATGAGGCACAAGTCGTTTTTAATCATTTTCGTGACCGAGACCTTCTGCGGGATCCAGATGGTTCTCCTTACCCGCTCCTCCGAGAGCTTGTGGACGGTCTTGTTGCGGTGTATCCCGGCGAGGAATGTTCTTTCATCGTGGCAGGGACTGATATCCCCTCCGAGGGCTTTTCGCGCTCTCCCAACTCTCATCTCCATCGCTGGATATCGGACACGGGAGCCTTCGACGATGAAGCCCGGCATAAGGCTTACGTTTCTCAGTGGCTACCTTCCCGCTACACTCGCTCGGAGGCTGGTCAACATTTCCTGACGCATTGCTGGCAGCTCTGTCGCGGGAGGTTAGTCAAATTCTGCTTGGTGTTAATATCGTTCTGAATGTGGCTCAGATATCGAATCACCGACAGCCTGATGTATTCTTTGCTCAGGAACGGTTTCAAGAGCCCACATCGGATTCTCAGCGCCCATTTTTACGTGATCTCCGGGTTCTATCCCCCGGACGACAATCCGTTCATCCGAGCGGAGGTTCCAATCAATGCTGACATCATCTATCCTAGAATCAATTTCTCTGTCCTGAAACATCGTATGGCTAATCTCCAAGTTCCATGAAGGTGGCACTGATCACTAATAGCTGCTTATTCTCTGCGCTCTGCTGCTATTCGTTTGGTGCTTCTTCGATACGCAACCACCGGAAGCCATGGCCGTCCGTTTGGCCTTGATCATATCAAGCTCGTCACAAACGCCTTTGGTCGATTCTGTGACGAGAATCGCTCGCAAATCGTGTTCGACGAACCGCTTCTCGTTCTCGCAGCCGCAGCGCAGTGGTTCTGTCCCGTGCGAACGCCGCAATCTGGACCCTCCGATCCCGATTCTCCTCGGCCAACGTCACTGCTCGATGTGGTGGAGCTCGTCTCGCCCATGGACCCGGACACATTTTCGTGTGTGCTTGTGATCTATCTCGCGCACGCTTTCACGCGAGCAGCACCAAAAACGATCTTCTCGTTTCCACGTGGTGCCCCTGAATGGGCGAAGCGTCCGTCGGAGCTGGTCAGCGTGTACCGCGGGGAGTCATATCGGCTGACCGACAAAGCATTGACGTCTCACCTTGCCGCTTCCCCATCCACTCACATCGAGCTGATCGGCTGGCTGTCGCACAATGAGCGACATGGGTCTCCATTCTGTCTCCCAGATCTGCCGCACGCCGATCTGTTCTTCGTGTTTCGCACACCGGATGGGACGTTTGTCCAAGCTGTAGTCGCGGCATTGGGGACGACGACAACGCTCAGGGACTCGAGATTGACCCAGATGATCTCTCGAACAGATGATGATGCCCTGTTTTTGTCTCTTGTACGTTTGGCTTCTTTTGCCGACATGACCGCTGACATTTTCCTGAAGCCTGAAGAGATGAGGGAGAAAGCCATCAGCGGTTTGCACTCGCTCCCTGTCCCACAACCGACCATGGCTCGAAGGAAAGGCAAACGTCCGCCACAGTTGACAGCAGCGCCTGTGATGCGGGTGATGGCGTCCTTTCCGGGCCAAGCTCATATCAAGAATGCCACAAAGTCAAAGGCCATAGTCGGGCTGAACACTGGCCAGTTTTACAAAATATCGGTGCAGATCTCGATGACTGACGCGTTCGAGCAAATGTACCAATCAGTCACGCTCTCGCCGCAGTCTTCCGGGGATAACCAGACTCCCATCAAAATTGTACCGCAACGCTCACGAAGGCATACTAAGTAGTTTTGTGCGTCAGGTATCGTTACCCGAATTTTCCCGCGCTTTTTGTTAGTACAAGTAGGTATCTCGTCATATGCACCGAAGCCGTGCGAACGATCTGTCATGGCAGTCTTTTGTGGGTGCCAGCTTATAGGCAGCCGCGTGTTTGTTCCTTCCTGCCCCCTCCCTCTCTTCCTTCCGTCTATCCAGCTCCCCCCATGTCCAGCACAAGCGCTCACCGCTCGTTCCAGACGAAGGCGACGCCTGAGCTCAACGCTCGGATTCATGGGACTCTCAGGCCGTTTATATCGGGCTTCGAAGTTGGCCCTTACCTCTCCGTATCGGATAGCATCAATAGGGTCTTCACCTTCATCGCCCGGGACATTGGGAGGGACCCGGACGAGCTGTACCCCACCTGGCGTCAGAAGAGATCTGTTATGCAGTCCAATCCCGCGCTTCGAGCGGAGGAGGATGCCACTTTCTTGCAGAGAATCTTGAGCGAGACTCGGAAATCTGAATCATCGGAGGCAGATTTTCAGTTTTTGTTGGATGAAGGTATGAAGCGCACGCTTCATGCCGATGCTGACTGACTGACCTCTTCCCAGTGATGACTTTTGTGATCCCGATCTCCCCGCAACAAGCTGTTGCAGTGCTACAGGCTGCTGAAGAGGAAGTAAAGAATATCTTGCGTGAATTCCTTGCTCAGGGAGACCCTCTTCCTCCGTGGGAGCCCAGTCACATCCTTCCACACTCCTCGTTTCTCAGGAAGTTGAAGATTCCACGAACACCCGGCGGCGAGAATGTGCCTGACATGTTGCTTCACGACCTCGGCAATGTGAAGAAGGGCTCCAGCCTGGATCGTGCTATTCGCAACATCTTTCTGAAAGCTCCACCGCCCGTCGTGTATGTCTGAATTGATTGTCCTTGCTGGAAGTTCGCTCATCCAGCCCGTCCTTACAGATCACTTGTAAATGCCCCGGGGGCAGGGAAGACAAAGACTATGATCGAGGGACTTTGCGGACACTGGGGATTCTACCTGACCTGTGCAGTCGATTCGGAGGGACGGGGGTCCCGCGATCTCTCGATTGCCTTCAACAAGCACATCAAATTAGATCCGGCCTTCGTCGAGAATCTGGAAGAAGCGGCAAAGAAGGACGAAAATGTGACTCTCAGTAGCCTCCATCGGGTCAACTGTGAAATTGCTCGGAGCCGGATATCTGAGGTCCTCCTGGCCCGGATATGCATCTTGACATGGTTTTTGGATGTGTTGAAGGAGCTCAACCCGATCGGGCCCCTGGATAGTGCCAAAAATAGGCGACTGTGGACTATCCTACAACTGCACCCACCTCATGGACCCAACGGCGGTGACGTATTCCAGTCAACGCTGGAAAGGATCCTCGGCCTGGATGATGAGTATCTGAAGACCTTGACCAGGGCAAAATTGCATACCCTACACTCTTCCCTCAAGATCGGTCTCAATGAGCGCCTATTCTGTGTTGTTGATGAATCACAAACTGCTATCACGACCCTGGAGCACGCTTTCATGTCTCATGATCCTGAGGACATCCAAATAACAGCCCGCCCTGTCCTTCGAGAGCTCGGCGTCGTGTTGTTGGCGCGTGAGAACAACCTGGCGGTTGTGTTCACGGGAACTGCGCTGGCTCGTGTCCTTCTCGACGCAATACTGGCCTCCAAGTTCCTCAAACTAGGAAATGACTACAGGCCCATCACTCATTTCGGCGCCTTCAGCAAACCCGAAGACCATATCGACTATGTCAAAAAGTACATACCGTCGGATCTGCTCGCCACACGGAGTTTCAAAGCCCTCTTTGACCGAATCGTTTACTGGCTGCGAGGACGGTGAGGATCCGGGTCGTTCAACGTGAGACGTAGATCGGCTAAATCTTTGAGTGCAGATACCGATTTACCTCTGCGTTCGTCCGGGAGCTTCTCATGAGCGGATACCAATTGCCCCATTTGAGGCTGAACGCATTCATCAAAGTTGCGACCAAGTCGCCTCTGCTCAGGACCCTCGGCCGTTTCACCTCGGATGGGTTCGATGCTACGGATGGGGCCATCCACTTGGATTCTGAGCTGGAGGCGAATCGCGGTGATCCATTAGTGATCACCATTGGCGAACAGCGGCTGTTCGACTTTGGAAAGATCAAAGACAGTGCGTGTTTGGCCTCGGGATCGCTCTGCAGAAGTGGCCCGAAACTGAACCGGTTCTGCAGATGTCAGATTCGTCGAACTCGTGCGCACGTACGTTCCAGAGATGTGCATGCGGTCGAAGATAACATCCACGCCGATGCCCCTGAAGTACAAAGACAGGAACGGGAGAGTGCTGGAGGATTTCGGCCAACTGGTGCAATACGGCGTCGCCCGTTACGACGAAAACGACATGGGTGTCGAAGGGGACGTGCGCCTGCTCATGGACGAGCCCCTTGCGATCAGAGCGTTGTTGGAGTGGCTCCAGAGCTGCGACGCTCCTCTGGCAGCCATCTTGCGCAAGGCGGCGGTCGGGGGACTGCAGAACCACGCGGGCAACAACGGCGTCGAAGAATATATTGCGTTCTACTGCGCCGTGGCATTCAAATCGGGCGCGAAGCTCAAGGAGATATTTCACTTCCACAAGGGGCTGAAGATCCCCGAATGGGCAGAAACATCGGCCGACCTGGTCTCCGTCTACTGCACTAATCAAGATTCGAGACCAAATGACCCCGTCAAAGCCCAGTCTTGGACCGCAGAATATGATGTTTCGCCCGTGACCGACCAGTCGGGGCCAAGCAACTCACTCGGATACTGTGCATCTACGATATCGGACACGCGCCGATGGATGCAGCATTTGGAGCGGGCGTCGATCTGCTTTCCGGACAAGTTCATGGGGCCGGACCTCGTGATGGTCCTGCGGCTGCACAACGCGCAACGATCGCTCATTTGGCTTGCTATCCAGTCCAAATTCTCTGCCGCTCAAGAGCTCGAGCCCAGCAAACTGAAGGAGGCCCTCCCCACTGTCACCCCGGACGGTTACTACGAGCGACGGGTGAGCTGACCGGATCGTGCCCCGCAGATCACGAAAGCTGACTAGCCTGTTCAGAAAAAGAATGCAGTGTCCGACGAAGAGCCGCAACCACTGGCAGCACACCAGGTCCAGATTCTCAAGGACATGGACAGCCTTCCGAATCGGCTTGAGATTCCCGGCTTCGACCGCAAAAACAAAGCGTTCATGAGACGCATGGTCGACCACTATTCTGGGCCCGACTTCTCCCAACCTTTCGACGCGACCGCGGATGAGCTGGCCGTCCTCGATGGATGCGGGAAACACAGCGTGCTGCGGGTGATTGTGGGCTGGCCGTCGTTGACGAATCTACACAACCGGTATTCGACGCTTCTCCAGCACCGGTACTTTGACGATGACTGTCACCCGATCGTCGAGTTCAACCGCGACCGGTGGAACACGGTCATGGAAGATTACCTGCTGCCTGAATTCGATACTCGCAGGCATAACAGGTCGCGGGGAACCAAACAAGATCGACCGGATGCAGGACACGAGGCTGACGAGCCAGGCCCTTCGATGAAACGACGCAAAACCGCCCACGATCTTGACGCAGACGAGTTCGAATTGGATGTTACATTCGAGCCCAATTCCAACGTGGAGACACAGTTTGCGTCGCAGTTCTTGCATCCCTTCCGGATTGGAGAGGACGCCGGGGAGACTGCGGCGTGGGACGAATTGGAACATGGAGGGAATCCCACTGGGTCGGTCGCAGACGGCCCGCCTCTGACGGCCACCGACCTCGATGCAACCACGCTTGGAGGGCAGTCGGTCTATGATGACGGCGGCCACCCACGGATCACTGAACGCAGGCGGGACGGAACCGTGCGACTCGGCGGCGGAGAGGTGCACCTGAGGGTGCTGGGCCATGAGATAGATCCGCACAAATTCTGGGACACGCACAGATTGGGAGGGATGTCCGGGGATCTGCCCCCTCTGAAAGATTCCATCCCGCAGCTGAAATTGATGAAGAAACGGGAGCGCAGGATATGGCCGGAGCGTGAGGATTGGGAGATCGAGACGGAGTTCACGCAGGAAGAAAAGGGGCTCCCGCTGCAAGACAGAAAGAAGATAATCTTCGAGAGGCTGAAGCGTGCAGCGGAGAGATACGAGGCGTACGTGCGGCGGAATCGGCGAGTTCACTCGACCTGAGAGACGTGGGATGTGCAGGACAGGGCGTTGGATAGCTTCGTGACGATCATGTAGTCGATTGCGTTTCTCTGATCTCAGAGTAGAGACATGGACCATCCTAGATGAAACTTGGACTGTCCAGCATTGCAGAAAACCTTGAGATTCCGGAGCAACATTCTAGGGTCATTGATCGGAATTGATATGTTAGAACTGTCATTTCGCGCGTACGCACCGGCATTGGGACGGCGAGCCAGCCAAGCAACGACGACCCATGCGAGGAGTGAATCCAAGCATGCGCGTGGTCTTGACATTTTAAAGGGCCCACCGGCATCTATCAGTGCTACTTACACAGTGCTGTCCCGTGCGGGAGCGGGGCGAAAATTCATCGTTGCTTACAGAGTCCAAGACGACAGAATATTGGTTTGCAGCGAGCATCCTCCATACAGGACATCATATATTCTTCAAATTATTCTGAAATATGCACTCTACCACACACCCTGGTCCACACCGGTCCCTCCGAATTACCGTAACTCGGAGGATCATCAACTCATTCCATGGTCTGACCGATCAATTGATCGTGATCTGACCAGGCGATAGCAGAAATCCTTCTCTTCTCGTACCACCATAAAATTTCAGCATGTCTTACCAGCTTTTTTGCATCGGAAACCCTCTGCTCGACATGCAGGTCACGAAGGGCGAGGCGATCTTGGAGAAGTACGACCTCAAGGCCAACGACGCAATTCTTGCCGAAGCTAAACACGAGTGCCTGTACGCGTTCAGTGCACAATAACTCAGCCTTCTGAGACAATCTTAGGTACCCGGAGATTGTTGAGAAGTATGACATCACGTACGTTGCGGGCGGCGCGTCACAGAACACTGCGCGCGGTGCTGCGGTGAGCGTTGTTTCACCATCCACATCGATGAAGCTGACATAGTGGGTAGTACGTGCTGCCGCCTGACTCAGTTGTATACACTGGCTGCGTTGGTGATGATGACCTTGCTGAGCAACTCAAGACTGCCAACAAGCGTGAAGGTCTGAAGGAGGTCTATCAGGTCAAGAAGGGGGAAAAGACCGGAGCCTGCGCTGTCATCATCACTGGACACCACCGGTGAGTTTCTTACACATCTTATTGAAGCATATCCCATCGTTTTTTTTTAGTTCGCTCGTGACTACGCTCCGTGTTGCCGAGAAGTTCGAGAAATCGCATCTCACGTCGGAGTTGGTCGCACCTCTCGTCGATGGCGCCAAAGTGTTCTACGTGGAGGGATATTTCCTGACTCACGGCACTGAGAGCATCGTTTACCTGAGCCAGAAGGCGTCCGCGCAGTCCAAGGTCTGTCTCCTTGTTGCTTGTCCTCAAGCACGTCTCATCCCATCTAGATCTTTGCGATCAACTTCTCCGCTCCCTTCATCCCCCAGTTCTTCGGCGCGGCGCTCCAGCAGATCCTGCCTTTCTGCGATCTGGTCATTGGAAATGAGTCTGAAGCCGAGACATGGGCTAGCGCCAACGGTCTCGCAGACCCCAAAGACCTCCCCGCCGTCGCCAAAGCGATCGCGCTGCTGCCCAAATCCAATCCCTCTCGGCCCCGCACCGTTGTCATCACGCAGGGCGCTGATTCTACGATCCTTGTCTCGTCCGCGACACCCGACAGCCCGAAGATATATCCCGTGACCAAGCTGGCGGATGCCGAAATCGTCGACACGAACGGCGCCGGCGACGCATTTGCGGGTGGTTTCCTCGGAGCCCTGGTCGCGGGCAAGTCGATCGATGAGTGTGTGGAGGCAGGACACAAGCTGGGAAGCATGTGTGTCCAGCAAGTAGGTCATCCGTTGTTTGCCACTCCCATAATCTTACGCTGTTTCAGGTTGGTCCTCAGTACCAGTGGCCCAAGGTCAACGTTCTCTGATCCAATATTGTCTGGATGCGTTGGAGAAAGAACGACCAATGTATTACTAGTCACTCTCAACAGTGATGACACGTTGCGATGCAACCTGCTTCCACAGCATGTATTAGACATACTTGTAGAATCCGATAGGCAAGCAACAGTAGCTTGATAATCTTCTTAGGCCTGGCTGACGTCTTCTTTCCCTTATCTTATCTGAGGAATGACGCACATCACAGATAATGCTGATCATGCTTCATGGCGTTTACAATTGCTACCCTATGTACATGGGGTGGGGATGTTTGCCTGAACCTTTAGCACTTGCACTCTCCAGGCTTGCAGGCGCAGCTGTCATGCACGTCAGCGCAACATTAGCGTAAGAGCTGGATAGACTCACTTGGCGCCGCAGTTGCAGGTCGTGCTGCCACAGTGCTGGGTGGTGGGGATCTGGGTGCTCTGAGAGAAATCTCAGCCACTATGAGAGTCTCAGAATCGAAGGAACGCACGGTGAACATCTTTGTAGTTGGTTCTTCGATAGTCGTTCGTAGAAGTGGTTGGTAGGTAAGGAGCAGAGTAAGCCCCAGCTACCGTTTATATGCCCCAGGGTCCGAGCGGTGATGTCACTCATTGCAAATTCCGGAGTGACAGGGCGAGCTGATCGATCACTCCAGGAAATGTCTCGCTCTCCATCAAACAACTCAAAATGTTTTCAAAATGCCTTACTCCGAGCTTCGCGGCCTGTTTTGAGTCGGGCAGAGCTGACGAGTCAGAAATGATTTAAGAGCAAGGCCGACTGCACAGTATAGTCCTGAACGGAGACGAAAGAGCACACAAGTTGGGAACTCATGGATTACATATTTCGTACGACGACTGTGACGATCTCGTGTTCGTCATGGAATTGCTCGCAGCGCCAACCCGTTCAACGAACATACTCGGAGGGACGGGTATCTCCGCTATCAAGTGATCTGCCTCTGACCTAGGGCACTATCACTGTCAGCACTCGGACCTGGACCCGGATCAGAGACGCACCCTAACCATCGTCTCAACAGACTATCGAGCGCTTGGTCCTTACACTCCCTTTCCCTCATTAACTCCGCTTCAGCCCTCTGCAACTCTTGCTCGAGGAGATCGCGTTCCTGCATAGCAAAGCGATGCTTCGCCTTCATAACGAGGTACATTGCTTTGGCGGGTGAACATCCTAGCACAGTATTGGCACCCTCGACGTAGGCGGCACGAAGCCGGGGTGGCAGACCCTCAACGGAGGTGATGTCGATCTCATCTTCTGCGCACAACGACGGAGGCGGGAGAGGCAGTCCCGGAGATACGGGTGATAGCTCCACGAAAGCGATCTATCAAGTCTCGTGGCGGCGTCGAGGGCCTAGATGCTGGGCCGAGGCCTGGTCGGTCAGAGTTCGACGGTGGTGCCTGTCGATTGACATTTGACTCCACGGGTGGCAGAGTCGGAGGTGCATGCGCGGTGGGATCAGTGCCCGTTTCTTCCGAGTCTCGTTTTCTCTGGCTCAGGTCAGAGCCACTGTATCGTGCTGAAGGTGGTGATGATATAGCGCGTTCTTCCGGATTCCGTCGCGTCTGACTCGCATTCGGCGCGACTAGAGGACTGGAGGACTCTAAACGCTCAATGAAAGGAGGAGTGTCAATCATCCATCGCGACACCTACCTGCATGGGCGAACATGATCGATCCTGGGCTGTTATCTGGGCGCTCGGACAGAGTGGTTGGAGGGAGAGGGCAGAAACACGACGATCAAGTTGGTGAAGCTGTCACTGAGCTTGTTTACGCCTGCATTAGCAGTTTTACGTCTCCGGCCGCATATATCCGCCTCCCATAAGGAACATGTCCGCCGACGCGCATACCCTTCAACGCTATTCACCATAAGCTGGTCCTTCGACATTGAATCCTTTTCACAGTCAGGTGCAGGCAATCCGGAACCGCGATTCTCATTTCTACGATTTTTCTGCGACCGAGGATTACTTTTCGCACCTCAAGACTTGGAGCAAACATCATCTTCCGAACTGGCAACGGACGTGGGAACACGGCTTCATCCATCTTCGATACCTCGCTGTTTCGAATAATGTTGATGGTTAAGAACATTTCGTGCTTCCGCTTGTCGTAGGGAAAGGGTGCTGTGATCCACTTGAGATCAGATTTGAGTAAGGACAGCTTTTGCACTTCAGGCAAATTGAAAGGATCGCACAAACACCAAGGCCGAGGCATCATCGCACAGCCACGGCCTCTACCGTGATATTAGCTGATGATAGTTAGCCGATATCCATCAGGATATAGACTGCAGACTGCTGGTGAGGTCATCGCCAGGACTCACACGGGAAGGCTCATCGAAATGTGAATGAACAGCTGAGCTCGTGAATTTCTCAAATCGCAATACTAACGGCTAGTGGTACATACATACAAGTACAGTATCACGCATGGTTCATCGCATTTCTTACAATCGTAACAACTTCATCGTCGTACACGCAAGTTGACACCCCGTTTCCCGGAACGGGCGGCCTAGTTGACAGCTCTCAACGCTTCCCTGAAGTCGGGGATCTCGCCCGCACTCGCCATCGGGTGACCCCACCTGACGATACCTTCCCCATCCACCGCAAAGCTGCCCGACGTCTGCCACCGACTACCGCTCTCCGTCGACCGGACATGGATGCCATCCGTCTTTCCCAGCTGATACACAGCCCAAAGACCCGACGGGCTCATGAAATGGCTGAATGAGGAGATACCGAGTCCCCAGAGCGCGTATACCTCCCGGCCAGCGTCAATGAGGATCTCGACAGACCCGGGACCGCCGAGCGCTTCGACCCACGCGTTTGTCGCGCTATCATCGCTGTGCGAGACAGCGACGAAGCGGACGTGACTGTTTGGCGGCTCGTTCGCCAGTTCACGCAGGAGCTTGAAGGTCTTCTCTGCAACTGTGTGGTAGTCCACCCGTCATTCAAAAGCGGCTCGCGGGGTTCCGGGCGCACAGGCACGTACACGGGCAACCACAGTGCCGCAAGAAAGTCACGACCATTGGGCGGGAGTCGGGCGGCGGAATGGGAAGGAGGCTCGACGTTGGGGCGAGTGTACCAGCCTTAGGCACTGCAGATACCGATGTCCGCGTTGGGAGCACGAATGAAGCTATTTCTTGAGTGAAGGTCATGGTCGAGGAAGAAGCGCAAGACCCGATCAGGAATGGTCAATGACGACATCCTGCTAAGTGTTTTCAGTATAGCATGACGACGAGAAGACTGTGTCCATAGCATTAATGGGGTAGTGGTAACCTGGGTCGTTGCCATATGAAAGTGCTGACTTTCGACCCGCCGGGGGTTCGATTCCCCCTTAATGCATGTTTTAATTCAACCACCTTTTTTAGGTGAGATGCGAGGGGGTAGGTCGGCAAAGGCTAATGACCAAAACGACATTTTCAACTGCAAGGTCACCTTCTACTCGTCATCGCCACCCATTAAACAACAAATTTTTCTGTAATATTTCGATAAATACACATTGAATTCAATGCATTGCTGAGAACAGAGGATCCTGGTATTGCAGTGAGTGTACAAAAGCAAGTGTAATGGTGGATGATATATATATACTGTATATGTAAAAGAAAACGCAATTGACAATCAGTACTACTAATAGTGTGAACGAAAGCGATTATCGAGGCATGGACATCATCGACACATTATCAGACATAAAACGCTGCGGCCCTTCGGCGGTCCGGAGCGCAAGCACCCGGTCGTCGGAAACCATCAAGATCTCGTCCCGCCCCACGCCCTGCGGATATCTCTGTTGCTGCTGCTGCTGGTACTGGTACTGCGGAGGCGCATACGGGTTGAACTGCGGTGAGCGGTCATACCCGCCCTGGTTATATGCATACCCGGTCCCATTGTTCACAGACGGAGGGGTGTCAGCGAAAAGTAGGCGGAGATTCGACCCTTGGATCACTTGCGACATCAAGCCAGTGTCGATGTGTCGGATCTCGACGAACGAGGGCTCGAACGCCAGCACATATGGCTCGTGCAGTGCTGGATATGTATCAGCACCGGCACGTGTCATAAGCATGCCGACGACGCACCGAAACCAGTGGGTGTTCCTTCCCAGTAGACGATAAAGTTCTTTCGCGATCGTCGACCGGTCCGGTTCACGTAGAACGCAAACTCTGCGCAGATGTTCAGTGGGACAGCAACAGATAAAGCCAGACCGGCGCACCATCGTAACATAAGAGGAAGTCATTGTTGACTCGATAAATCGCCATCGGCCGTAAATTCTCCTTCTTGCGAACGAATTCGAGACTTTCGTCCGAGGGATCAAGCAGACCCTGGGTTTCCAGTGTTTCCAGATCCACAATCTCAAAGCCTTTAGAGCAGCCGATACACATCCTAGTCTTGAGGTAGTGGATCGAGGTAGACTCGACAGGAATATAAAACTCCTTGAACGGCCGAAGGGTGTCGTTTCCACCCTGCAGAAGCTTCTTGAACGTCGGCTTAGCACGCCCTCGGACATTCTGCTCGATCGGCTCGAGCGCCTTGAACGTAGACGAGAGCTGCGTTGACTTGACGACACAGACAATCACCCGCCCGAGACAATACCCGGCTTTGAAGAAGGACGTATGCGTTGCAATCCGTTTGGCGCGCTTGAGACCAGCCGTCGGGTCATTTGCGTCCAGCGCTTCCAGAGGAAAAGTCATGACAAGGCGTTCTTGAGTAGATATCAGCTATCGGAGGATATTCGCGACAGAGCGAACAAACATACCCGACAAAACGATAAGCAGTTGGTAGTCCTCGAGAACATCTACTTGACTAACGTCAAGCAGGGCAAGAACCTTGACGGGATCCTTGTGAAGCTCCCGCAAGTCAGAGATGTAGACACCGTCGTCAGTGCCATACACGATACGCCGTCCACCGCCTAGTGTCACCATCAGAGAACTACCTTTATATCCAAACAAACGGGGCTCACTGAAGGGTGCAGCGCAATTGACCTTATTGGCACCGAAGAAACCCTCGCTCAGTGCGATCGTATCAAAGACCAGACTCCTCTCGCGCATAGCCGTCTGCTGCTTGATGATATTCTCCATCCATTTGCGCTGAGCCAATGGCGTGCCGGCAGACAGCACCAGACTGTACGCCTTCCTCCCCAGGTGCGAGAAACTGATCCAATTCGGTCCCTTGGCGTCTGCTCGGATCACGACTGAAGGAGGATGTGGCGACCCCCGCTGTCCAGCGCCGTTCCCGAACGACGACTTTCGCACGAGCTGCCGCCGTTGACCCCGCAGCGTGTCCTTATCTTTGCCGTTCATGTCTTCCGACGCTGAGACGAGAAGCAGTTCCAAAGGAATAGGCTGCCTAGAGTAAGCATCGAAACGACCGTGAAGCAAGGATAGCTCACTTTGCGGTAAACTCGCATATGCTCAGTCTGCTTCTGCTTAACGATCTTGACGAACAGCAGGGCATGATCGAACAGATACACCTGGAGCTCGCCATCTCGCTTGTTGAGCGGACCCTTGTAGACAAGTTCACGGCCCTCTTCTCGCAAACGCAAGTCCTGAAACCGGTGTCACAAAATCCGAAAACACCAGGCAAGCGAGGCACACTCACAACCTGATCCCCTTGCTTGAACTGCAGCTGAGAATCCAGCTGAGCAAGGTTGAATCGGTTCTCCGCTTTGCCCGATTCCTCGTTCACCCTCGAGAGCAGGGCTCGGATCTTCTCAATCACAAGCGGCAAGGTCTGTTTGTCCGTAGAGTCAGCGGGTGTGTGCTTGAGCACTGCTTCCAACAGTAGCGGATAACGAGCGAGACGAGTGGTCGGCTTGGTCAGATATGCGTTGAGCTCCAGTTTCCGTGATTCAGGTAGTCGTTCGGTGGCCTGATACTATTAGCACATGGGCTGGCTGGAAATGGAGAACAGACGCACCTCGACGAATGCTGCAAACGCAGGATTCTGCCCCTTCTCCTTCTCAAACTCATACTTCCCGTACAGCTGGTGCGCTCCATACATAACGAATGGCTCAAAATGCGGTACCGCGTCCATAAAGATGTCTCCAATCTTATCCACCACAACGTAGCCACGTTGCCTCTTGTTCAGGGCGTCCCGGAGCTATCAAAGACTCGTCAGCTGCTGCTCCATTCCCCAAAGACTCGAGCCACGTACCTTGCCGTTGACAGTGATGATATCGTGAGCATTCCAGAAGACTTGGATCAAAAACTGCTCCTTTCGTTCTGCGGGCTCAATGAAGTCGGCTGCCGCGATACGAGAGACCCATGTGTCACGAAGATACTCCATGTCGCGAACAAAGTCGCGTTCAGTGTATATGACTTCGTTGATCGCTTCTTGTCGCTTCCTCTCGGTGTCACCGATGCTGGCGAGGATCTCCGCAGGTACCGAGTGGATCCACAGCAAACCAGAGTCGCCATCAGGCTCGTTGAGTGTCTCGGCGATGGTTTCCTGTGTGAAGTGTGAAGATTGAGAAGACGGACGTCTATAAGAACACACCTTCGAGTTCTTGAGACCTGGCTCGGGTTTCATGTTTAGCCTCGCCTGCTGCTCTAGTCTCCGAGGACATGCTATACTGTAGCACAACTGATCTCGACTGCACGTCGGACTGTAGCAATCTGCCAACAGTGTGAACACACCGGTGGGCAACGGCGCATCATCTTGTTTGTCCACCAGACCAATCGCGTCATCGAACGAATCCGGGGACACGACATCGGACGGGGGACCTAGCAGATTCTCCCCAACCTCGCTTCCCTTGATCGTCATCTCTCCACTGGCGAACGGGCTGGATAACTTGGTCTGGAACTGATACAGCTCCGATGCGCTGTCGCGTAAGCGATGGTCATATGTGACATCGTGGAAGAACTTTTGAGCATCCAAAGCCCGGCCTAGCAGTAGCGCCAGGTTTCGGTCCGTTGTCTTGATGATATGCGCTATCCGATCAACAGCTTCTCGTCCATCAAACGCGTCGTGATAGGTGAGCTCATCTTTTACGCGATCACCCAGAGGCACCCGCTGTCGGAATGCATCTGCTACGAGCGAGAGTAAGCAGGGTACACTATCGGTGCACCTCTCGGTCGTTTCGGGTGTGCGACAGTCGATGACGACGAATTTGTATGTATCGGACCACCCGGGCCGGGAATCAACGAGAATGCCGGGGAGGGTGGCGTTGAGCTTGAGGACACTGCAGACATGCTCATCGCTCGGTCTTGAGCTGCCCGGTCTTTCCGTGGACCAGAAAGCCTCGGTAGGTTCGCGCACTTTCAGACTGGCGTCGGTTGGTCGTCGAATGGTTCCCTGTACTACTGGCCGCCAGTGTGGTTCCCGAATAATTGGAAGGTGCATAGTTCCCTGCGGGAGGGAATGGCTCATGTTCGAGCGAGGTCGGCGATGTCGATGAAGACGCGACGGAGGAGCGAATGGAGGTAGGAGGTGTGTCGGACGCAGTCGAGATCCTATGTGCTTGGACCTGTGGATGCCTGAGAGATCCATACGACGTGGGCTGTTGTATTCGCGGCTGTTGCGGTGAATTGGAGGGTGCTGGAAGAGAATCAGTAAATGATCCGACATATATCAGAAGAAAGTTAGAATTAAGCGCTAGCCCATCGCAAGAATAGAGCGAGAGCAGACGCAGAGATCAACGTGACGCGCAGTGCACCCGGATAGTGTCCAATAGATCGATATCAAGCGTCCGAAATGGAGCACGCAGCCACGTGCATCGTGTGTGAGTGACACAACGCGCATGTTCAGTCTCTAGCCCAAAGCAGGGCTGAAAAAACGGGGGGAACAATAGATCAGAAAGACATGGTCCAGAAACTTACGTTCTCGTTCTAGATGTGAAAGACAAAGACGGGTAAAAGTCAGCTTCAACATCATGTCACAAGAGGAAAAGTAGGAGAGATGGAAGTAAAGGCAGCAACAGGAGAGATGGTTCCACGCCACGACAAAATGGGCTAACGAAACGAGTCCCACTCCACAGCCATGACAAGACCACGCCTGATCAAACACGCGGTAGAAGATGTAGGTCCAGAAACCAACACCGGCAGTCCAGCGAATAAAGTTCTGGGCATCACGAGAACAAATGGTGGACACGCCTAGTTCATCCGCAGATGGTCTCCAAAACAGGCGCCACATCGTCACAAAAGCGTCATGTAGCTCGGATATCATGCGAGGAGGCAGACACGAGGAAAAGAAGAGATGAGAGGTGCTCACGCTTTGTTGAAGAGGGAGAGTCGCGTTCTGGAAAGGAACGATTCAGAAACCAGTAGAGAGAGAGAAAAAGAAAGGGAGGCCATTCAGAAGCTGTGAGAAACAAAAGGCCGAGTATAACTCCATTGGAATCCGGACGGGTGTTATTCCGCAGAAAACCAATGAATTATTTTGACTGTGGCAGGTGAAGGGAAGCGAAATGGGAAATGACGTCGTGCCATCGATGCAGCATCCATCGCAACCGTAGAAAAGGTGCGATCGAGCTTCTCGGTGGTGAATATGACCAAGGGCCAGAGAACGAAAAGATTGGGAAGCGAAGGAAGAGGAAACGAAAGGAGCATAGGAATGAACATACTCACCTCGCGCCCAAGGCAGTTCACTTTCTTCATCATCATCAAAACTCCCAGGCGCTGAGTCGTCGACCACACCCCCAGCACCAGATGAATTCACTCGTTCGTTTTGCGCAGAATTGGCGCCGAAGTCATCGAAGTTGAGGTTGAAACCGAGTCCTTCGCCGATAGCAACAGTGAGAGATGGCGGCTTGCTGGTCCGGTCTCCCAGATCCAGACTACTCCCACTAGCGCCCAAACCCCCATTCGCAGCGATCCCATTCGATTTAGGTGGCGGGAGGAAACTTCCGCGGCTCATACCGGCCTGCGGAGGTGCAGGACTGGTTCGTCCATACGCGACCTGCGCCTGGTACGCCTGGGCCGGCGTGAGACCTTGTTCATCCCTCATCTGGGTCGGTGGCGGGACCAAAACTCCATGCCCAGGGTGGTTTTGCTGGAAGGGCGGGTGCGAGACGGAGGAATGGAGGCTAGGTGCACGGGGACCAGCGGGCGCACGAACGTATTGATACGGGGTCTGCAGTTGCGGATACGACGGGGGATATGGAGCTTGAGGACGGTACTGCGGCTGCTGCGTGTATTGCGGGTATCCCTGCGAGGGGTAGTATTGTTGCTGAGGAGGATAGGGCTGATATTGAGCCTGGTTCGGAGGATACGGTGGCTGCTGGGAATGGTGATTGGCAGCGCGACGACCGAAGATATCTTCGTAAGCGGTAGAGCGTTCCCCAGGTGGCTGCTGGCGGGGGCCGAGCGGGCGGTCCATCTCGTCGCGAGTGTCCTGTGTGAGCCTGAGCCAAGGGTCAGTAATCAATGGTAAACTCTGCCACTACCTGGTCTCATGACGCAGATCGATATTTTACACCGTCGAAAGTTGTTCTAAGCATTAATGGGGTAGTGGTAACCTGGGTCGTTGCCATTGCGATGTTTCGACCCGCCGGGGGTTCGATTCCCCCTTAATGCAGCAATGAAGACAAGTTTGCTTCCTGTCTTTCTTTTGCTTCCCTGTGCTTTTGCTTGCAAACAGTGCTCTCAATCCACGGAAGGCTTCTCCTTTAACCTCGTTTCCCTCCGATGAAGCGAGGATTTGGACTAATCATCTTAATTATCGTGCACAGTCCGAATGAAATGTTTTTTTATTGATTTTCCAACGTTTATACAACAGCGCAGCAGGTATGATACAAAACGAGACAGGATATGGACGAAGATCGAAAAGCACGCTACATCGCCTCCGGTGGAGGCGGGCCGTCACCGTCTGCAACAGATGCAGACTCATCTGAGTCACTCTCGTCGTCTTCGCTACTTTCTCCGTCCTCGCTGTCATCATCCCCGGTCTCGCTCTCACTTTCATTGAAGGTCAGCGAAATGAACTCATCCCCTAACTGGGCGTCCTCGACCGTGACAGTCGCCACACTGGAGTCAGCCTTGGGAGCACCAGAAGAAGAAACAAGAGGAGCCAGAGCAGTCGCAGACTTCGCGTTGGAATTTGCAGATATCTGAGGCTTCCGGTTGCGATTGGCACGAATGACGTGAGGAAGCTTGCATCCCTTCTTTGTACAAGTACCATGCTCCGCAAAGTCGGGGCATTCACGAACGTGTTGCTTGTCGCAGTCGAGCCCCCGAGACAGTAGCCGAGAACAGCAAAGTCGCGGCATACACCCGAGCGGGTACCAACGTTGACATGTGGGAACGGGCACGCATCTCGAGTGCAGCGACCTTTGTTGAAAAATGCACACAGAGTGGCGTCCGTTCCGGCGTCGGGTCGTGGGAGAGGTCGCAAGTTTCAGCCGTCTTCGGACAGGTGCCCTGGAGAAAGTTCCAGCAGACGGCGATTTTCGCAGGATCGTGGGCGTAAGCACATGTAAGACCACGAGCACAAGAGCCTGGAGAATGAAATGAACGTGAGGGGAATCACCATTGTCGACATTTAGGAAGAGGTCGGCAACCGCTGAAAGAAAACGCACCAGTGGTAGAAAAGCGAGGGCATGGCTTTTCGGAATATTTGAGACGCTTCATTTCCCGACGAGACCTGCAAACAATGATCAGGGGAGTACGCCAGCAACAGTCGAGGGACAGACGGACTGGTAGGGTCGTCTGTTGTTGGTCAGCGTCATGTTCACAGGACCACGGCGACGAGAGCTTTTAGGTTTATATATACGCGGCCCATTCTTGAAGCGAGGTCGAGCTGTGGGTATATTTGGGGTGGGGACAGGAGTAGATTTAGGTACTGAGAGAAGTTGGAAGTGTTGCAAGGATAAGAAATCGAACACACAATCTTTGCGAACCAAAGATCGACTAGAAGATTCAAAGCGACACCGTTGAGTATGACGTCCTTTGTGCCTTGAACTGAGGGCGGCACTGATCGACTCGACGGAGGCTTTGAGAGAGGCGGGATTGACGATCGAATGTACTTGTTGGCGGGTGGTCTGTACGTCGGATTGACATAGCTGTTGTTCCGGGGTGTCCGATAGGGATATCCAGATGAGGATGATGATGATTTATGCTGGTCGATTGTGGCTGTGAAGACGCCAATTCAGAGCAGAAAGAGCCGTACACGAGGGAAAACCAGCCTGTAAGTCTCGCGATTTCGCTTTTCAGCTGGGCGTCGGAGGTCATGGTAGTAGTCAGAGGACAAGCAGGAGTTGTTGGACTGTGTTGTCCGTGGATCATGTCACCCGTCACGATGTCGTCACAGATCAGTCATCTTACAGAACTATTGCCCATACTCATTCCGGATTACGAAAGGCTGATTGTTACCTCCTTCACTCACGACCCCATGTCGCGCTCGACTAGAATCAAGATTCTGCTTGCGATAGATGTTGTTTTTTTCTTTGTCGAGCTCATCTCTGGTTCGCATTGGCCTAGTCTCTATCTCAGAGTTGCTCACTTTTCCGCAGGTTATGCCGTCGGCTCACTAGCCCTCGTAGCGGATAGCTTCCATATGCTGAAGTCGGTCGAAATCTGTTCTGCACTCTACTGCTGTCGCTGACAGAGGCCCAGCGATGTTATGAGTCTGATCGTGGCGCTCTACGCTATCAAAGTGAGCACATACCTGTGTTGCTTCACTGTGTGGCTCACACACGATCGATAGCTAACGGAAGAGAACGAAAGCGACTCGCGATACTCATATGGCTGGCACCGTGCCGAAATCCTTGCGGCGCTGGTGAACGGTGTATTCCTACTTGGTACTAGGCACTTTCGGTTTCCATCATAGATTTGCTCATTCGTCCCAGCACTGTGTTTTTCCATCTTTTTGGAGGCCTTGGAACGTTTCTTCAGCACGCCAGGTGCTCAATTTGCCTATCATCGCGGTCGCAGCTTACACATGGTTAGAAATATCTAATCCGCAGTTGGTCGTCATCGTCGGAACGCTCGGTCTGGCGTCAAATATCGTTGGGCTGTTTCTATTCATGGTTCGTGGATGGCTCCACCTCATCTATAGATCTAAATTCCTAAGTAGAACACTCACACGGGCATTCGCATTCGCATGGCGATATCAAGTCCAATGGTTCTCCGCGAATTCCCGCATCTTCTGTCAGCTCCACTACCGTCAGACCTGGGCTGGAGTCCGAAGAATCGGATTATGCACTCGCTGGCCATCCTGTCATGACGCGCGCGGCCATCGTGCAAGGTTTGAGTTCTTGGTGGACGCCGTGATTGCATATCTGAATCGGGATTCAGTTGCTCAGGACATGGCTCGCCAACGGTCACCTTCGCCACCCCGATCCCATGTCCGAACAATGTCGCTGGAAGGCCCGCGATCTCGCTCTCATTCGCTTTCCCATGGCCCGTCTGAAAACACGCCACTGCTCGGCTCCGCCCATGATGAACAGGCTCACGAACAGCATACCCACGGACACGAACACGGCCACGACCATGGTCACGGCCACTCTCATTCGCATGCAGGCTCGATGAATATGCGAGCACTTGTCTTGCACGTGCTGGGAGACGCTCTCGGTAATGTCGGCGTCATTGCGACTGGACTGATCATCTGGCGCACAAATTGGCAATTCAAATACTACTTCGACCCCGTCATCAGTTTGGTTATCGCTATCATCATCTTCTCTTCGTCTCTTCCATTGGGTGCGACCATCGGTACTCCCGCTGATCAACATTACTCACTCCACGGAACAGTCCGCAGCGCTGCTTTTGTCCTCTTACAGGGTGTTCCCTCCACTGTTTCCCTCGAAGAAGTTCGAGAGGCTATTCTCGCCGTCCCTGGTGTGTTGGGTCTGCATGAGCTCCATATTTGGCAAGTGAGTGTCGCAGTCGGGGCCTCAAGATATGCACTCACTAGTCATCTCACAGTTATCCGAGTCAAAAAACATTGCCTCCGTCCATGTTTTGGTTTCAACCAAAGTCGATTTCATGCCGATAGCCGCCCATATTCGCATGGTTTCTACTGTTTCCCCCCATTTCGTTACGTTTCTCACGTGCGAATAGACTCTTCATCATCACGGCATTCACTCTTGCACGATCCAACCGGAATACAACCCTACCGGACCTTCCGAGCACGTGGTCAAGGCAAGTCCTTGCGAGATCTTTCTAACTTGTGCAGCCGTTGATGAACCCCAGTCCTCTGAGGATACATCGTGTCTGGTGCAGTGCCCACCGGATCAAGCTTGCAATCCACAAGACAATGCCTGCTGTCGTAAGATCCTTTGTCTACAGACTTCGAACTACCCTAATCCCTTTCTAGCTCCTCCTCCGGCAGTCGTGTAGCCAGCCTTCAATAATCGTTATAGCCCTGGGCAAGAACTGTAACATACAGCACATAATTAACAGTATATACATTGTCACCAGTTCAGTAGCTCAAATCTCTGTGCACATCCAAGCCCGTAACCAATATTTGCTAGTGGGAGCGATTTATCTTGACAATGATTCCAGCCAATAAGTAAAGAGCATGCAAGGGGCAAGAAACAGACTTCTAGACTTGCCAGCCATGCTATGAAAAGTATTTCTGATGCATGTAGTTTTTTCAAATTATCTTTATTATTCCCCATTATCCACCGATCCGCTGTGGCAACTTTCCCTGGCGTATCTTTGATAAAGCCGCATTTCCCTCGGGATCTGAAGCAGGTGTTGGGTTGAATCGTTGAGTCGTTGTGCCGCCCCATTATCGTATGCTCGGGGGCCGGAGCTGGTAGATGTAGAAATATAAGCGCCGTTTCTGGTCTCTCGAATCCTGTCCCTCGTTGCTCCCTTTTGCTCCTCCGTCTTTTCCGAGTAGCCTCAGTTCTCTGTACGTCTTTGCCAGCCGCCTTTTGCGCGCCACATATCGCACGAGGGTATGCACGTAGTGTTTACAGGGAGGTCATTCACGTGATACGTGAACGCACGTCACGTTATGTGACTTGACGCGTTTGTCTGTCTACCCTGCACACTACTCATCATGCCGCCCCACGCCCGCATCCCCCAGCTCGACCTCGCCTCCATTCTCTCCGCTCAGAACCCGACAATTGATCTCCGAGTTCAATCGTACGAAACGTCCTCGCGTGGCTTCCTCAAAGCTGTTGCCAACTACAAGTCCCGGACAATCGCCACCATCTCTGAACGGCGGGAAAAGGACGCGGCTGAAAAGAAAAAGACAGTGGAGAGAATAGCCAGTGTGGAGGCGGAGACGAACCAATGCAAAATTCAAGAAATCCAACTCGTGGCTGGTGTGTTCTTCCGGCGCTATATCCGCGCGCGTTAACGGCATGGCGCAGACCTCCAACGGGAGCAGGAGGAAAGGAAGGAGGCCAGCTCCGCTGTTGCGGCGTTCAAGCGACAACTAGCTACCTTGCGCGAACGATGCGCAGCAATCGACGCTCAGATTGAGAACTACCGTGTGATTACGGCGAATCTCGAACGAGGCAGGTGACACACTTGCTCTGTCAACTCTGGCCACTCAATCTCGATAAAGAAAAGAAGAAGGAGCGCGAGCAGCTCAGTTCTACGGCCTCACAGGTCGTATCACAAGTTCAAGAGATCGAGGACCGCCTCGCGTGCGTCGTTGAAGGTTTACAAGCGGACCAGATCTTGGTCCGCATGTCGAGGATTGATCCCTCTGAACCTGATAGGGAGTTCACCTTTGTGCTAGATGTTTCCGGGGACACGTATCGAGGTGAGTACAGCCTCGTAGATCCTCGTTCCGGAATTGAGGACGTCCAGTCATAACCTCGACACCTCCACTTGCAACACTACCTGTGCTGGTCGAACATATGCGGGACTCCAAAGATGTTACCTGTTTCATTAAGGATGTTCGACAGGCATACGCAGATATGATCTCACAGGCCTATTGAACTTGGACTGGTACATTTAGCTGTTGCCGTACCTGTACATACATCGCTTACGCTTTTCCTCAACTGCTATCAACCTCTAAGTACAGTAATTATCGTTCAGTCTCCTCTGGGTCCTTTGATCGACCTTGATCTTCAATCTCAGTTTGATGGTGCAGCACAGCCCGCATACAACTGACGGCTTCGACTGTCCCACCAAGCATGGTTCTCAAAATCCTACACCATGCCTACAACACCGTCTCACCCCATCTTTCCACCGCTTCCTTCAAGTCCACCTCTACCTACGTCTCTCTCGCTGCGGCGCTGACTGCTCTCCTGACCATCCACCGTCTTGCCCAAGGCACAAGTACAACGCGCGACCGCGACCTGCACAACCGGACTTTCCTCCTCACGGGCGCATTCACCCCTCTCGGCCTGACCGTGCTCGAAGAGCTCGCGCGGCGGGGCGCGTCGGTCGTGGCGCTCTGTGATGGGGATCCCGACAGCGACTTGGAGCCGTTCAAGGAGCTGGTCGCGGCGATGCGGGAGGTCACCAAGAACGAGAGCATCTACGCGGAGCGGTGCGACTTGCGACGACCTGAGGAAGTGCATGCTCTGGGGAAGAAGTTCGCGGAAGCCGAGTTGGCTTTCGGCCAGGAGCAGGCGAGCCAGCCTAGTGGGGGACCCAAGCCCGGCAGTGCGAATGAGAAGCGGCTGGATGGAGTGGTTTTCGTGCACGAGTATGGCACTTCGTCGGCGACGACCGTACAGAATAGGATGAAGGATGCGGATGAGCGCGCGCTGGGGACATTTCTATTGGCGACGGTATTGCTCCCGCTGCTTCTCTCTGCGCCGACCGAACGGGACATCCGAATCGTCAACGTCGTCAACCGGTGGTATTCTGCCGCCATTCCCGCTCTCGCTCGCGGAGAGCCTCTGTGGGCCTTCCAGTCCGTGTCGTCACCGGCTGCCGCCGCGCCAACGGGCATTATCCCGATCGAAGCTGCTCGCTCGCTACGAAGCATGATTCTAGTACGACATCTGCAGCGTATCTTCGACGCTCTACCAGCTCCGCCGCTTCCCGCTCCTCAGTCAACCGGCGTTGGCGCCGCGACGGTCGTTCCCAACGTCGGAAAAGACGCGAAACAGCGGAGCAATATCGTTGCCATGAGCGTATCGCCTGGAGTAAGCCGCGGGGAGAGCGTCGCGCCCTGGATAGGGACCTTGTTGTGAGTGGGGCAGCGGTTCCTGTTATTTCCGAGTCTTGCTGCTGATCTCATCCTCAGATTCATCTTCTTCTACCCGTTCGTTTTCCTTCTGACCAAGAGCGCGACTGCCGCAGCACAAAGCGTCTTGCATGTCCTTTTCCTACCAACACCGTTCAAGGTGACTTGGCTATTTACATGCGATCTTTTCTTGCCTGATTCGCCTTCCAGATCTTATCCTCGATGAACGAAACGGCATCAGCAACTGTCGAGAAAACAGAGGTCTTGAAACCGGGATCGCTGTACGCCGAATGCGCCGTAGTCGACTTGCGGATCCCCCCACTTCCCGAGTCGCTATTTGCGGCGGCAGATAAGAAGACAGAGAAATCCAAGGGCGATGACTCTAAGAAGGAGCTCGAGATCGAGGACGATCGGGAAATGGGCGGCGAAAAGCTGGGCCGATTGGTTTGGGAATCCTACGAAAGCGCACTGAGTCGGTGGGAAGAAGAAGAAAAGCAGAGAAAGGAATCGGAGGAAGCAGCCGACTCTGCAAAGGACGCTGGCAGTACTTGAGTAAGACGGACAATGCAAGTAGCTACCATCATCGTCAAAGATGCGTGAGATTAGTGGACATCTATTATACAACAAAACATTCTAAGTTGATTCTGAAAGCAGTGGATTTTCCGTCATTGCCGGTGACGACCGTGTCGGGGGAGACCAACCCGGGGAGCCAGGCGGGATGGTGTAAGAGCTGTTCCATTCTTCAGGGTCTCCATCGGCTTCGGTGGATGAAGCGGGCGAGGCTTTGTTGGAAGATGGATCGGGAAGGTCGAACCGATGAGACGCGAGCTCCAGGGGATCGGAGAAGGGCATGTCCAAGCCGTCCTCCAGGTCGGGCGGCTCGTCTCGTGGTGAGGAAGGCGAAGATGCGTTGGTAGCTGAGCGGAAACCCGTTAGACCAGGGATATCCAGATCGTCGTGTGTGTCATCTGGAATGTCGAGGGTCTCGGCGTCGGGTGTTGTGAGGGAATCACCGGCTGGACGTTTCGACCGTGCTTCCTCAACTTTGGATCGCGTTTTCCCGCCCAGTGGCCTGCTCGTTCGTCGGCGATAAAAGAGGAGATATGCATTGGCCGTCTAAAAACAAGTCAGACAACGGATAAATGTCGGAAACGGAGACTATACCACAGAATCTTCTGCCTGCGCTGGTGAGACGTGCGAGTCATCAAAGTGATACCACTGGTTGTTGGCGTGATTCAGAGCATAAGCCCGGTAATGGCCACCACCGAGACCGCCCATGTGTTCGTCCGCCAAAAAGATCGTAGATCAGGGGTTCGTCAATGTCAACGCCCTCCAAATCCACGCCCTGCTCCCTCAACCTGTCCGCAGCAGCGCGCTCGCCAACCATCTTGCCCAAATCCAACCCGTGCACAGGGAAGTCGACAAGCGCATCAATCTTGTCCCGCAATGCGCGACTGTTGCTGAATCGTTTCAAATGTACAACGAGCACATCCGGAACCTTCCATAAGTCGAATTTCTTGCTCGCCTGCTGGTGTTTCTTGCACTGCGGACAATACCACAAATCGTCTTCGCCCAATTTCTCCTGTTTCGTGAACTCGTCGAGGCAGTCCTGCAACGAGATGCCCCGGCTCCTCTTCGACTCGCTTTCGCGCTGCGATTCTTCGAACTCGGGATGCACAAACTGCATCCAAGAATCCCATAGCGCATCCTCGAAGCGGAGAGAGGACCCGAAGTAGAAGGCCTTCATATGATCGTCGAACTCGCAGACCAGGACGTCGCCCTCTCGAACCAACATCGGCTCCGTCCCAGCCTCTTTCATTCGCTCCTCGATTGACTCCGTGCGGCCGAACGCGGAGGACGTTCCGTACTCCTTGTTTCCTTCCTGAAACCGCAGCGTGAAGAGATCCGGCTTCGGTCCTGTGGGCACGACTTCGGTCGCGGTCGCGACCTCCATCATGACATCCTCGTTCTCGATCTTCTCGTCGACGATGTCGCCCTCGACCGCGGGTGAGTTTTCGTCGATCTTGATTTCCACAATCGAGTCTACAGGATGGTCCTTGGCCTCCCAGCTAAGGAGATCGCGGGCATTCTTCGTCCATCGACGGAGACGATCGACCAGCATGTTATAGATGGCGTCGATGCTTGTCGCGTCATGGGAGTCGATTACGGCAATCATGGGATGACCGAATGTATTGCTGGAGTTCCCATACGAGACGGGAGGAGCGCCAAATATAGTGCGGGAAGCGGGCTTCATGTCGCTCAGGTACACCGGGATAATCAAAGGATCGCCGGGCTGCTTCTTGTACGTTCTGCTCTGCTGCGCGTGGCATGGCAGTTCGTAGCAAACGATGACATCGTTGGGGGACATTTCCCCACAGGGCAGACTATCATCCAAGCTTTTATAGAACTTGTGCGAGAAGGTTTCCATCGCCAGAAGCTAGATGGGGGCGCGTGAGATGCGAGAAACAGGATAAAGGGGGGATGCGCACATTGTCCGCAGGAACGTCCACCCAGCGACCGAGAAGCACCTTCAGATCCTTGAAAGATGCATCGCGCCCGATTTCGACAGGGATCTGCCCGCGTATTAGCAAACAGATCACATATAGGCAGATTTACCCACCTTCAGATGGGGCTTTGAAATATCCCAGGGGATGAAGTGGATCGCATGCTTCCACTTCTTCTGGATCGGTAACGGCAGTGTCAAATACATGAAAGGATCAAACGTGATCGAGACCTGGATGAAATTAAGTCACTGAGCGAGTAAGCCGGATCCAAAAAAAAACGCACTTTCTCGCACTCGGGACAGACAAGAGTGCTCTGATACTGCCCTTGGAAGAGATCGACGATGACACTATCATTTCGAAGCATGTATCCGTCCCATGATTTCTGTGCCAGCTGGACCAACTCCCGATCGCCTCCCCCTTCCCAGTCGGGCTTCTCGACGTACGGTTTCTTGAGTACACGATTCAAGTCTTCGTGCAACCCATCAAGAAGAAAGGCAACAAGTTCCTGTGAGTCATGCTGCTGGTACCCACTGAACTGCGGAGCGAAGCGTTGCAGCTGTGTCTTGAAATCGCGCGGAGAATAGGAAGATGACGTGGCCGTGCCGGCCCAGATCTTCTGCAACAGTGCTCCGAAGGCCTCGGCAATGGCGCCATGCATTCCCAGCGGGTTTTCCGGGTTCAGCTCGTCCTGGAATACACCAGCTACAGACAATTTTAGTTCAGGACAAAAATAGCACATTCACGCACTTAAAAAATAGTCCACCAGCTCCGGTTGATGCGCAAGACATTGCAGAGCCGAGTTCATGAAGCAGGTGTTCCCCATGTTCCCCAGGCCCAGAGTCCCAGGTTCTATCGACCTCGCCGGGGACGCCGCACGGAGGGTGCTGCGACCAAAGCTGCCAAACGGTGTCGCTCGCGGGAAGACGGCCGCTTTGCGCCCATCCGGTTGAAAAAGCTGTCGTTGGAGTTGAACAAAGGGCCTATCAGCGCCGGTGGTGCTGATTCAGCTGGTGCCTCGGCGAGCCACCCAGTAGGAGCTTTGTATTCGACCACGAAGGTATCACCGTGCATGATCCCGGCCTCCTCGAGTGTCTTGAGAGTCTCGGACGAGTCGACGATCTCTCCTTCAAACGTAGGCACGTCCTCCACGGGGATTTCGGAGGTTTCAAAGCCGATGGAAGGAGGCCTAAGGAGCTTCCATACGCGAGCAGGGGTTGCGCGGGTGAGATCCTGAGGTCGCGCCACGTCTTCTAGCTGTGTCGTTAACAGACCGACTGTCTCTGCAATGGAAATGTCCAGAGTGGGTGGCTCAGATTCATTGGCGGATCGTATGGTGACCATCCGCAGAACGTAGACCCGAAGTGGATATAGCTCAACAACCGCCTCCTTCGATACTCCGCGTGAAATGACCTTGCGGGGCAGTGGCCACTTGGGCACACCATACCTGCACATGTCCAATCATCGAGAGCCTTACAACACACGCGCGCAATACGCACCAGAACTCGAAATCGGCCCAGACCGAGGGTGGAACCAGTTCATAGTCAACAGTCTCGGAAAGAGAGGGCCGCAGGCTTCCGTTCGCATCAACGATGGAAGAGTTGTCGACCCCTTCCAGCTCTTCCTCGGTGACGGCTCCATCTTTGTCTACGACGCCCGCGCACGCCTTTCTCCAACGCTTCCACCAGTTTCTATCCACCAGATACCACGTCTCTCCGACCTGCAGCTTCACCGACTTGGCTGTCTCAACAGATGTGATCTTCTCTGTGGGTGGCACCGATAGATGATTGGGTGTGCGCGCCTGAGTTGCAGGTGCGAGGCGGTACGTATCCTGACCCAGTTCCGTCATGTATGCGTCGGTATCTGCACCATCGTCTGACGCTGAGATGCTGGAAAGACCTTCACCGTCCAGCGATGGGCCATCAGAGACGGAACGCTTGACCGAGCTCGAGGAGGTATCTGAAAGCATAGAACGGCTTCTTTGGCGTTTGCGACTCGGTTGGGATGGATCAGTCGTCGAATGAGAATGAGCGGAAGCGTTCATAGAGCCGAAGAAAATTGAAAGAAAATGTACGAGGACGCGTAAAGAAATGTGACCGTGATAGGCGTCACAGAGCTTCTGTGAGACAAAAACAAGAGGAACGAACTAGCTGGGATTTCGGAAGTCCTACATACAATGGGAGTGGAGGGAGATGCTAACAGTATGATCTAGAAGCACTGAATTATGTGCCACGAAAATAAACTACGTGTGATGTCATGGGCGTTTGTTTTCTCTAAAATTTGACCAGGCGTCTTCGGTGGCCACCAGTATGCGCTCCTTGATGCTGCCCACGCTGTCGAGCGCAGGGCGCACATCCAGGGAGAACACCGGGGAGCCGTCCCGCTCTGGGTCGGCAGAGTAGTAGTCGATGACATAACGAACCTCCTCCCGGTACGTGGTCGTTTGACTACCCAGTCGTGGCGATCAAATGGGGGCTCAGAGCTAAGTCTGCGTTCAGCATAGGCTCGCGATGCGCTGAGAGGAAAGCCGTACTTGAATAGTGAAGGCATTAGCCAACCCGCAAACATCCATACCCGGGCCTTGGGTGATATTTCGCCGGGGCGGCCCTTGAAACGCGCGAGCTGGACATCTTCGTGTCTGGTGCAGAAGTCAAGCTCAATGAGACAGATATGATGGGCGGCACGGGCACATACGGGTACGCTCGTTTCTCCCACTTCAGCACCTCTTGCCAAGCCTGCTCGTTCAAGAAATTGTGGATGTCCACCATTGTCTCGACATGAGCCAACTCCTCCGGTGTATCGTTCCCCTTCCGAGCGATGGCGTTATAGAATTGTTGCGGCGAAGGGTATTCCCACTTGCTGTCGTCGTCTCTGGGAATAGACGATACAACACGGGCGGTAGGCAGAGCAAGAGCCTGGGAGCTGGTGGCTTCTTGCGAAAGATTGGGCATCTGGTTCCGTGCGTTGATGGATTCATGGTCGATGGGACACTGAGCTAGTTTGGCAGACGGCGAGTTATGGGGGACAGGACAACCAGATGCGGAGGCAACGGAAAGAGCTTTGTGGTCTATAGGACATGAGGCAGACGGAGGGACGGAGGCGCTTGGGTGTGAGGTTGTCTGGCCCATCGGAGTCGGGGACTGAAATTTGCTAGTCCGTGACCTCACATCACAGGGACAAATCGGGCTTTCGGCCAAGCGATGTCGTCCCAAAAAGGAAAGAAAGTTGATTCCGGTTGTCTACCCTGCTCTGCCTGGTTCATGGAATTATCACCTTGTCAGGGTTCGTACTACAAGCGCTGGTCGCTTGGACATCTTGGCAACGGTTGATATCTGTGCGCCCACCCCCTTAGCATGCCGGCTTCATTTCAATACCCTGATTGCAGCAGACGTCAGCGCTGTTAGAGTGAGTCTAGGTACGGCCTTCCGTGTGTTCAAAGTTGGGCCAAGCGCTTAAATCGTCGTTCCGATTGATTCCGAGAGCTGCCCGCCCCGGGCCTTGATGTCATCCGCATCTCGTCCTCGAAAAGATGTCGGACTCAAGCACCGTCTTGGCAGAATGCTGAGAACATTCGGCCTACCAGTCCACGAATCAATGAGGTAGATCCAACGAGCTCCCATCCATCTGTCTCTGGTCCCTCAGATATATCACACCCATCAATCTGGCGGAGTTGTGAAGGCATTCTGAAAATCCCCGGACTCCAGCACTGGCGTTTCTGGCAGAGTCTGGGCATCCGATGAAGTAACTCAGAGCCTAGAATGACCAAGACTTATGGATAACGTGATCGGATTCGACACCCAGCATTCGTGACTCTGGCTGAAACACTCATGAATAACGTGATCAGATTCCAAGCCCAGTAATCGTGACTCGTGCCAGTTGCACCATCTGAACCTGCAGAACGTTCTGTATCACAATACCCAATATTCTTCAGAAGAGGACGCATTCGCTTTGTGCTTCGGAGAATGTGGCTGAAAACGGGTGCGGACAATCGGCCTCAGCGTGACACGAATGCATGCGGCCAGTACGCTTTTAGACTCGTGGCTCCGCCGAACAATATCTCTCGACTTGTGACGTGCGTACATCGATCTCCTTCGGTCCGTGATCGGTTATCGCAGGTATGAATTTTGCACATCTTCCCGATGTCGCACTGCACTCGAAAAAAGCAGGCCCTGGGACTGCCAACTCGCCGCTCCAGACCTTTTGACTGCCTTTTTGTTGTCTGATCCGCCAGAGGCAAGGCGTGCGAACCCGTCACGAGAATATTAGCAAAGACTCGGCCGAAGTACCCTCGGGCGTGACCTCGGCGATGTCTACCCACCCCTTGCTCACGCAACTGAGCTTATTATTCGATTCGAAATCCACAAGGCTTCTCGAGGACCTGAATCTGCACGTCGGCAGCCGAAAGCTGATATGCTTGGCTTCCTGGATTCTATTTCCATAATTGGCACCCGATACAGCCCTTAGTTCTCTTCTCCCCCTTTTTGCTCGCAATGCCTGCTCAAGGCAGCTCGGCCAGAAGTGATTATTAGACATCTTGGGGTGTAGCCTTAAGAATTGCCCGGCCATGAGCGTACACTGCACGGTCGGCCGAGCTGCGGGGAGCCAAGAAAAATCGTCATTTTCGATATAGATCTTTCACGGAGATTCAGATATAAAGCTGATCTGGGGGATTTCCATGGGGTATCGGGTCACGAATGCGCTGTAGATGACATCGACGCCATCCGAGAAGGCCGAAGTTCAGATCAGATGATGATCATCAAACGCTTTGGCCTCTGAACAACTACTGCGAAGATTTGAACTATCCGCATCTCTCGCAAGATGCAACGATAATTCCAGCGCACTGCAACGGAGGTATACACTGGTTCAATCGTTTTGCCAGACAGCGACGCGAGGGCCGGTAATCATGTCCGAGATATAAATTTAGACATGGTGGCTGGTAGGGTCCATAACGGCTCTGCAACTGCGTGGACGTGTGTAATTTACGGGGTTTGTGCTTGGCATCAAGATGATGCTTCTGGCCGGTTCCTAATCACAGTGACTGAGAACGCACTGTGGGCATGTCCAGCCAGTGGCAGGGACAACCGGGGCGTGCCGTAAAAATTCTCTTTGAGGCTCCGCCGCATCTGAGATTTCGGACCCCGAGCTGGTTCCAAGCTTCCCACCGCCACTGTGAGACTGTATCAGGAAAAGCCTGGGAGAGATCGAGGGAGCCTCCGGCGACGACTTTGTTGTTCCCCACGTCCCAAATCTACCGGGAAGCGCCATGAGTCGCTCGTTGCAGGGCCTTGTGGGTCTGGCAGACCGGATCTCCAGTTTCCATGCTACTTCTGACAAACGGCAATCTTACGCTCTCGACTTCCGAGGTGAAGAACCAAAACGTCTGATGCTTTGTGGGGAAGGAGGAAGCAAGAGCAGTTCATTCGGGAGAATGTGTCGTATGTCCTATCGCAAATGAGCAAATGGCCAGAGCACAAACTGACAGATCTCGCGCCGTCACTCACTCCCTTCGATGCAGCTGTGAAGTTTCTCGAATGATCATCGTCCTTTCGAGCCGGGTGACAATCTGCAGGCCAGGGTACAATGCCTTGCCCAGACTCCAACCTGGTTTATCCGAAGCACAAGCGGATCGATCGAGTGTTATGCATATCACGCTGTCCGTTTCAGTGTCCTCGACTTCTCTTCTCTGGGCTGGGGCCGTGGGTAGCACCTCCGAGACATATAAGATGCAACGTAGACTGATCCCTTCTCTAGTCCTTTGCCATGCCCCAACCCGACACTTCCAGTCCTGCTCTCGGTCCTGACGGCGATCACCGAAAGCGGTGAGCCATCTGCGCCGCGCCCGCTTGTGCCTCCCGTTAAGCCACTGTAGGCGCCGTAACCGGACAACTCATTCTTGCCTGAACTGTCACGCGACTAAGCGGATGGTACTGTCCCACTTCGGCGGCCATTTCCGCATTTGCTCATTCCTTCCAGTGTGATAGGAAGCGCCCCTGCACACGATGCGTCCAGTTAGGAATCGTGTGTCACCTCTGCTCTGTGAAGCGGATCTTTTCCGAGCTGACTATGTGTGCCGGCCAGGCTGACAACTGCGCTTACCAGACCGATAAATCCGCCGGATTCGAACCCGCTGTCAAGCAAGATGAAAGCGCGCTGCTGGCTCGCATTGCTGAGCTGGAACGGGTGGTTGGCGAGGTGCGGAAGACGGCTCTGCTCTCCTTCCGAGGCTGACGTGATCTACCCTAGCTGCGGAGCTCCGCTCCCCCCGACGCGCCAGCAGACGAACCTGGGATACCCACTCCAGAGTCTAGCCACTGCTCCACCCCACCCAACACATCTCCCTCGACCCAATCGGAGCAATGGCTGCGACATACGCCCGAAATCGGCTCGACGTATTCAAGCCCGAATCCCTCCTCATACTCTTCCAACCAGGCCACTGGTTCTCTCGAATCCATGTTTGCGCCATACGGCAACGAGATGACACATACGACCCTCGCTTGCCACTGCCTCAGCGAGGCCGACCACCATCGCTCAGCTATGGAACTCTCGTTAAGGCTGAGACGAGCCGCCGACATCCTCAACCCCAACACCATGGCTTCGTCAACGAGATCCGCTGGTGCGATTCCGCCGGAGTATCTTGATCGGCAAATGTCGGGCATGCATGCTTTCAGAACGTACGCACTTCTTTTCGGACTGTTCGCAACTTGTTCTCAATATGACATCGCAGCGAGCCACTGCTCGACATGCTCGGGGCCAGCACCGTTCAAAGACCTCACAGTCACAGTCACGGGCACAGCGCACCCAGCTCGCTCTCGACTTCTGATCTTGTCTCGGATAGTTTCATGGCATGGAAACCTTCGCGGCGAGAGTTTTGACACCAAGTATTGTACCACCCTCTAGATATCTGTCTCATCTGTTGTCCGCTAATATCCTGAATTTTCAAACGAAAAGCCTCCGGTCAAAGACCCTGAGGCCTCCATATGGATCTTCCGAGCGCTGTTGGGAGCAATATACCTTGGGCTGTCTCGATCACGTGATCGCGTTCTGCGTACTTGATCGGGCTCCATTTGATCAAAGTTTGAAAGGGCGGAGACTAGAGTGTGTTTCTTGTCTTGAGAGAAAGCAAGGGAGGAGGCTTTATTCTTCCTGGAAAGTTCTTGCTTAATGAGGAACAAGGAGCCTGCTGCAGTATGTGACGCACATAGATAATGCTTTCGAAGTATGCCTCGGGCATGAAGTGCACACGCTCTGATGGGACAAATGATGCATTGCCAGAGTGTTCTCAGGAGAACTCGGCTGAGATTCGGGCTGAGCGAGGATAAGCGAGACAGTGTCTGGTCATTCCAATGAAAGTGCCCCACAGAGCCGCCGGGCTCCGGCCATGTAAATACACTCAGATCCTCATTTATCGTCTTCGGACCTTGCGTTATCGAAGCTTCATGATAGAGCTTTGATGTTGGAGCCTCTCAAACCTGCCAGCCGATCTCAAAAATCCTCGACGGCGCATCAGGCGCATCGACCACTGTGAATGGTTGACTGTTGATATTAACGGGTGCTCACAGCGCTCGTTGGTATTTTGAACGCAGCAGTTCGAGTGCAGTTGATGCTACATACAGCATGTAATGCGTCCATCGACTACAGATTCCAAGGGCTTCTGTAAGCTCCGGGCAAAAATCACTCACGATAAGCAAGCTCAGCCATGACGAACCTGATAGGCCCACTTTCGCATATCAGGCTCATTTGCCGATGTCAGAACTCGGGTATCTGGATTTCAGGACCGAGGCAGTCCCGAGGCTTCCCAGAACAACCTGGTTCCTCAACGAACAACCGCCCTCATCACGTGTGGATTTCGCTATGGAACCCTCGTCCTTTGGCAGCTCCAGTCTCCAATCAGCAAGCCCTACCTACCTTGAGGTGCATCGAATTGTTTTACCAAAAATAGACCACCGTAATCGTGGGTGCATGGGACCTACGCCCAGTCCTCCTCGGCCCCCCACGGGCGACCGCGTAGGCCCGCCACATTGAATAAATCCGCACACTCTGGGGCCCTGGCTACAATTGAGGGACAGATCTGGGCTGATTTTGTAAGCATGCTTATTAGCTTTCGGCTCCTGCTCCATTTCGAGTCCATGGAGCGAAGCAAGTGTGTCTGATGGACAATCAACACACATTTGATCAGTATTATGCCAATGAGAGCGAGCGAAGCCAATAGCGCTTGCTTTGAACGTCATATGGCGATAAAGAGAAGTAGTAAGCCATGGATGGAACCGGATCCTTGCCCCGTTTTCAGGAGGAAGCCTGGGTCTGGAGAAGACACTGGTCCCCACCGGCTGATTGTCACCTTCGGTGATAAGATGGGTTTGTTTACCAATACGATCAAAAGCAAACAAATGCGGGATGGAGAGCGACACCTCATCGCGACCTCTCCTGAGCGTTGCCTGCCGTTACCGTATGTATGTCTCTCTCAGACTTGATTGTTAGCGAAGCATTTCCAGTTCCACATGATCAATGGTTCACAACACACGTCGATACGGACTGGAAAATCAAGCAGGTCAAGTCGTGGCTTCTTGCCAAATGCCTTCCTTACGCCGCGCCCCCATCCCCTCCTGCGCGCCAGGCAGTCAAGAAACCCCAACGCCCACCCTCGCCTATAACATTCGCCCCAGATCCGAGACACAGACCGATATCACCCATCACATTCGCTGCGCCCAATAAAGGACAGCAAACCGGTCGGGATGAGGATGCAGACGTCGAAGAGGAAATCGCCCTCTCACCTACCAGAACCCCACCTGTTTTCTCTCCGTCGAGCGATGGCGAGTTCGAGAACAATATCGTCACCGCCGCGCCGCCGAAAAGCAAGAAACGCATCGTTCTCCCCAGCGCGTCGACGTCCACCAAGGGAGAGCTCTTCACTCAGTTCACTCTACTGCGATTCTCCACAGGCCAGATTCTCGAAGACGATCTTCCGCTGAGCTTCTACGAGTTGAAAGCGGATGAATTGCTCGAGCTTCACCGGGTTGGTTACGTTGTCCCGCTTCCGAGACGAGATTTGGAGCGATATCTTGATGCGTACTGGGAAGGCCGGTGGGCGTGTTGCGAATCCATCCCACGGAGGATGAAGAGGAACTGCTTTCGCTCTATACCGTGCGCGAGAAGGAAACGCGTCCGATGGAGTGGAAAGATCGTTGGTTGATTATAAGAGACGGGTGCTTATATCTATGCCGTGACCAGGTATGTCACTTGTTCATTTCATTCTCCCTTGGCACAGTTTCTTTTCCGTCATTCGTTTTGCTTATCAGCCTCTAGCGCCGGACGCTACACACGCTTCCCCTCGAATCGCTTCTTGCTTTGGCCAGTACCGTATCGCTTCCCCCCAATGCACCCGCCGCAAGTAATTCCCGGGTTTTGCTTGCCCGCTTTGCCCCTCAAGCACCGTCGATACCTCCTCCCAACATGTACCCCCTTCATCCGCAATCAGCACTATCTCCGATCCACACATCGCCACCAGGCACTACCCGTTCTTCATCTCCAATGCCCAGTGAACACACCAGCCAGCCCTATCCCCCATCTCTGCCACCGCATCATCATGACCGAGATCCTTATCCGACCTATACGAACCCCGGTCGGAGATTCGACTCGGATGGTTCTGCATCATCAACATCACTCTCCTCACCCGTTTTCGCGCATGATGACAGCGGATCGGACGGCGCACGGCGTAGGCGAATGAGACGCGATCGTGCGCAAGGGATGGGGAGCGGGAATATGCGCGGACGGGAAACTAAACGAAAGGCTAAGGACAACGGGAGGAGATGGATTGCCTTGGACATGAAGGACGACCATTGTGAGCTTGATCGTTCCGCATCTGATGAGTACATGCTGAATATCTGACAGCCTACGTCTCATTGCTCCGAGTGCTGCATCGATACACGCTGCCCGCGTCCACATTTGTAGAATCACTTCCGATGACGGTTGGACCCAGTTCGCCCCGATCTCCAGGGCGGGACCGCCTGGAGGACGGCAACGACGATGCCGATGTTCCTGCCGTCCTGCAGCATCCTGCTTCCCTTGCCCATTCGCGCCGATCCCGATCGGCGGGGAATAGCCTCAGTGTGGCGCAGTTTCCAGAGTGGCGGCGGGAAATTGCCAGCGCGCCCGCAGAGCGGGATTGGGCAAACTTGGCAGTGCAATGGAATGGATCTTGTGGAACGGCGAAGGCATGGCGTGCGACGAGCAGTCTGAGCCTGAGCCCAATCTGACTCACGATCTCTCTTCTGCGGACCGAGTGGATCGCAAAGGCAAAGGCAAGGCTCGCGCCAGGAGCCGCAGCAGTCCTCCGGACGGGTATACATCGGATGTGTCTGGAGAGGAAGAAGACGAGCTCGATGCTTACTCTGAAGACGATAACGTTCTCGAAAATGCCAACAGCATCCATGCGACCAGTCCATTGGATGAGCGGCCGGGATATTTCGACTCGGAGTCCGACTCTGAGACAGGGCAGATGGCCAGCGAGAACGAATGGGTAGGCTGGATGGGCGATTTGCGGCGACAGGCTAAGGTTGTTAAGGAAGCACGCGAGGCTGCAAAGAGGAGAGAAGAAACCATGAAGCTGGAGGACGAGCAGAGGGAAATGGAGCTGGGTATGTCGCCACTCGAGAGCTCGACAACGATTTCTGCTGGTTTCACTGCTGGCTCGAGCACTGCAATAGACTCGAATGGGAGCTTGGCGGATGCGGTCGTGACTGTTGCTCGCATTGGCAATGGCGTAGATGATCGGCTGCGTCGCGCTGCGATGGAGCCTAGTGCGACAGTGACCAGTTTGAGCGGCATCAACCCAAGCCCACCGACCAGACCACCGCCGCATCTGTTGCATCTCTATGGCTACGCTCATCCTGGTCAGTTGTACGGATATGGGAATGGGTATCCTGTTACCTACGCTCACGGTTCGGGTCACGGCACACCGGTTCTCTCCTCGCCGTCATCGAACGAGTCGATTGGATTCTCTCCGCTCGCGCCGCCGCTGGAAATAGATGGCGACGACAGTTCTGCCCAACATCGAGCGCCTGCCCATTCCAGAGCTCACTCGCATACACTACTCCATTCCGTCTCCATGCACGACATGCAAGCCCAATATGCACTCGGTAATGGATATGGGATGGCCCACGCCATTGGAACCACCGGGGTCGATCCTTTCGTCCGTCGGCCGAGCATGCCCATAATCGGCAGTGGCGTCCGATGGGGCGATGGAGAGCGCAGTCGAGGATCCAGCCTTGAACGCGGCAGCAATTCGATCGAAGAGGTCCCAAGAGTATCGCGGTCGGGGAGTGTCGGCCGCAGTGTGTTGCGCAAGAAAGAGCCGTCCGACGGCCAAACTCGCAGACCGCGGCTTTCTGTGTCGACTGCTACCGCCCCTGATTTCGGCCGGAGTCCTCCTGGGACACCGCTGGTAGACAACCTCCCCCAAGTGCAGTTCCAAGCATCGCCTGCCCAGCCAACGAAGAAGAAACGGGTTGGATTGAAGAGGGGTATGTCGATCCAGGCTGAGAAGTTTGTGAAGAGGCTTGATTCGACGCTTGATTTTGTTGATGGGCGTTAGTTGCTTCTGTTGGTTACTTGTAGTTTTCTGATTGTATTTGCTGTACCATTCGCTGAAGTTCTGTACTATATAGCACCTAATTCATATCACTGCTCAGGATCAACAGCTTGCCGTGGCACTAGCGGAGAGTTTGCACGTGACTCTTCTCAAACGATTTCTAGTGGTTCGTAGATTGACGCGACACGTCGAGCAATCATTCTCTCCTTCCTAGTGTAGATTTGCAAATAAGCACCGAGCTTGTGATACTTCAAGCATCAAATCTCAAGCCAAGCTTCAGACTCAGATAGCATTCTTGAAACACGTACACGTGATCTTGTTTACGACGCGTTTTGTGACGCGGCGAATCGTGACGTGACTGACCTTTCTTCCTCTCCATCGAAGACACCAGCCATGTCCCGGACATCCCAAAGCGGTTTAGGATCCTACAAACGCGATTTCTCCGTCAAATCCCCCAGCTCTTCCCCGGAAATTGAATGGATACCGACGCCACCGAAACTCTCGTCATCACTGCCTGCCTCTGCCTCTGGGTCGGACGCCCAAATGTCAGCGAAGGAGAAACGGTTGAGGGATATTCAGAATGCCTTGAGTAATCGGAGGAATCCCACGGTTGCGCCTCCGAAGCCTGCAACTGTCGCCGCACCGCCCGCCTTGCTTGTCAAAGCCAAGCGGCCGAGCGAGACTGAGCTCCCCGACACCTCTGCGCCTGCACCACAGAAGAAAGCTCGGGTGCTCCCGTCGGGATACCACAAGGCCAACACCTCTGCTCATGTTGCGAGCGGATCGGGTAAGCGCTCGAACAAAGTGTTTTTGAGTGCGGAGCAGCAGCAGATCTTGAAGCTGGTGCAGGAAGGGAAGAGTCTATTCTACACTGGAAGTGCGGGTGCGTCACATTAATCGGATATATGCGTGCCTTTTTCTCATCTGGCACCCTCCAGGGACGGGAAAGTCAGTCCTCTTGCGAGAGATCATCAAGACCATGAGAAAGTCACATACGGGACCGGACGCGCTGGCTATCACTGCATCCACAGGTTCGTGCTTTGCGAACACATCGCGATCGCTGTCTCATGACTTTCCTCCTCGTCTAGGGATTGCTGCATGTAACATCGGTGGCGTCACCATCCACTCTTTTGCCGGGATTGGATTGGGTATTGAGTCGGCAGAGGACCTGACCAAGAAAATAAGGAAGAATAAGAAGTCCCTGACTCGATGGCTGCGGACAAAGGTTCTCATCATAGATGAAGGTACGTATGTGCCACCATAGGCCATCTGTCGCATCACTCATTTGGCCATTCCAGTCTCCATGCTGGATGGGGACTTGTTCGACAAATTGTCGCAGATTGGAGGCTTCCTACGGGGAAAGATAGCCCATTTGGGGGCATACAGGTGCTTCGAGTACGCTTGGACCGATGATCACCTTAACTGACCCGACGAAGCTCATTGTAACTGGGACTTTTTCCAGCTTCCTCCGTCACCAAGTCTGGCGATGTCAAGTTCGCTTTTGAAGCTCAATATTGGCCTAAGATAATCCAGCGGACATTCAATCTGACCAAGGTTTCCGGCAGACCGACCAAGGTGCGACTGACGTCACGAAGTGGGTTGAGACACGGCTCATAACTCCTCAGAGTTTGTTGATATGCTGAACGAGATGCGTTTCGGTACCCTGACACGAGAGTCGGAGCTGAAGTTCCGCTCGTTGTCGAGAGAGATCGTGTACGAAGACGGACTTGGCCCGACTGAACTGTAAGCGACGTTACTGGACACTGTTACCATGTTCTGATCTTGGGGCCCCACTTCAGTTTCCCTCGGCGAGAAGACGTCGATAGATCCAACAGCACCCGCATGATTCGGCTTGCAACCGAGCAGCACTCGTTCACAGCGAGAGACGGCGGTGTGATACAAGATCTCAATCAACGAGAGAAACTACTCTCGAACTTCATGGCTGTGAAGAAACTTGACATCCGCAAGGGTGCTCAAGTGATGTTGATCAAGAACATGGATGATCAGTTGGTCAACGGCAGCATGGGTCTCGTTCTTCGATTTGTCGAGCAAGCGATATTTGGTACAGATCGAGACACCGAAGGAAACGGGGAATCCGAGGTTCTTGGCGTCACAGCTGGCCCCGGCAAGAAACCGCCGATCCCTTCATCTGGCGTCCCGGCGGTCAAATACCCCGTGGTGGAATTCGCGCTGGCGAACGGCGGCCGACGTACTGTGCTTGTGGTACCCGAGTCTTTCAAGGTCGAGTTGCCATCTGGAGAGGTCCAGGCCAGCCGCACGCAGGTGAGCCACTCCGTGCTGTCGGAAGCTTCTGCCTAATGACGCTCTCAGCTGCCGCTCATTCTTGCATGGGCCATGAGCATTCACAAATCGCAAGGTCAGACGCTTGAGCGCGTCAAGGTCGACCTTGGCAAAGTGTTCGAGAAGGGTTCGTGCGGCCCGTGTTAATCTCTGCGCGTCATCTCAAGGCCCCCGTAGGACAAGCCTACGTTGCTCTGTCACGTGCCACCTCCATGCAGGGACTCCAGGTCCTTGGATTCGACGCTTCAAAGGTGCGACAATCCCCTCGTAGGGGACTGCGACTGACCTGTGTGCTGCAGGTCCAAGCTCATCCCAAAGTCAAAGTCTGGAGTCGGTCGCTGGAAACCATTGCGGATAATAGCTAGGAGTTGGAGCCTCTGGTATAACATCGTTAGTTATGGACCCACAACCTGAAGTGAAGCTAAACGAAGGTTTCTGGCTACTCGCTCATCACTGTGTGCTTGAAGCAAGCCATGTACACTGGCTGAGGACGCGAAACTCGTCCTCACGTGATTCTTTTGACACGTGACTTGAGGCTGTGCCCTCACTCGATTCAATTAGACGACCATTCCGGATCGACTCATAAGCGCCCTTACACGGATCTGCTCTGGTTTCTCATCCGAGTACCCGATGCTCACTGTGTCGTTATGTGTCAAGCTCGATGACCCTCAAGCGGTCAGTTTTCCGTTGATCCGTGGTCTCTGATCTTGGAACTGACAACTCCAATCGGATTTTTCGGATACTCTCCAGGGCGGTGCTTCCTCACGAAGAATTGCTCATTCTCCAGGCCATGTCAACAGATCGACCTGCGATCCGTATTGCCTGCCCCGAACATCGGGCCCGCGGCGCAGCTCTGCCGGGGCGGCCGGCCTGGGTGATCCTTGATGCTGCTGCGCAACGAATGTGCTCTGGAGATGCAGGTGGGCAGGTCGAATTGACTCGCCTGTGGGATTTGGCATGGGAATCGAACCGCGGCTGGGTCTCTGCACACGTGTCCACGCAGCATACCCGCGTCGCCCTTCTTCCGTGCTGCGTTGCCGGTGGGACATCCATGTGTGGTGTGGCCAGCGCAAGTCCGCGGTGGCGGGTCGTCTTCTGGAAGGCGTGTTTCATTAGCTTCCGGCTCCCGGGCTTCTTTCCCAAGGACCAATCACGGCGCCTGGATTGCGAAGCAGGATGTTCGGTATCGAAGCTGTCCTCGAGGAGAGCGAATGAGGGAGTGGCGGTAGCAGTGTGTGCCTCCCATTGTGGAGATAAGCTCATGAGAACTCATCAGAGTAACAAACGACCAGGGAGCAAATGGGTAGGAGTGCACGTTTGTCGGGATACGCTTTGTCCGCCAGTGTGTGAGCATGAGAGGCCACGTGACAATGATATGCATGTCACATGACTACGACGCGCTCAGGTGATCTCTAGTTGTGATCGAAAATCCAGCTCGCTTGACTGAGCTCATTCGAGTGCGCGCGCTGCTCTTGGCGACGTAAGATTGGCTTAAATGAGTGCCTGTGATCTATCCATTACTACTAGAATGCTATCGTTCATCATTGTTGCTAAAAGTATCCGCGGTTGAAGTGCCCGATCAAGAACATGCTCTTCGCGGAGGATTCCAAGCCATGAGATCATCGGGGCCAAGTGGATGCCCTCGCTGCGATGTTCGGCTGGAACTCCGTAGGGGGAGGAGGAGGAGGCAGAGGAGCTCAGTACATCCATCGGCATGCTGAGACAGGATCGTATTGAGAACCGTCGAACGAGGAGCAGCTGCGAATGCCACCCACTTTGCATAATCATCCAGCGCAGAAATCGGCGACGCCAACGAGCCGTCAAGGAGCCCCGGCATGTGTAATGAGGACGCGGCAAGAACATCTGCGGCCCGACGGAGTCGGAGAGAGAGCTCCAAGACTGAGCGATTGCAGACCGTCTCTCGGAGACAGTCACAGGGTGCGCGGTGGAGGGGGATACCTCGGTGCGCGAAATTTCCGCCGGTATGAAACTGCGGGAAAATAGGCGCCAAGGAATCCACAGACTGAGAGGAGTCGCTGCCAGGACTCTTCAGGAGAGACGTGGAGGTCAGATCCGCGAGCCAGCCGTCCGACTGGAGAGACAGAGGCAGAGACGGTGGGGTTGAGCAGTCGCTCGATCTCGCTGGCGTGAGGAGCCCACTTTTGTCTTGTTCAGAGCTGCTGCGCCTCAGCTAGGACAGCGCCCCACCGTCAAATGGAGCTAGGATTTCGTTAAATTGAACCGCACCTCGTCCACTATTCGTTCGAGATCCGAGATCCGAGACAGCAGTGCGGCTTCCCTTGACTTATCCTCTGCCTCATCGGAGATACCCACGGCGTTCAATTGGTATGTGCATTCTGCACCCTGTGAGAGCGCCTCAGTCGTCTGGAAACGGTTGAAACACGAGGGCCGCACCACTCCCAGTTGGGTGCACCGCGTGCACGGGCGCTTTCTGTCGCACTGGAGGCGTGTCTGTCAGTCGGGGCATCGACGGGTGAGAGTGCGTGGGCCCACCATTCGTTTGCTTGTATGACAGCTTGTGCATGAGTGTGTTGTTCTGTTCCGACGGCTATGCATCCGTGTGAGCGACGCCCTCCAACCAACCAGTTAATGGAAGGATGCTCACCGCTTTCGATGATCTCCGTCGCGGGAAGCGCTAGTTGAGCTCGGGGATTGGGACATTGTAGGACCGGACTTGCGAGTCACCACCGGCATCCTGCGAGCCTTATATATACTTCGAGTGTTCTGCAAGTTTGAGTGTGTAAAAGAGAGACCGGTTCCAAGAAACAGAAGAAGCTGATCGCGGCAGGGCCTGTTCGCATGGCCTCGACGGAATCCCAGTCAAAGTTAGCTCAAAACGGACACGCCTGTGCTTGTGTACTAGATGCCATTGCGAGAATCGGAATATGTTAATCATCACGCCATCGGATAAACATTGATCGACTCCAGATATCAGCTCGGTCGGTCACCTACTTGTGTGTTTGCACACCGCCAGGCCCCCGGCTACTCCATATTGGGTCGGTCCGAAATAGCGCAAATCATCCCCCGAAAACGGCCATATCCCAGCCCGAAAGGCCAGGCGAATCGGCCCGGGAACAAGAGATCTCAGGGTGAGATGGTGTAAGTCGCGGTTCAGGCTAAGGTCGAAATGGGGACACACTCTGACACCTGGGATAACAGGACTCTTGCTGGACTCGCTGCAGATAGAGAAAGCATGAAACCGGTAAAAAATCTGCTCAAAATACAATGGAAAGTTCCGACTGCATCCGGATTTTGGTGGACCTCAGTCCGATATAGCTGAAATCAAGGCCTAATAAGTTAATTCAGCAGCATCAATCGACCGTTGGAGGCGGACAGACCTAAGGAGTAGTAGCAGGGGGGCTGCATCTCCATTCGAGTTTTCACGCCGGGTAGTTCCTCACAAATATGGCAGTGGAGAGTACAACTATTTTCGTTATGAATACCATCACGCGAATATTGGACGCACCGACTCCCCGCATCGATCAGATCTTTGCCCAGCCCCCGGACCAGACGGAGTGTCCATTGTCAAGTTGCCTCGGACCGACGGTGTCCCAGACTTTGACGTAATCACAGCTCAAAGCCTGGTGGAGTGCCGAGCAATCTAGAGATACGGCCGCCCCTGCCGGCGCACTCGAGAAGAGGGGGTTTTGAATGAAGTTTGGAGTGGTGAGGGAAACCAGTCTCTCGGGAATGCCAAGGACGAGCATAACCCAAAGTTGACTACGAGTTCATATCGGGCCGGCCAAAGCGATTTGATCCGTCCAGATTTTCACATGCCCCATTGAGACGACAGCAGGGCACAGCCACTTCGGAGTTTCCTAGGGTCATGAGCGACACTCCTCCATCGAGTACCGCTGCATATATCATTTCCGAGACGTTCGAGGTTGCACAAGCGCCGCAGCGCTGCTGATCTGCCATCTGCAGACTGATGTCAAGAAGCCGCCTGAAGCCTCGATGGGCCGCCGCTCCATGATGATAGAGCCCACGCGACATAGCGGTGAGAGACGCCTTTTTAATTCGCCTGAGTGCGTAGCGACTGCGGGAGGTGCGTTCCCCTTGTCTTGCCTACTTTTCTTCGCAGCTCGCTGGAATATCTGATCTGCATCTTCGTCCGTGAGGAGTGTTTCGCTCTGCTCTTGAGTGCCAGCCTATTTCCTGCCAATTCTTCTTCTTGAATGGCGCTCGGCTAGGAAGCTGCCACGCGTGATAGCTAGATACATATGTAATACGTGGCAGAAGGACATCAGATCAGCTGAGGTTATTCTTGTCTTGCCTCCCACTGCATGTCAAACTGCCATGGCATACATCAGCGCATTGGTTGTCAGGTAGCCGCAGAATCGTTGACTGTGGATTGGAGAGCCGTAGACTGACAAGGGAAGGTCCCTCAAGTCGTTCTTTACTCCTTTCTTGGTCATATCGAAGGCCGGTTTTGCCTTTAAACGGTAGTTACGGGCTTAGTGAGACGCTTGCCCGACACCTAGACCGAAGCACTCCGCGGAACCGTCTATCGTTCGTGCATCCTTCTCGATGCCAAGCTCAAGTACGTCTAGTACAAAACAAAGAGAGCCGTTGGAGAACGCATATCTGCAAGCGTCCCGCCTATTCTCTTCCGCGTCGTCGTCGTCGTCATCCCTCACCGATGCCTCCATCTCCACCCGCAAGTTCCTCTACCCCTGCGAGCGACCCTGTCAACGTCGATCATCGCAAACGGTGCGCCCGACTTGCCTGCGCGAGTCCTGTCGAATGCGCTTGCTAATCAGGAATTACACCAGCCGCCGCAATCGGACGACCCAGTCGTGTCTCAATTGCCACACCACGAAGCGCATGGTGCGCCGCCTCCGGTTCCAACACGTGATAAGCAGCTCATGGATTGCGGCAGTGTGACCGGAAACGGCCTTGTTCTCGATGCACGCAACTCGGTCTCGTGAGAAGCGCTCCGCGGACGAGTTTTGTTCCAGCTGATGTTGTTTCCACAGTCTGGGAATTGCGTCTATGAGATTGACGATCCAGAGAAGAGAGTAGCCAAGAGCGATCAAGAGACCCGATTGACTAATCGGATTGCTGAACTCGAGGGGGTCATTCGCGAGGTGCGTGCAACCAGCAGCACGACAGAGACACAAGAACCTGACTAGAACGTCCCGCTCAGCTGAAGAACAAGCCCCATCCTCGGTGGCTTTCCGGGAAGTCATCAACTACAAGTGACGTGCACTCGATCCGTTCATACTCTCCTGGCTCGACTTCCTCGGACGGGCCGTCGTTCGCACTGTCTCCAAGATCGGAAGTTCCCGAAGTTTCTGCGCCCTCGCACTTCCACAGGTACGATAACAGAATGGAATGTGCGGATCGGTTCTGATTCAACGCCACATCGTGCAGACCAGGGATGTGTGGGTGTCTGAACAATCTGTCCTGCTACAATGCCATGCTGGAGCTTTCGCTCGGGCTCCGGCAGGCGGCCGATGTTCTCGCACGCTCGTCAAGCCACCGCGGAAACCAAGGCTGTGCGCTGACCGTGTGCATCGCGGAGATGGACAACATGCTCAAGTGGGTCGTTTATTTTTGCTGCATGCGCACTTCGATCAACAGAGTAGGAACTCGCTGCTCAACGACATCCCTCCCCCGACGGCGGAACAGCACCATCCAGTCTACTTCGATCACTCGATCCCTGATCCCTGCAACTCCTTCGTGTGGGACGAGAGCTTTGCGAACGAAGATTTTATGTCGTGGTTACCCGGAGGCCCATTCGGGGGTGGGAGATAGAACACGCTCGTACAATGACTTTAACAAACTGTATTTTTATCAATCGATAGGGGCCTCCTCGGACTTGCCGTGGAATGGATTTTATATGGCTTAACTGCAGACATGCTGCGATCAAGTTCCTCGCAGAGGTGGGAGGGTAGCTGCGCGGTGCCATGCATTCCATCGAAAAATGTTGAGCTCGAGAAGAAAAATGAACAAAAATAAAGCAGTCGTTGCGATCGGGAATTGCGACCGGGAGTAATTTGAACTGAGTATCGGACTTGCCTGTATCTGAACGTCCGAGATAGCTTCATCATCTTATCCATGATAATGAGATGATTGAATTCTTCGGACGATGGTGAGGGATTGTTTCGAGCTCGAATGCAAGGCCATATCGTTGAGTGGGATCCCAGTCAAGTTATCTTCCCGGAGGGATTCCAAATGATCTTCAAGGTCCTCAAGAGCTCTTCTCACCGGAGACAGAGTGCGGCGGAATGCCGCCCGATAAGTCTAAGCGAAACCAACCAAGGTTCGGAGATCCCCCCCGCGATCAAGTCGCCACGAGTCTTCGGTTCTCTCTGGTGCGCGGAGAAAGCCCATGGGTTATGTCATTCTCGTAATTTTTAAATGAGAATCGAAGTGCATGACTGCGCATGGTTGCTTGCTGCACAGCCACAGTGAGTTCCCTTCCGAGATAATCCGAATTGTATTGCAGCGACTCAGGTTTGAGACTTGAGCGGACCCATTTTTTTTCTTCCGAGATATCGTATCCGATGTTCTGGAATTATTCAGTGCATATTTAGTCACGTTGAAGTTGCAGCGCCACCCGTGATCTGGGCCCCGGACTCGGCGTCCGTCCAAGCTTCCTGCGAAATGGGAGGCTGGCTGAGGCTGGGCGCGCTCGACCCGTGATTAATATCGATGGCCAGCTCCGGTGCGCTAAGAGTCGTGTCATTGCGAGCCACGTAATTCCAAGAGCTCTCGTGACTATCTCGTGACCGCGCGCCACGCGTCTTGCTTGTACCGAACCTTCGTTGAAACCGATCATCATTCACGACAAGCTCGCGGTCTCGAACGATGTCGGTCGGCCTATCTCATCTCATCTCGTCCTCGTATCTCTGCGCCAGCTCTGTGGCGCACAGTGAGCACCTTCGCGGTGGCTGACAGCGCTTGGATCTGGCACTTCCGTCACCTTCGCGCCATTGGCATCGAGGCTTGGCGTGAAGGCACAGCACCGCTGGCGTTCTGCCATCTGTGCCAATGTGTCGGCCCTCGAAAGCAGCACCGATCTTAAGGCCGACGACGCAGCTTTGAGCCCCAGAATCACGGGTGCGCACTCGAAGCGTTCTGGAAGCTCAGAGCAGGAAATCTGGCGATCTGTGCATGATTGCATTAAACCTCACCTCATCTCTTTTCACGCGCTCCGGATTCGTGGGCGGCCTTTTTTCCGCCGCTCCCGGATTCTGACTGCGTCTTGGCGTGTCCGGGTTGCGCCGCTCGTCGCAAGTCGAACGCCCCAGCTCCTGATGCGATCTGGGAGTGCGAGTCCGACTGTGGGTTGAATCCTCGCGTTGATGGAGCCATACGATGCAATGCTGACGACAGCGAATGTGAGGTCCGCGCTTCGCGCTGCAAAATCTGGCCGAAAAGCTGTAAGACCGCGAGAAAAGTTCTCTGCAATTCGCATGGCGAGAAGAATCGGAAGCTGATCCTGGCCCAACAAGTGGAGAGGTCCCACCCGGTGGGTGCCCCAGGTTGGATGACACTGTAGATCTCTCGATTCGCGCACCCCGGATCGGTAGAGAGAAATGGAGGGCCCAAATGAGGTCACCGCGCGGGCTATCTTGTGTTGCTGCTGCACTTGCTCTCGTGTCAAAGTGTCAACGGAAGGCGCACTTCTGCACCGACGGGCAGTCGGAAATTCGTGGCTCCGGCTGTTTGTTCTTGCGCCTCAAGGCCATTGGCAATCAAGCACCGAGTCCCTCCGAAGACTGAGACAGTTCGATGCTTTTTTGATCGACGAATGTCCTGTCAAATTTTCTCCGGAGCTCGACACAGAAGCAAAAAACCGTCCGGGTGGGAGTGCATTTCCATCTCGTGCCGATTCGAGGCAAGCAAACAATTCGCCGTGTGCAGCTCCCATCGCTGGGTGTTTTCTCAAGGACACGCATGAGCGAGGGAACAACGCAGCAAGATATGCACCCAAAGGGCACGGAGTTCACCCTCTTGGCAGACCTCACAACCTCCGATTCGTGGCAGCCCCGTTCTCGACGTCGTCTTGGGATATTCCCAGGGCCATTGCGCAGGCCAGACGCATAGCACGGCGTTACCTGGCGACGCTGGCGCCCTTCGCAGCCGGGAGATCGACAGGCACGGCAGGAGAGAGACCCTTGGAGCGCCCTGACAAGCTAACTCGACAGCGCAACGACACATCTCGAGACAAAGCTGGGGTCGCCAAGACAAAGCTGGATGTGTGGAATGGGCCAAGCCTCTCAGCGCCGAGTCAGTGCACACGTCTGCGTAGTAGTCCCAAGAGACAGTGTCGTCCCCCGGTCACAGGCTGTGTGCTCATCATCGACAAGAGATCAGTCCGGCCGATGGCGGGACTGGGGGGGCAGTCGATCGACCTGGGACAGATACACCCCCTTGCGCACTGCGGGCGCTGCGGGAGACCGTGACAGCGCTTATCTCCGGGCCGGATAAGAGTCGGGTTGTGCAGTCGTCAGATTGTGCTCAGGCCTTGCAGCTCCGGTTATCAGCGAATTTGGGGGACGAGGGTGTGTTCAACAACAAGAACCTGATAGCCAGATTTACATACGTAATTTTCTGGAGCAATCAATCAAATCTTATCCCGATACTGATCCGATTGCTTTGCTTTGAAAGCGTCAATGACATGCCTCTTGTGGTCACCCTTTGCTATTCCAGCCACATCCCGACGGGCCGGATTCGCATCATCCTGAGTATCAGTCGCAAAGATGAACAGAGCTAATAATTCTTACAGATAATATATACCCATCACATTAAATATGTACATACACCGCAGCGCTTTCTCAGACTGCTGTCTCCTGGCTTTTGAGAAAAGTGGTCCACGCTGCCCGCGTAGCCTGCGGATAGACGAACGTCGACGCTTTTTTGCCGAGGGTGTACACGATTCCATCTGCTCCGGGCAGCACGTCCCCGACGACCGGTGCATTCTCCCCGCCAATGACGACGGTGTTGCCGGCCGGGGCGTGCACGACGAGGCCCGTGGGATTGGAGCCAAACACGAATTCGCGTACGAAGGTCAATGCCTGGCAGGTGGTGAGTATGGGGCGTAGACATGGGAAGAACGGAAGGGGGTCGACTTACAGCAGCCGGTGTCTTGGCTGCGACCAGATGGCCTGCGCCGCGAAACAGGACATAGGTCCAGCCGCGTTCTTGGTGGACGATCCCTGCGAACTTTCCCTCGTCGTCGTTCCACGGCGTCGATGGCCTTCGTGTGAAGCCTTGGATCCCACCAAAGGTTGTGTTTTGGATCGTGACTGCGGAGAGGCACTGAGAAGCGTCGGGGATGGGACGGTGGGACTCACCCTCAGTTCCCCGATGAGCAATCAAGGCATCGTCGTTCCCACTGAACAGCACGACACCGATATTGTGCGCTGTTGTGTTGGTGGCTAATTCGTTCAAGAACACCATCGGTCTAAAAACAACGATCAGCCCCTCGTTCTAGTTTTGCCAAAATTAGCACGTACTCAGGACCTGATGAAACACGTAGGCACAGCATAAAAAGAGCAAACACAGATATACGCACTGGGATCGTTGACTAAAGGGCAGTGTTGAGGAACAGGGATCGTCATCGACAAAACAAGCACTGCTCACAAATATCTCCGAATGGGAAATCGAACGACATGGCCCAATCTTTGCTCGTCGGAGCGTGAAGTGCAGTGCGCACCCGTGGATCTGTGGTTTGGTTGAGCGGCGAGAATGCGGAATGCCTGGCGATTTACCATTGAGATATGCGGGAGGCACGGTCGGGTTTCCCATGGGATCGGTAATATCATAAACCTAATCAAAATCATTCAGCAATTGACAGGATTGAATGAAACGAGATTTACGTTGAAGTCCTGCCCCGTGAAGTTCCAGGGCGCGGAATAGTTCAACGCGTAATCAATGAGCTCCGGGAGCAGTGCACACCCGTACCACGGGTCGAGAGTCCCATTGGCCCGCATGCTCAGATCGCGTTTCCAAGTCTTGGTCTCCCGCTCGACGGCAATGTTGTCTTTCTGCGTAGCATCCAAAGCGGAGTAGCGATCCATGATCTCGCCCACCAGCCCACGCTTCAACACCTTTGCGCTCTTGGCGAGAAACGGCACGTCGCGCTCGCGTGCATCAATAAACGGAAGCGTGTTGATTTGACCGTTTTGGGGATAGGTCAGGTTGATATCGTAACCACAGAGATGTTCTCTGCTCTCCAGTCAGAAACGACTTCGGTCGATCCGGAGAGACGACGCACTGTTTTTTGAAATATTTGTACACGTCTTGATCGTAACCGATTAGTTGAGGGTATGTTTCTAGTATGTTCGTCTGTAGGATGGGAGTAAGAATAGGAAGATAGGATTGCGAGATCTGCTGACGCTTGGAAGGAGTTCGAATACAACATCGGATGCAATTGATCCGTCTCCAATAGCGATCTTAGCGATCTTTACCGGTGGTTTTGACATCGAGAAATAAGCCTGGAGGTATCAGGCTCAGGGCCCGGCATAGCATCAACGCCGAGGACAAACCTTCATGATGTACGGGATATATCTGCTCGGCAGGTCAACACAGAGCCTTGAGAATGACAGAAACCACTCACACGCCAGCGTAGCTTTCTCCCGTGAGATGCAATGGACGGTGCGCGAGCTCAGGGAAGACTTTGACCAGGTTTCCGAGGAATCCCATCTACGCCGCCGAACATGAGCCAAGCAGCAGACAATACGGGGCAACACGCACAAAGTCCGCGCCCATCTGGTCTTCGTCGGGGACTTTCAAAAGTACGGAGTCAGCACGAGAGAGATGAGAGGCGTGGAGTTTCGCACTGTAACCAGCCGCATCGGCGGTAGACCAACCCACGCCCACCGGTTGGTCGATCCAGACAAAGTCCGACACCTTATCCCAGCTGTATGGATTGAGTGAGATGGTTCCGTTTGCTGCCATCCGAATCGGCCCATTCTGGAGGCGACTTAGTCCCGGACGCAGAAATAACGCTTAGGAGCTCCGCTAGACCGACCTCCAGGAAGAACCCGATCAGACTGGACGAGCCTAGCGGACACACTACTGTCAACCCAGAATATCGAAGAGGCAAAGGATGAATTAAGCACCTGGCCTGGAGTGAAGCATGAGAAGACGAGACACGGTAAATTGAGGTGGGTGACTGACCCCCCATTCAGCCAAATACCCCACGGTTCTGTGCTTCTGGCTTTTGTCAGCGAGCCGGGCTGCTTCTCGACTGCCCAGAAGAAGAGCGTGTTATTCGGATGCCCTGCGCGCTGCACTCCAATGTTTCCTGCGTAGCTGCTGGGTACGGGGAATGTCGCGTTGGGCAGTCGATCCCCGACGCGAAAGTCTGGACTGGTATTAGCTTTCATCGGCCGATTTCAACTTCGGAAGAACCGACACTTTTGCCAGGCGGGACTATAGTCTCCCCGAGGCTGGCCAGGATAAACATGAGGGAAAGAGCTGGGGAGGTCGCTGCCGGTCTGAGCAAAGACTGCTGTTGAGAATGCCGCGAGGAGTGGAAGGAGAGCGAGCATGACTCCGAGAGTGAAGGTACTGTAAGACCACGAAGGTTGACATTGATGTTGACTGGCTTTATATAAGCGTAGCAGGCAGCCAATTTTAGTTACACAATAAACTCGAGTTGCGAGCCCGGTGGCTTGCGCGCATCAACTGACGGCCGCCCGTTATTGTCTGCCCCTCGGCACTGTCACCGCGACATTCGGCAAGAAGCAGAGCGCACAATAGCCTGTGAGTAATACGGCATCCCGAGCCCACCGACGCGCTGCTATGTCTTCCAATCCAAGTCCCCGGGACCTGTTCTGGTCCCGGGGCTGGAACTTGCAACAAAAAGGATGCCGTATGTGGCCGTGCTCACTCTTTGGCTCTGCTTGGTCCCACCAAAATATTTCGAGTCCGGTTTCCCCGCTCTCCATTCGCCGTTACGCACTCCCCGATGCTGCCCAGACACCTCCAAGCTCTCGTCGCCCGCACTGCTGCGCGGCGGAGTGCATCCTCGGGCTCTCTCCTCCGACAGCACCCAAGCGCCCCATTCCGAACATTTCCGACCGGCGCGTCAGCAGGGTTCCACTCGTCCTCCCGAAATCGTAACGAGGTCCCGAAGTCCCCGTTCCAGACCTTCGTGGAGGTGCTGCGCGACGAGCTGAAGAAGAACCGGGAGCTGCAGGAGAATGTCAAGCAGCTGCAGGGCGACGTGGACAAGTTGCAGGACTCTGAGGCAATGAAACGCGCGCGCGCGGCGTACGAGCGGGCACGGGTGGGTTTTTCGCTCCCTCCCCTTTCTAATTCGCTCGGACCCCAGGACTCACTGGTTTTTGCAGCTCACGTCGAGTATCCAAGAAAACCCTCGGCTTCGGGCAGCCGCCGAGGAGTTGCGGAAAACGGGAGTCAAGGTCGGCGACGCGGTAGGCGAGGCGCTGAAGACGATGGAGGAGAGCGAAATCATGCGTGCGGTGCGTGCCATCTCGTAGCCCACGCGACTTTTCTCTTATTCCATTCCCCCGTCCAGATCTCACGCGCATCCGCAGCCGTGTCCTCGTCCATAGAGAAGTCCACCGAGCCCATCCGCAACACCGCCGCGTACAAGTCGTTAGCCGAGACCCTTGTTGACGCACTGGATGACAGCGGGAGCGCGAAGCACGCTGGTTTCGAGGAGAGGGAAGCACGGCGGCTGAGGCGGCAGAAGCGGCTAGAAAAGCTTGGTCGCACGAGCGGATTCGCACAAGCCAACCGTGTCGCCGTCAACGAGGAGTAAGCTCACAGTATCTCAATTGGGAGTCATATTTAAAGCAAGCACAGAGCAGGGTCGGCCCTCGTCCTCCACAAAGACTCACCCCGACAAGAAAAATGGAACCGCATGAAGGAAGAGAGCCCGGTCTTCCGCACGCTGGCGTCCTGGCGGCAAGCTTACGACGAATCGGAAAACCCCGTCGTCGCCTCGGTGCGGGGCATCACCGAGACCGTCGGGTCGTGGTTCGAGGAGAACGAGATGGCGCAGGTCAATCGCATGATGAAGAACCTAGACCCGACCTACACGCACGACTCGTTCGAGCGGGAACTGCGTGAATACATCGTGCCGGAGGTCGTGGACGCGTATTTGAGCGCCGACCAGGCCGCATTGAAAGCCTGGTGTGGTGAGGCGGTGAGTGTGGCCTGCAGTTTTGTGGAAACTGGCTGGCTCAATGTTTCGAAAGACATATAATGTGCTTTGGGCAACGATGGAGGTCTATCTACGACAAGGCCTGATTAGCGACAGCAAAGTGCTCGATATCCGACAAGTCGACGTGAGTTTCTTTCGAATGTTTGCGACCCTGCCTAGGCTCAAACTCTTTTGCTCAGATCTCTGCCGGGAAAGTACTCGAGAACGAGCTACCTGTCTTTGTGATCCAATTCTCGACGCAGGAGGTCCTGCTATTCCGGAACGCAATATCAAGGGAAATCGTCGTTGGCGCGGAGAACAAAGTCGAGCAGTGCACGTATGTTGCTGCTGTGACACGCGTGGAGGAGGAGCTGGATAACGAGCTCACTGGTGGGTGGAAAGTCATCGAGGTGCGTCGCACAGTCTCTGTTCCCTCAGCTCGCGCTTATCTGCGTCCAGATGGCCCGAAGGAGCGCCCGTGCATATCTTTAGATTCAAAAGTACATAATACATTAATGCAGAGAGCAGAGCGCTCACCCCCCTCCTCGCCAATGATGACTAGATGTCAGGATAATCGTCAAATACATAGACGGTGCCATCCATATCTCCTCTGTGTGATCTCAGCACATGCACTCCATGTGAGACAGAAGCGCTCACGCAATGAGCCGGTGCTCGCCTAGACTCCGATCCCCTACTACGAAGGTAGCTACATCGGCGTCCGTGGTCGCGATGTAATGACCATTCTGATTAGAATGGTCGGGATTCCATAGTCGAATATGACCTGGTGAGACGCTCGTCAGCAAAAGCCTGCATCTGACAACTCGGCAAAGGCGTACCGTCGTCCCCACTGGTGACCAATGCATTCCGTTTCAAGTCTCGACTCTCCGCCCAGTGCATGCCAGTGATGCCGCAGTCCGTTTTCTCTCTCTCTTGAGCGGATGTAACTCCGAAATCCTCGCCAGGTAAATGCTTGAAATCGGCCAGCAGTCGATACGGGTCTCGGTCTCGCAGATCGTGCTTCTTGAACATCCGCGTGTCGTAGATGTGAGCGTGATTATCGGACCTGTACAGGGAACATGACTATTGCGTCTTGCCCGTGTGTGGTGTGAAACCGGAAGAAGCACTCACCGGCCGACCGCAATGTACAGACCGTCGGGACTGAAAGAGATGCAGTTGACCTCGCGCAATTTGTCCGAGAACGACTCCAACTGGATTGTCCGCCGTGCCCTACCGTCCCTCCGACGCACATCGTATAATCTGAGAGTGTTTTTGGTTTCATTTTGAGTGGCAAGAGCGACAAGGCTTCCTGAAGAAGGGATGGGAGGTCAGTCCGGAGAGTTCGCACAATCTGAGACATTTACCACAATCGTCGATGCACATTGCATCCCCAGCTTCCCCGTATCCCGAAGGCGAGGTCTCCAAGTCAAACAACGGCAGTTTGTCGCGGCTGTTGAGGTCGAAGGCGCCATGAAAACCACGAACTTGTGTGGATTGGGTGCTTTCTGGTCCATAGTGGGTTCCGTTGATGCGAACAAGAGTGAATCTGCACCCCACACAAAGGAACCGACGGTATGAAACGGCTCCTGCCCTTCAGGAGTGAGGCTAAAACTGTGCTGCGAATCACTGTTGACTCGGTGGACGGTAAGAGACCTATGGTCCTTTTTGAGCAATTCCACTGGAAGGCGGGAATCATCACAAACCGTTCTCCGACACCCAGTACACCGGCTTCGTCTGGTTTAAAGATGACTTGTAATGGAGTCACTGATTTGTTTCGGTATTCTTCAAGTAATTGAGCGGTCGTAGCTCATGTAGTGACTGATGACACGCACTGTAACGATAAATGTCTTTGACTTCGTAACTGTCCAGCTCGGAATCGTAATCCCAAGTGTGAACGACTTTTCCGCTAGAAGCTGCTAAAACATTGGAATAAGGGTCGTATGCTATGCACTTGACGGTGTTGTGGGGCACATTTTCGGCCTGTCCAACTAGTGGCAAAATCAGTCCACTTGAATCGGAAAGGACATTCTGGGAACGCACGCTGCTGTTGCTCCAGGTCGACCACATCTGCAGGATTCGCCTGTGAGACAAGTCAGAAAACGTCAGAAGGGAAACCATCGTTTCAACTTGAGACCAGCTTATGAGTGTTCCTGCCCTGTTATATGGATCTGGCTCTGCTGCAGGGAGAAATCAGATAGTATTCCGATGTAAACCAACCTACTGACACGCATTACTTGATTCGCCACCTGGCGTCGCAGAGCAGACCACTACCCTCCCATTATGTTGCAAGATCATGTTAATTGCTGCACTTTCGGTGAGACTTTCAGTTTCGTTGCCATGGATGATCGAGACACACATCCTCCTGACTGTTTAACCCTGCGTTTCTCCGTCAAACGGTCGAAGCCAACTGCTTCAACCAATGAAGGTCGCTGCTCGCGGAATCGGGCACGCGGCTGACTTCGAGGAAGCTCATACCATCTATCTAACTGTTTCGCAAAAATATGAGCTGCAGTCTAGTGCCGAAGAACGACGCACCTTGGATTCGACTGTGCCATGCCAACCTTCAAATGTGATCTTCCGCCGCGGGACATGCCCTCGACCAAGATGCATAGATTGAAACATCCCTCCTAGCGACAGATCAGGTTCGGCGATTGGGGTAGGTTCTTCGTAGTTCTCTGCAGGCTCTTCGACTTCAATCTGAGTAAGGCGTGAGCAGGCTGGATCAGGCGAGCATATTATACCTACAGGATCTTCCCAAAAAGCGTCATAATCATCTTCAGGATCAGACTCCTCTTCTTCCTTCACGTCCTGTTTGTCCAAAACATCATGTGCGCGTGGCATATCGACATCGTCGTCCGATTCAACCAGGTCAATGATCTCGGGTTCCTTCTTGATGTGTGTAGGATTCGATAGCATGCGCTTTGGCATCGCCATCGACGATGCGATTGACATTCTCATTGGGGGTTCTCTTCTCGTCGGGATATACGCGAGCGTGTGAGCGCGTTTGAGAGATTTCGGCGGTCTGCACGGATATCGAAGCATCAGGGATACCGGCGGCTAATGAACCGAAGCGGGCTTACCTTGCATCTTCTATCGCGCTCGCGCTCACGCTCTCTGGCTTGCGTTTCCTCTTCCTCACGCTCGGCGTTCCGGGTGCCAGTGGATTTGTCTTCGAGCCCGGTCGACCATAACGTTCAGTGACAACCGGCTTTGGTCCTCGTCGTCCGAGATGGCGGTAATACTCCTCGCCGACGCCGGCTTGCGGTTGCCGCGCCCAGACACAGACGACGCGGCCCTGTTTTCGTGCGGTGTGATAGTATCACGCTTCACCAGCGACTCGGAAATGATTTGAATGTCGGAATCATCGGTTTCTGAGCCTTCGCTGAGCACGATGGCAGTGTCCCGGGTCGAGTGTGAGTTCGTCGGAGGGGGACGCGGGCGAGATCGGTTGACGGTCGTTGGTGCTAGCGGGCGCGTGGGCATGGATTGTGACGGTGCACGCGTAGATATGTTCGCGATTACATCCTCTCTTAATTGTCTTGCGTTCGCCGCCTTCAAATGGCTGGCCGTATGCCTCAGCCCCGGCGGGTCATTGTCGCGGTACATGAAGTTGAGAGCAGCCAAGAGGTGGTGGCTGTGTACCTCTACCTTTTCGGTCACACACACGCGTGTGTGTTGATTCAATTCCACCGCGACGATTACGACCATGGCCCGCCGCAAACGCTATATCGACGATGGACTCGACTCAGACGCTTCCGACTCTGGAAACGGTGATGACGATGATTACAACCCGAACGAGAGCGCGGATGCACGCACTGCACGGGAACTCTTTGAGAACCCGTATGGCACGAAGAGGAAACGCAGGCGGGTCAGTGACGAGGACGATGAGGATGAAGACGGCCTCGAAGCTGATCTCATGCCTCGTAGGAAAGCGGGCTCATCTCGGAGGAATGATTGGACCAAAGCACCCGCGTTTGTTTCGGGGGATGCGGGGCAGCAGAAGATGGAGGTGGATGAAGAAGAAGGGGACGGTGACGAGGATGAAGACTCGGATGATGGAGAGGAACCGGAATTGTCCAAACCACCATCGCCTCGAATAAGGGAAGAGGAAGATGACATGGATGAACGGCCGCGAATGGGAATGGGAATGGGAGGAATAGGCTCTCGCGCACCTGCGTTACCCGAAGATTCAGACGCACCAATGTCATTCAATTCGCCCCCAAAAGCCGGTATTGGGTCCTCCAAGGCAGGCGGAGGGATCGGCTCCTCCCGCCTTGCCGGTTCATCATCATCGGCGTTCAGTAAAGGTGGACTCGGCTCCGCATTCGCCAAGTCAGGATTGTCTGCTTTCTCCAAAGCGAGCGAGGAGCCTCCTCCAGCCTCAGCTGCTGGCATGGGCTCACGCGGAGGGATCGGTGCCCATGCCCCACCACCACCTCCCGTCGTGGAAGACGAGATCCCGCCTTCCTTCGGTAGTCGCAAACCGTCTTTTGTGCGCAACTCTTCCTCTTCAAGTAAACCTGCGGCTCCACTCAGCTCGTCGGAACAAATGCACTTCAACAAAATATCTGGCAGCATTGGAGCGCGGCTTCTCTCCAAGATGGGCTGGCAATCAGGCGCAGGTCTCGGTGCTTCAGGCGAGGGTATCGTCACCCCGGTAGAGAGTAAACTGCGGCCGCAAAAGATGGGTATGGGTTATCGTGGATTCAAGGAGAAGACAGATCAGTCCAAGGCCGAGGCTCGCAGAAGAGGTCAAGCCGTCAGCGACGACGAAAGCGAGACTCCTGCTATGCGAAAAGCTAGAAAGAAGGACAAAGAAGCCAAGGAGAAACGCTCAGATGTCTGGAAACGACCGCAGAGGGTCAAGACCAAGGTCGAACACAAGACTTACGAGCAGATCATCGCAGAAGCTGGCGAGGACGTTGGCGCTTCAAACCTCGGTCAGATCATCGATGCCACGGGTGCAGAGGTGCGCTGGTCTCCTTCTATGTATCCCAGCTTCCTCACTCAAAGTTGAATCATAGCTGCGAGAAGTGTCGTCAATCACAGATATCTCTCTCAAATCGACTTGGTCGCCTTCCAATGATCCCACCAGGATACCTGAAGTTCGACACAACATTCGGCTCATAGCAGAAGATTGCAAGAAAGATCTTGATGGACTGGCGCGCGAAGCGAAAGCTCTCGACGATCGAAAGCAGTGGATCGTTCGCGAAGACGCCAGACTGAGGAAGAAAGTCGAGGAGGAAGCGGATCGTGAGTGTATCCTGATCGATGCCCTCGAATGATTCCCGATTTTCTTCTAGTGATCGCGCGCCTCCAGCAAGTACATATTGTGGCCAACGAGATCGACAGCAAGTCAAAGGAACTCGCCTCGTCCTACGAACCGTCATTGGATAGCTTCTCCCCGTTGTTCTACAAGCTCAGTGATCAGTTTGGCCCAGAGCTAGAGAAGTATCGGCTAGATGAGATAGCTGTTGCTGCCATTGCTCCACTATTAAGGAGATTGGTGACCGCATGGAATCCTCTCGAGTCTCCGGGCGACTTTGTTTCGACCTTCCGGACATGGCGCAGTGTTCTGAGAATCAAAGAAGAGCAAGCGAAGACTGTCGAGAACCAGGTCGACGTCTACGGCACCAAATCTATCGCTCCCGTACAGATGTCCGTCCCTTACCTATGTTTCGTTCATTTGCTCATCGTTCTCCTAGTGAAAAGCCCATGACGCCGTTCGAAAGCTTGCTTTGGAACGTGTGGCTCCCAAAAGTTCGGACTGCAATCAACAACGATTGGACACCGTATACTCCCCAACCAGCAGTCAAATTATATGAAGTGTGGGCCTCGTTTCTCCCCGCTTTTATTCGCGACAACCTGCTCGACCAACTCGTTCTTCCCAAAGTAAAAAAGGCTGTCGCAGAGTGGAATGCGAAACGTGCGAACGGGTCTTTGCGGAGTCTGGTGTTCCCGTGGTTGCCTCATTTGGGTCTGAGAACGGAAGACCTGATTGGTGATGCGCAAAGGAAACTAAAGAGTGTTCTGCGAAGCTGGAACTGCGGGGAAGACATGCCCGAAGATTTGACCGCTTGGCGAGAAGTGTTTGATGCCAAGGAGTGGGATGCAATGCTACTCAAATACGTTGTCCCCAAATTGGGAGCCTTGCTTCGGGAAGATTTCCACGTCAATCCGCGGGACCAAGATATGGCGCCGTTATCCAAGGTCATCCAGTGGTCCGGAGTCATCCGAACGTCCATCTTTTCCCAGATTCTGGAGACAGAGTTCATTCCCAAATGGCTCGACGTGCTGCATCTGTTACTTGTCACGCCAGGGGTGAGCTACGAAGAGGTCGCACAGTGGTTCTCTCGGTGGAAAGAGTCCTTCCCCGAGAACGTCCAGGCGATGCCCGGGATTAGCCAGGGCTTCACACGCGGTCTGCAGCTCATGAACAAGGCCATCGAACTGGGGCCCGATGCACCTACGAAACTTGCCCGGCCCGATTTTGTCGCGGAAATGGCCGCCGCTGGTGTCGCCGCGAAAACCGCTGCCGTGCCGAAGGCAGCTCGGCCCTCGGCGCGCAAGTACGAGATCACCTTCCGCTCGATCGTGGAGGAGTTCGCCGCATCACACAATCTCCTCTTCATGCCGACTGGGAAGGCGCACGAGATCTCGCGGGTCCCGCTGTTCCGGGTCTCGCGAACTGTCGATGGAAAGGACGGATTGTTGGTCTATCTGCTGGATGATGCTGTTTGGGCACCTTCTGCAGATGGTGGTGGCGCTTATCGGGCTATCCCCCTCGAAGATATGGTGGCCAGAGCTAGCTGAGCGTCGATCCTACCTAATGCGCACTAGTACCATACCCATTGAAAGATTCTGTCGTGTCTAACAGTAGTCTTGTATGTCTCGGAGGAGCGGAGAGTTTGCACGTGACCGATATCCACGCGATCAGTCTCGACCTTTCTATTTACTTCATCCTCCAGGGCATACAGCTTTCGACAATCGCCCTGGGCACAATAGTAGCCCGACCCGGAATTGAGACTTTCTACGGACCCCTGAGGCGGCTCTAGCTTCCATCCGTTCTTTGCACTAGCCCTGACACTTCCCTTGCCCGGCGTCGTCCGAGCTGGTCATCGATTGTGCGTTCTATTCGTCCATGCTCGACGCCAACCCGAAGTTTGCGGGCGTAAGCCGGCCGTCCCATGACAATATGCGATGCATACCTCGCCGCCGTTCCATCATTTTAGCTCTCGGTCGCAACTCGTATCTTGTGCGATACTTCTGCTCGCTCCCCCCTGTGCACAAAAGGTACAGCACCGAGTCATAGGACGCATTGCGCCATGTTGCTCCGCAGCCTCTCTTTCTCAATTGCCTTGCGCCTGCTGCTTCCGGCCCTTGCGCAGGGACAGCACGAGCTCGTAGTCCCGACTGACCTTGATTGCCCGCGCGGTTCTGCGCCGAGTTTTGTGCACAACAACTACGCCTTTCTGGCTCCGGCGCACGAGTTCATCCACATCACCCAGTCATTCTTCAATCTGAGCTGGTATGTGAGTACACCGTCCGCCCGCGCGCCAGTCTCCTCCGCGGTGCTCACGTGCATGTCTCGTATTAGGGCGCCAACGCGACCGTTGTAACGGGGAAGAACAACGTCCCAGGCGCAACGCGCAGCGGATCGTTCGCGGGCGCCTCGTTCAACGAGACGCTCCTCTCCTACCGCAAAGACACGACGTCGCCGTCGCCGTCGTTCCTCGAATACACGTACCGCGGGCAGCCGGGGCCGTTCGTGAACCCGACGCAGCCGTGGTTCAGCGTGCAGGCGCAGGGGTACATCGAGAGGTTCCGGTTCACGGGCATCTGCGCTAAGAGGGCGACGCTGGTCGAGGTCACCACGCATGTCTGCTCGAGCAACCAGGTCTTGGCGTACAATTACGTGACGCAGTTCCACGATGCTGTGCTTCCGGCTTTGGGGGCTGGTCTGCGCGCGCCTATCCTGAGCGGCGACTGCCCGTCGAAGTAAGGAAGAGGAAGGGTCGAGATTCGAAAGTAGTACGGTGCTCCCTGTGCCTTGCGCAAGATGCATAGCCATAAATGGAGACAGAGTTCAAACCGAAATTCGAAAAAACTGATGTCAGTGTACGAATATGACCGTCTTCAAACAACGTATTGTACGGCCTGTCCATGGAAGATGATCAGTCCAAGTTATTGACCTGGGACGGTCACGTGGTCTCCTTCTCGGCGCGTCATGATCATGATGTGTGGGAGCGAACTTCTGTCCTGTGTGTCTGCTCTCGAAGGTAGAATCAACGATCGCTATAATATTGCCTGGGTAGCAATACTGTGAAACAGCACAGATACCCATCATCGTGATGAACAGCCACTGGCATGATGAGCACTGCATGCCAGAGTAGCCGGCGCGTATTGTGTCGTCCACCGTCACTCAGTGACACTCACCCTCCGCAACCAGCCTGCACTTCAAACTTCAAACCGATGACCTCGTCCAGTCACCGGCACTCTCCGCAAGCTCTCAGAGCAAATCATGGACCAACCTCCGCCAGAAGTTCATGCACGTCTTGCCACGTCCCGGCGAGGACACCCCGCACACATCAAGCAGTCGCCCCGGGGCCGCCGCGCCGATCATCCACCCCCTACCAACCCGACTCACCGAACTCGTGTCGACGGAGATATACGAGCAGGTCATCACTTATTGCACGGACAAGGCGACACTGCTGGCGTGCATGCGCGTCTGCAGGGCCTGGGTGCCGCGCGCCCGCTTTATCTTGTTTTCGAGGGTCATCTGTCGTCCGCGCGTCGTCATTCCAAGCGGCACAACTGGGAGCCCCGTTTCCTGTGTTGCGCTCTACCGAGGTGAGTCCTAGGGTTCCTGTGTCGGTGACCGGGGTCAACTGACTGGCAGGCCTGCAGGACCAGACTCCGATGTGGAGGAGCTGATCCACGGTAACTCGGATGGGGTCTACCATTCCAGCTCCAGGAGAATGCTGCTGAAGATCAAGCACGTATCGCAGATGGCGATTTTAGTCGAATACGATCTATTTCTGTGCCTGGCTGGTCAGTCTCTCTTTTCTTCCCTGGCACCCCACACGCCCATCTTGATATTTGGTCGCAGACGGGCTGTTCAGCACATTACCGCTGCATAGGCTGCTATCCGGCCACGCGCACGAGCATGATCTGACAGTCCTGTCGAAGCACGTTCACGCCTTCGATGTTCTGCGAGACGGCGCGAAGGCCCAAGTATGCGTCCGGAAGGGCAGCTCTCGGAATGGCATCATCAAGGTCTTCGAGACCCGGCGAGGGGTTTCCAGCGGGCAGGGCGCAGGCCAACCCGCCGCGTGGGGTCTGCACAAAACGCACGTAAAATACCGTGTCTTCACGACTTGGGAATGATCTGACTCGTTTGCGCGGATCAGGAGGGAGATGTTCGTCCCGAGCGGGATACACTCCCTCAGGCAGGCAACTATGAACATGCTCGTCGTCGGTCTGCAGGGCACGGGCGGTTTCGAGGTCATCCACGTGCAGACCGCGGAGACGCAGAGTTTGCTTGACCCCGACGACTTCACCCTCAAGTTTGTATTCAGGAATAAATCTCTCAGGGCGCTGGAATGTATCAGAACGCGAGATCAGGAGAGGTTTTTGGTCTGCTACGACAGTCAGTATTGATTCATTCCTGCAGTCAGTCAGCGAGGGAATCCAACGCTGACCTGCACAGAATTCGGGTTATTCGTCAACCTACATGGGAATCAGCTCTCAGAGCCGCCCATGATGCGCTGGTCCGAAGACTCGCCTCCAATCTACTTTGGTGCGCCCACCTAGCACGGATCCCCTGCTCATATGAATCGTCACTGACACCTGCATAATCTCAGCCCTCAAGGAACCCTACCTGCTCGCATTCACATCTACGTGTCTCTATGTGTGGTGGACCGAAACTGGGGGGTGTAAGCAGACGGTTCTCGGCCAATATACGCTACTCAACGCGGTCGGCCGGGATGAGAGAATATTCCTAATGGCGCATGGGAGTGGGGATGTCGTCGAGCTCGTATTCAATTCCTGAACATCTGAGAAGGAAATGTCGTGTATTAAATTCAATCGCTCCCAAGAGTATCTACAGGATCTACACCCTTTGCCTCTAGCGAAAGTCCAAGTTGTACAATAGTTGAAGTGCTGTCACGGGACCGGTCATGGTGTAACTAAGTATCACAAGACTTGCATTTTCAGACCTTGGAATAACCGTTTCAGTGTTGACATAAAACTGCTCACGATATGAAGAGAACGATGGCTTCCGGGGACAAATGGCCTCAGGCGAACGCCTGGAGTCGCCTGCAGATGTTCTAGCGCTCTCGCGCCCTTTATTCTAATCGTTTCTCGTGATGATCGCACTGATCATCGTCCTCCTGGCACTCGCCGTGAAGCCTCTGCTACTCCGACCTCTATTCTTTCTCCTCATCCTGGCGCTGGCGCTCTATCTATCGCGCAGCACGACAGGCGTGTTCGTTGCCGAGTGCAGGTCACTGGTGTGGCCGATCGCGAAAGAGAAATACGCCTCTTGTGCTATTTACAAGACGCATAGTCGTGGACGAGGGCAAAATCAGATCAGAATCCGGAGCAGCCAGCAGAAAGTGCCAACTCAAGTAGCTGAAATAACACGGGGACCCCTTAGAACTTGTGAAGGGTACATGAGGTGATCATGTTTTCGAAGTTAGAAGTGGCGATCGCTATGTGGATAGCGATATCAAGGCGCGGCTATGGAACGGAGAGCTATGAAACAGCGTGATGAGCAATCAGTCATGATGAGGCACACTACTGCAGAGTGCATTCCAGCAGAGTAAGGTCACGTGACCATTAAACATCCGTCCATTATTTCCACGCATCATAGACGTTCACTTGCATTCTACGCACCCCTCGAGCCACTCCACCATAAATCGTGTCGTCGATCGTCACTCGTCCAAGTCGCCGGCATTCTACGAAGCTCTTATGAGGACGTTCCGCCCCATGGCTGCTCGGCCCATCCACCCCCTACCAACCCGACTGACGGAACTCATATCGACGGAGATATGCGAGCTCGTCATCACTCATTGCAAAGATAAGGCGACGCTCCTGGCGTGCATGCGCGTCTGCAAGGCCTGGGTGCCGCGCGCCCGCTTCATCTTGTTTTCGAGGGTCATCTGTCGGCCGAGCGTGGTCATCCCGAGCGGCACAAGTGCGAGCCCCGTTTCCTCTGTTGTGCGCTACCGAGGCGAGTCTCGGGGCTCCTGCGTCTGTGACTGCGTGGTCAACTAACTGGCAAGCCTGCAGCACCGGACTGCAATCGGGAGGAGCTGATTTACGGTAATGCGGACGGAGTTCACAATCACAGCTCCGAGAAGGTGCTTCTGAAGGTCAAAAACGTATCGCAAATGGAGATTTTGGTCGAATACGATCTTTTTCTGTGCCTGGCCGGTCAGTCCTTCCTAGCATCACCCCGCCCGATCTTGATAGCCTGGTCGTAGATGGGCTTTTCTGCACATTGCCCCTGCACAGAATGCTATCCGGTCACGCAAATGAGGATGATCTGACGGTCCTTTCGGAACAGGTCCATGCTTTCGATGTGCTGCAAGACGATATGAGAGCACAAGTCTGCATTCGGAAGGGGGGCTTTCGGCGCGGCATCATCAAGATTTTCGAGAGTCGGCGAGGCGTTCCCAGTGAACAGGACGTCGGCCAAACCACAAATTCTGGACTGCACGAAATGCATGTGCCCTGTCTCGAGAGCCTGAGGATTGACCGACTCATCCACTCATTCCAGGAAAGAGATCTTCATTCCAAACGAGATACGCTCCATCCGGCACGTATCGATGGATTTGCTCGTCGCCGCTCTGCAAGACTCAAGCGAATTCGAAGTGGTCCACGTGCAAACCGCGGAGACGCACAATTTGCTCGATCCAACTGACTGGACTCTCCGGGCCGTATCCAAAGACAGATACCTTAATGCGCTGGATTGTTTCATAACGCGAAATCACCAGAGGTTCTTCGTCTGCTACGACAGTTAGTGTTTCATCATTGTCTGAATGGATCCAAGGCTGACCTCCACAGAATATATGCTGCATATCAGCAGAGGGGGGAAACAGCTCGCGGAGCCATCTCCGCAGAGCTGGCCAGAGGGCCCACTTCCTTCCAGTTACGGTGCGCGCGCCTGGAACGATCCTCTGCTGATCTCAATCGTCATTGACCATTCGCTCATCGCAGTCTTCAAGAGATCCTACCTGCTCGCATTCTTATCTACGCACATTGATGTGTCGTGGTGGATGATAATTGATGGGTATGATCCGGAGATTCACGCACTGCACCCCCGCGGTCATCAGAAGGTTCTCGGACGATACACCCTGCTCAACGCGTTTGACCGGGACGAAAGCGTATTTCTAATGGCGCATCAGAGTAACGATGTAGTAGAGCTCAAGTTCTGGTCCCGTGTATCTATCTGATAAAGGATTTTTGCGTGTCATTTCAGGAGATTTCCGCAGGGATTTCCGGCACTTGACCCTCAGCAAAAGTTCAAGTTGTAATATAGTGAAACGACTGTCACGGGACCGGTCGTATCTGCCCGAATCTGATCGTGCGATTGTTGATCGGGATTTGCCCTTCCCTTTTCCGCAACTACGAGGCCGTCAGTACATTTTCAGTCTTGGAATAGCTGGTTCAGCAGTGGCATGAACGTGCCCACGCATATAGAGACGAAGATGGCTTCCAGGGAGAAGTGACCTCGAACGCATGGAGTCGCCTGCAGGTGTTCCAACGCCCTCGCGTCCTTCTTCCCAACCGTTTCTCGTCTCGGTCACTCAGAGCATCATCCTCCTTGCACTCGCCGTCAAGCCATCGCCCCTCCAGCCTCTGTTCCTCCTCCTCATCCTTGCGCTGACGCTCTACGCATCGCGCACCACGACACGCGTGTTCGTCGCCGACTTCACGCTCGCGTGCGTGCTGTGGGGCCGCTTCTTCAGCGTGTCAGACTACCTCCTCCTGACCGGCGTGCAGCGGGCGCTCGCGCAGGTCGCCGCCGGGGACCCTCCGGCGCGGCGGATCGAGCGCGAGCCGGTCCTGGCGTGGCTCAGAGCCATAGCACTAAGATTTAGGATAAAAAGCCATGGCTCTTACCATGGAAATCCCATCCTAATGTATGGTAGTTACCATGCCCAGTGGCTATGTATACCCCCTGTGTCCATACAGGTGAACCAAGCGGCGGCACGTTCGGCGATGTAGCTGATGATCATAGTGATTAATGATGAGTGATTAATGAATGGCAGCCATGGCACCGGATCGAACTCGAGACCCTTCCAAAAAGCTATAAAAATGTGGAGCAGTAACCACTGAGCCATAACACCATATAATATTCTAGCATATTTCCAACCACAACCCTGGTAGGACCGGCCAAAAAACATCTCCCCCACTTAGGACAAGGAGCAAGCCTCCTTGGCTCCTTTCCCTAAGGAGGCTTGCTCCTTGTCCTAAGTGGGGGAAACAACCCTAACCTCCAACCAACCCTGACTGCTAACCAACCCGAACCCTAGCCAGTAAAAAAACATGATTCTTGGGACCCAAAGCCCTATCCCAAACCCGAACCTGTCTTAAGTCCGAGAAGGAGGGACACAGCAGGGTATCACTTGTGGGCGGCTGATGGAGATCACACGATGGAATCAGTGATGTGCATCATGTGATACATGCAGATGTGAAGCAAACACATGGCTCTTGCCATGGCATGGTAAGCACCATACATTAGGATGGGATTTCCATGGTAAGAGCCATAACATTTAGCTAAATCCTAGTGCTACGGGTGTGGCTCAGATGAGCGCTGAGCCTGTGGGTTGGCATCCGCGGCGTCGGGTGGGCGCCGCCGGCGCGGCCCGCACGGGGCACCCTTCGCGTGTGGCTCACAGCCGCCCAGCTGCTTGCGTTTGCCGGGTACCTCATTGTGCACGACGCGGCGAATCTGTATATTCAGGCCCACCCGCGGCTGTTTCGAGCCGCCTCCGCCCGCGCCCGCGCGCTTGGAAGAAGAGAGCTGGCTGACGCGCGCGGCGATCGCGCTGACATTCGGGGCTGGGGTCCGGTCCGCGTGGTCGATGGGCTGGATACTGGTCAGCATCGTCTCGGTGAACATGCGGGTTTCTGGACCAGAAGAATGGCCGCCGATGTTTGCTGGCCCCGCGGAAGCCTGCTCTATCCGTCGATTCTGGGGGTGCGCTCGATTCGACGATATCCTCGCTCTCAGTCTCATTGATGCTCTTCAGATGTGCGTGGCATCAGAGCTTTCGCCGCGTGAGGAACCATCTGTGTATGGCGGGAGATACGCGACGGACTGACTGTTGTTTCAGTCCGTGTCTTCGCATGGCAAAGCCGGGTCCGCGGCTCTAGGCCTGAACCAGGGAACTTGGGCATCTTCTTACACAGAGCTGTACATCGCCTTCTTCGTCTCCGGGCTCGTGCACTACGCCGCCGACGTGCAGGCCCTCAATGCATGGCACGGCGGCTCGATGTACTTCTTCCTCGCCTAAGCGGCAGCCATTACACTCGAGGATCTCGTCGAAGCTCTCGGAAGAAAGGCTGGCGTCAAGGGCGGCCGCGTTCTGGGTCGGATATGTCAGGGTCACAAGCTGGTTTGCGTTGAGCCTTCCGTGCTGGGTCGGTCCGATGGCCTGTGGCGGTCTGTTCGAGGGTCCGAGAATGCGATTCAGTTTCATCCTCGGTCTCTTACGAGGACGGTGGTGGCTCCCGTCTGTCTAGTGTCGGTCGCGAAGGATGACATGCATCTTGGGTTCTTGCACTTTTACATCATTTCGGGCCTTCGACTCGTACGAGAGGACGCATTGCACTATAGGACGTTGGCCTCTCTCCACAACACGCAGAGCTTCGCGGTGACCAGTCGGGCGCATATGGGATCATTTCTCAGAAGACGAGGACTTGAGCGCACACAGGCCCTTCTCCGCCAAATCGTTTTCAACACAATCTGCCATGCCAATCTCCGCCATTCACCTGCATGATGAATATGAGATGCACCGCAAACTATGCGGCTCGGCAAGTCCACATCCCGGGGCATACGAAGTTTCTCGTCGACCCTGATATCTCACATCTCGACTCCTGACTGATTCCCCCGGGATCACCCACTCTGAAGCATCTCTACCAAGTTGATGTCTGCCGGCAGAGTCTCGGCGCACCTGATTGAAAGCGCGGGACGTTTTCAATTCCTCAGTATCTCAGCGGGAAGGTGGGCAGCCGGCCTCCAGTCATGTATGAGTAACGGGGCCTGGCTGATCGCAGGGGCGGTTGCTCTGAGACCGCGGCGCAAGCCAGTTCCTGATACTCTTACGTGACGACCGAATCTGTCCAGAAAGCTGCGAGTTATGCGTCATTACGACAAAGTTTGTTATAATTTACCACCTTCGATTCTCTTTTGTGCCCTCCGAGGCAGAATTCTCTGCGACTCGAGATAATTAATTCCATTCTAATCGGTCTTCCCTCCCCGAGATGGTCAGGGCTGCTCGTCCTCCCCATCACACTCTTCATCTAAACACTATCAGCCTCAGCCTCAGCCTCAGTCTTTGCACACACACATACCCTCATACGGTGTGAAAACCGGACAGTCTCCGGGCATGATGGCCGCGCCCACGGTCGCCTTCAAGCCAAGCGCCGCCGCGAGATGCGTGCCATACGCAAAGTCGTACGCCCCGCTCTGGCTCTGCGCACACGTCCGGGCCAGGAACGTGATATAAGTCGCGTGGCCGGCGCACACACTCTCGAACCGGACCGTCTCGGAGTAGGTGTCCTGGTGCAGCGTCCCGGCGTCCAGCGACCCGATGCTCACGACCGCGCGGAAGGACATGTGGAGGAACGACCCGGGGCGGAAGGCGTAGTGCGTGAGCGTCTCGGTGAAGTTGGCCGCGTAGCGCAGGTGCGGGTCGTCGCTGGCGAAGACGCCGCTGCGCGTGGCGCCAGGGACGTTGTCCGTGCCGCTCGTGTGCGTGAACGTCGTGTCGTTGCCCTGTGCGATTCACGTCTCTTTATCAGCACGCACGCTCCGCGCTGAGGGCACACGCACCCCGAACCACTCCCCGTGGAAGAACGACCCGGCGAGGTCGGTGAAGCGGCTCAGCGGCGCGACGTACGCGAACTCGTTGTGCACGAAGCCCGCTGACAGCCCGGCGGAGCACGGACCCCGTCGAGCATCCCGCGTCCCAGCAGCCACGGCGCACAGCCCGCTCAGCGTCGCGAGGATCGGGGTGAAGGTCTTCATGGCGGCGAGGGGAGCGGGGTCGGCACGGCCCTGGCTTTTATAGCGCCAGCCGGAAGAAGGGGCAGAAAAAAAGTGGTCGAGCTGGGCTGTGCGGCTTCTATTCCGATCCTCCTTCTCGGAGTTCTAGCTTCAGCAGTGAATCGATGCCCCGACGCCGGGCGACGCCAAGGAAGAGCGCTAGAGTGGCGAAGAGCGACGGAAGAGCGGAGTCCGATTCATCAGTGGATCGAGAACGGCCGCGGTATGACGCAAAGAAGCCCTACAGAGCTTTCCGCTCGATTTATGAGCGGAGCGAACGAAAGCGTGAGGCTCTATGCCTGTACGCTGGGATCTCGCTAAATCGCTTCCGACCGACGAAAATGCCAGAAGAGCCTTTCGACGAGCGACGACCAATACGTGAGAGAATCTGGACAAGCTGAGACTGCGCCGAATTCGAGCGTAAATGCAGCTTTGAAGGGGATCAATGAAAGTGAGAGACAGGTCCGAGATGGTAGGACGCAACTTGATTTTCAGGCTCGGAGATAGCCGTGGTCGAATCTCCCTCCAGCCTGTTTCATCTCAACGGAGTCCACAAGTAAGATAAAGTGAATGGTATAGCAAACTCATCTCTCGGATGCAGACTTCACGTACTCATATACTGAAAGCTGGGGCAGCCCCGAAGCAGTAGGCGCGGTCCTGAATTCGCAGTCACCACTTGGGACCTTGGCCCTCGGGAGGAGGACGGATCCTCTACAAGTCTTTCGCTGACTTGGCTGCCGCGACCGGCTCCGTCCTTATGCTGAAGCCGCCGGTCATCGACAAGCAACACTGCAGATATCGTACAACACAATCAGCCTTTTATTGTGCGTTTTTATATATTCACTGCCCGGCACAGTCCCCCACTTTGCTGCAAAGCTACGTAGGATACGACATGCCCACCCTATGCGAAAAAAGAATATGCAGGGAAAACTGAATTAGAGAAGAGAAACAGAGACGATAGCGAGCAAGATGAGATGACACACACACAGACACGCGCGCGATAAACGCCTGATACAATCAATCTACAGAGAGATACAGTCTATGCAGCAGCCAGCGGGATCGGAGAGCTCTGCTGCTGTGGCTGCGGCTGCTGCGGCTGCTGAGCAGGCGAGGCCATCACCGAGGGAGAAGCCACCCTCGCCGGCGCCGGATCGTCCAGAGAGATACCCGCAACCTGATTGGCGACCGCCGCGACCTTGTCTTTGCCGCCAGCCGTAGTCGGTCTCCTCACCGCCGGCCCGTTCGCAGGCGCCATCACTATGGACCGCGTCGACGAGATATTGGTCCACGCTCCCCCCGGCCGGGGCTGCGCTTTTTCGGCACCGGGAGGGGGCCCGACAGTCAGCGGCGGGAACTCAGTCAGCGCGGGCGGCTCCGCGAGTGGCGATTGACTGCCGTGCGGCGGGAGCGAATGATGCCTTGTCCCGTGGAGGTTGGGATTGGGGCGCAGGCCCACGGCCCAATCAGGTCGCGCAGGCAGTGGATGGTGCTGGGTCGACGAATTAGATGTGTATGTCCGCCGCGAAGATGACGACGTTGTCGAGGATGACTTGGCGAACCGAGTCAGCTTCAGGTGGACGAACAAAACAAGCAAACAAACTCACTGCGACACTGGACACATCATCCCCCGTCGAGCTGCCCGACCCACTGGTAGTCCTCGTTCCTCTGCGCATCCCACCCCCAAGACCGCTCAACCTGGGCCCGACGGTGTCTCTCACCAGCGTCGGAAAGTCGATGCCCCCCGTGATCCCAGGGCCATAGCTCCACGCCGCCCGCTGAGGCACAGGCTGCGGGTGGATCCCGCGCTTTACTCCATTGCTCTGATTGACGCCGTGATTGGGCCGCCGGTTACTACCGGGCCGCCCGTGGACGTTTTGCCGCTGCTCGTACGACCCATATGGCGGCATCCCACCGTGCGGTGGCGGATAATACGGCGGCGCGTACGGATTCGGCGGCCCATGGTGGATTCCGTTGGAGTTGGGCCCCATCGACATCGGCGGCATCCCGTTGTTGGTTCCAGGCGGCGCTCCCGGCGGAGGCCCTAGCCCGTGCCCGTCGTAATACACACCCGGCGGCGGGATCCCATAAGGCGGGGGAGATGTATTTTCACCAGGCTGACCAGCAGGGAACCAGGGATATGGCCCATGAGCGTTGTTGTGGTTGTATGCATATATCTCGGGGTCAGACCCAGGCGTCCCCGGATGGGAATACGGGCTTGCGTACGGGGGCGCAAAATAGCCGTTATATGGCGGATGAGGGTGCATGTATCCTTGCGGCAAAGCGTACGGCGCGTTGTAGTAGGTCGTCCCTTGCGGCATGGCACCGAAAGCCGGGGCAGAATGGTGCTGGTGCGCCGGATCGAAAGGAGGTAGATTAGCATTCATCCCGGATCCGTTAGCGGACGACCCTGGGGGCGGAGGCTCGTAAAGCGAGGGGTACTTGAAAGAGGGTGAGGAGGCACGCGAGTTCCTCGACGAAGACGATGACGAATTCGGATTGAAACCCCGACTTCGAGACGACCCTGCGTTCGAATTCGCTCGATGCGGATGCTGACTGTGGTGGTGTTTTCTGGTCGAGCTCGGCACAGACCACTCGCTCTCTGTAGCAGGTGATCCAGGCCCGTCCGGGTCGTAGTACTCGTCGCTGGCACTGGTCGTCGTCGTGCTCATCCCAGAGGACGAGGCCGCCGAGCTGGTGCTCTCCGTTTTCTGCAGCTGTTCCTTTTCTCTCTCCTCAAAATCATCGAAGATCCGATTGCGGGCTTCGTTGTAAGCAGCTGTCCTTTCTTCGATCGTAAGCCGGTGTTTGCTGGCGTTGCTTCGTCCACCAGCGCTGCCGGTCTCGGAAGCTTCGACATCGGAGACGTCTCCATCATCCCCGACGACAGAGTTGCCTGATCGGGAACGTGATTGAGAGCGTTGCATGCGTTGCATGATTTTGAATTTGGGCGGCGCCTCGGCAGGAGGAGGCGATAGCTCTGCGAGACGGCGGGTTGGTCTATGGATGAGTGAGCAATAAAGTCGCAGCTGAGGAGCAAAAAGAGATGAAGAAGGGGTCCTGCGAATCTGCGTGCTGCGCTCTACTGCGATACATCAAGCTCCCGGTGCACATTTCCCACGGAGGCACGTCAGCGACGAAAAAAACGGTGCACCGATAATTGTTCCCAGGCAACGCCGGGAGCTGTGATCCCGAGCGCCCCATCCAGAGACAGAAAGACATCGAAAAAGACTGATGGCGGAGCACAGCCCAGGAAGAACAAGACAAGACTCACATTCGGCTCTCCATCGTCACCGACACACTGATAATCTTGGTCACAGCATCCGTCTCGGGCAAAAGACCGTAGTAGGTACAGCATCGATGGACGAGCATGCGCTGGTACGACGTCGCCGGGGACAGGTCGATGCGCCTCGGGGAGTTGAGATCTATGGGACCGGGCATGTTATCCATGGTCGGGGAGGTGTGGGCGTGGATGTTATTCGGCGCAGCCGTGTGGTTGTTGATGAGGCCCTCCATCTGCTCTCCCAGCTTGAGGACGTAGATCCTGTCTTTGCCCGAGAGCGCTTCCATGATCTGGAGGTACAGCTCCGAGTCCTGGTTGGACAAGTCCGGAGGGGATGTCACGAAGGCCGGGGCGAACAAGGGAGGAGGAGGAGGAGGGGGCGACATGATGGTCATTGGCGGCGGGGGGTTTGCCGCAAAGGGTGTATCTATCGCACGGGATGAGTTTTTGCGGACAGGCACGGCAGAAGCAGCAGCAAGACACATACCGGATGACATGGGCTGAGATTAACGTCAAGCGTGAGGACAAGCACTGTGCACTGGCGGGAGACGAGCGGTCGTGCGCTAAGGGAAAGACATGAGGGTTTTGCCAAACATGTCATAACTTTGCTCTCCGAGGGTTCTTGCCCACCTTTCTCCCCACTCCGTATGTCGGGACCCTTTCTCCAGCTGCCCTGGCCCTGCAATCTGCGCGTCTCACTGGAGCGGAATGGGGAGCCCTAGCTTCCATCAGACATGTCTGGAGGAGCGTGGCCGGCGATGTCACTTTGGACCCGAATTCTGAATCGGATTTTGCCACTGGCTGTTTTTCAATCATCTATCCTCGACAATCTTTCGCAATTCCGTTTCGCTATCCTTTTTCTGCTAGAGCTCTTCCTTCTTCCTCTGCGCTCAGTGCTTCGATTGCAATTAACCGCTCGATGGTCTGCCTCGAGACCGACACGTGGTCACTTGCCCAGATCCACTCTTTGCCGCCAGCCGGTCCCTCCACATGTGGCACGCACAAGCTTTCTTTTGAATTCAATGTCCGCGGCTCGCAAACACATGCGTCCTGGCATGGCGAACCACTCGTCGATGCGGTGGTCATCGCTGCAGACTGCGGCTCACAAGATATGCGGTTTCTTTGCTATGGCCAGGCTTGCGTAGAAACTGATCCGGGAGACGGCATCCTCCCGTTCCTCTTCTGGGTTCGTCTCCGCCGTCGTCGCAAGTTGTGACGGAAGGGGCAGAAACATGACCTCGGGGAGTGAACGTCGAGGCCCCGGTCCAGTTATGCAACTCCGGGTAATTTGGATCCGACTGTGTGGAAGTGAGCTCTTTATGCACAGAGATTGGTCGTCCATTCCAGTGGAAGTTGGTAGACGTCGGTCCTGTCTCGGATATCTTTACACCGTCAATGATATTGCCATTTTCGAGGACGCCGTTCTGAGCAAAGAGCTCAAATGATTTCATTCCACTGGCGGTCAATGTACTTGTGCCAATAGTAATGAGTGCTGAGTGCCGGGCTGTATCGTGGAACTCCGACTGCTGCTGATCAGATCAGAGTGGCGATGCCGTAAGAGCTAACTCCCTTATCGACCGAGGTCCCCAACTTAACTGCTACATCGCTTTGCAATCGCTTTGTCCGCCTGATCTACAGCTCTCATGATCACGATTATGCATCCAATTCCTCGCCAGCCCATAATAGTCTCTCACGTTTCTCGTAGCAATCTAAATAACGAACGATGCACGATGCGTGGGTGCGACGTGGTGGGTCCACGGGGGTGCACCACTTATTACCTTCTTAACCCTTCTCCTTTGTGGATTTTCAACAGAAAGAAAAGGCTCGACAGTACGGTGATCGCGGAGAATGACTGGTTTGGGACGCATTTCTGTCCCGTCTGCCTCGGTCGAAAAGGCTGTTGGACTGAATGCGCTGACACAACTGCCAAGATGGGTACTCGCAATTCGAGACCCACCGCGCAATCTACAAGCTCAGCAATCAGCCACTCCCTCGGTGTTGCACGGGCTGCCCGAGTGGCGTCGAACATGCCGGACCGCGAAATTGCGCGTATAAAAGAGAGCCTCGTACCCCAGAGACAATCCAACGACTACACCCAGTCGCTCTGGGTTCTTCCACCACTCAATCTCACCCAGGATCTGCAATGCGCTTCACCGCCACCTCCTTCGCTGCTTTGGCCGCTGCGCTCGTCGCCGGCGTCTCGGCGTCTCCCGTCGCGGAGAAGGACTGGAAATACACTCTCGGGTGGAACGGCACCATCCTCGACCCGCTGGCCATCGGCATCCCCCAGGACGGCACCAGCGCGCGCTCCCTCGAGGTCCCGGCCCATTCCACTCCAACTGAGCCACAGAAACTAACATATATTTTTTCTCTGATGACAGGCCCGCACCCCCGGCGGCGTGTTCATCTGCACCAACATCAACTTCAGCGGCACCTGCGGCTACGCGGTGCAGCCTCTCGGCGTGTGCATCACGCTCACCTCGCCGTGGTACCGCACCATCTCGAGCTTCGGCCCGGACCCCGGCGCCACCTGCTTTGGTGAGCTCTCGAGTGTTCCCGCACAAGCCGCCCCTCAGCGCACACAACTGATTGGTGCGGGAATCGCCATTTAGCGTACAGCCAGAACAGCTGCGCCGAGGCGCAGTGGGAGTTCACGTACCCCGGTGATGGGACTGGAGGTCTGGGAACCAACGACCCCTGGAACGACCAGGTGCGCATTTGATGCGTTCATTATTTTCTTTGACGGAGCCTGAAGCTGTTGGACAGATCACCAACTTTATGTGCGAGTGAGGGATTTTGATGCCAATGCTCTCGTAAACAAGTTTTGTAAACCAGTCGTCTGTAACCAGGTCAAATGTGAAAGAAAACCTATTCGGTCGTTTCCGAGGGCATTTTGGAATTGGCTAGCATAGAAGAAAGAAATTTGTGTACAATTTCACTGATAAATGTGCCTCAAACCGTGCGAATGAATCACGTGTCAGATGAGTACTCTGCGTCCGTCCCATCACATCAGTGACTCCCAATTCCCGGTCACCCCGTTGTTTGACAAGTCGTTCTGCACATGATTCATTCAACTACAAGGACATTTCATTCTGTTCATCAATCTCGTAACGAGTTGTTTTGTTTTGTCCAGTCATTCACTGCTTGACCTCCTCGACAGAGCTCGCCTCGACGGGCTCCCTCGACTTGCGCTCGAGCGCGAGACGGCGGCGTTGGCCGGCAGCGGACTCGAAGCCGAAGAACGTGGTGCGCCCCTCCTTGAACTTCATGTACGCCAACGTGGCCATCACCGCGATCCAGTAGAAGACATACGCGAGGATGGAGCCGACTGTCAGGTGCAGTCAGTCTCGTGCATGACTCACGGTGGAAGACAAGCAACGCACTGTTAGCAGAGTTGGTCCACCCGAAAATAGCGTTGAAGACACTCCACCCGGAGCCATCGAGCTGGTCTTCGGGGTTGCAGCAGTCCAGATGCCACACGCTGCCCTGCACGTTGAACGAGCCGGGGCCGTCGCCGCCCGCGTCGTCGACGTCGACGCCGAGGAGGCGGTTGAACGCGTTCTGCTGGAAGGCCCATGCGGCGCGCGAGAAGAGCCCCGCGCCGATGAGCAGCACGAGGTTCGTCATGGCGATGAGGAACACGGAGAGCGTCGTGCGCGACGCGAAGCCGTAGATCAGGAACCCGCACGTCACGCCGCAGATGAGCCCGACGATCGCCGCGATGGGGATCGACGTCGCGGGCTGGCCGAGCGCGACGCCGCCGACGAACACGACCGCTTCCATGCCTGTGCAGGGGAGGGGCGGAGAGGTCAGCCACAGGGACTCAGGGAGCGAGGACGGGGCGGAGCAGGACACGTACCCTCGCGCAGGACGGTGATGAGAGGGAGGATGAAGAGGACCCAGCGCCCGGCACGCGAGCCGCGGTCGGCTTTGGCGCCGGCAAACGCGCGCTCGAGCTTGACGCGCCATTTCGCCTTGGCTGCGGTAGCGTCCGGAGTGAGCGCGGGCGCGGGATGGACGGGCGGAGACACGTACCGCGGTCCATTCTGAGCATCGTGACGCCCATGACGAAGATCATGAGCGACGCGATGAGCTCGAAGATGCCCTCCCAGAGCTCCTCGGACTTGGACCACAGGTTCGAGGCCTGCGTGAACCACACGGCAATGAAACTGCGACACGATGGGCGTCAGGTAGATACGTCGAAGTGAGAGAAACACGGACGCGGCACCGATCGCGAGGGCAATAAACAAGCCCAAGAAAGCACCTGCGAAAATCTGCGGATCATGTCAGCACCCAATTTGTGCCCACACGAGAATGCGCATCGCGTGCACCTGAATGCGCATCTTGCGGATGAGCATCTTGCGGTGGGCCGTGTCATCCTCAACGTCGTTCGAGCCGCTCGTGTCCGAGTCGGCCGCTGGCGTCTCCGCAATGCGGTGCCGCTCGCCAAAATGGGTGCTGTCGTCGTAGACGATCTGCTCCGCGAGCCCGAGCAGGACGGAGACGATGATCGCCGCCTCGAGCGTCTCGCGGAAGACAATGAAGAAGATGGGCACCGAGAACAGGTTTTTCGCCATGGGGGGAGCGCAGGCGCAGACGGGAGGAGGGAAGGGGAGGCTGGAAGCGAAAAGCAGCCATGCGGGTCCCTCCTTATGGGCCACGGAGCGAGGGGGGACGTAATCTGATTAGATGGATACCCTTGCGGGCTCTGTACAGGGCCGACTTGGCCCGAACCCGCATTTGCTCATCCGACAGCTGCATCTCGCGCGAGGGCAGCGTCTATTTTTAGAATTGTCGGCTATAGTCACGGCCAGTTCCCAATTATAGACCGGCCGGGAGATGATCTTATCCGATAAGAGAGGCGACTCCCAGGCCGCGCTCGACATCGAGTGAAAAAGGTCGTGGCTTCCAGATAAGCTGTTCTCTGGAGTCCCTCATGGCCAGGTGGCACGCAGAAAGAATCACAGTGAAAGGACAAGGCGTGCTTCCTCTCGGAGGAAGAGTGCCGCGAGGGGCGGCTGACGCATATCAGATAAGATCCAGATCTATCAGACAACCCGGCCACGTGCACTCACCTTTCTTTCGCAAGTTTTCGGTGGGCCTAGAGCCGGGGGTCTACACGGCACTGAGCTTTGACCGCCATGCAAAAGCTCTCGAGTCTTCTCCCACCCGCCCGCACGCTTGACGAGATACAATATAACATAGCGCGGCCGATTTGGAAGTGTAACGTAACGTTTCCGCGCTGGCGGGGAGACCGTTGGTCCGGGCCAGTGTTCGAGTTCTCGCACTGAGATGTGATGCATCACATTCCCGTCGGACTCCGAAGCACTCCTGACGTGCCTCGCGTCTGGACCATCCACCCGTCGGCTCCGACCCCAGGATATGACGCGACAATGGGAAATCGGAACGCCGCAGAAGGAAAAAAAAAAAACGCCCGTCTCGACTCGTATGGTACATTATACGCATGTACAGTATGTAGTAGTAACAGTAACAATAAGCATTCCGAAAGAATCCATCCGCAACGCAGTCACGCGACCTCCCACCCTATCGCGCAACACGTGAGCAGTACTGCCGCGAGGACTACCACTGCGAGGCCTTGTGGTCGAGCTCGTCGGAGATCTGGAACGCGCTGATCTTGACACTGCCGGTGAGGTCCAGGACGGGGTCCGCGGTGGCGCTGCGCTCGACGTCGACGTGCACGCCCATCACGGGCGCGCGGTCCACGGCGCTCTGGGGAGGGAGGGAGGCGATCAGTCATCGGCACGCGCCGGGGCCTAGGGAGGAGCGGACGCACGTCGAGATGGTGGCTGACGTTCCTCCGGAATCCCATTGAATACGAGTTGGAGGACTCGCCGGCCTTGGTCTGGTCCGGCGTGAGGTTGTTCCCGCGGCGCAGATTCAGCAGCGTGAACAACGACACGACGTAGCCTGCGGGGGACAAATCAATCAGCAGGCGGGGGGACGGGGATAGTGGTGTGACGCACATTTCGTCAGGAGGAACGACACAGCGAAGAAAATGAGCGTGTGAGGGAGGGTGATGAACTGCGGGTCAATCCGGTCAGCAGCTGCGTGCGACGGCGGGGAATGCCGGGACGGACGGTGATGAGACACGCGAGCGAGGTCAGACTGGGAGAGCGTGCATCAGTTCACACGCTTCGATGGCTTCGGGGGTGCAACGTACCTCGTAAGCAACCCCGAGCTGGAGGCAGACAACAGGGTCAGCATTCCCATTTGAAACACGCCAATCCACTGTGCTTTACCAGATAGTATATTGCTGTCCAGCACACACCATCAGCGCATTTCACTCAACGCGGAATGTAACAGAACTCACGATAACGCTGTTGATGGCAACATGCAAGCGCGACCCGCGGAGATGCGGGACCGTCTTCTTGCTGGACCACAGGTAGTAGCACATCGCGCCCGCAATCGCAAAGTCGCTCGCCGTGGCAATCGAGAACGACGCCTCGGCGGCAATCTGGGACATTCGTGAGCTCATACGTTTTCGCAGACTCCACGGCACAGGGAGGCGGACGGACCATGAGATCGCGCCGCTGGAGCTCCAAGAACGACTGGGACTGCGCGCTGCAAGCCAGCCAACCAAGAACATAAATCAGCACTGGGATCGCGCGCGGGAAAGCCGAAAGACAACTTGCGTTTTGACGGCCAGCACTGGACGGCGCCGGGGTCAGCATCCCGAGGCAGGGGGAACAAAGGACCACGCACTCAACCCAAATGCTGCGGACCAGTCGGCGCTCTGGCTCTCAGTCCACGGCGGGGGAGAAACGCACCGAATCCACACAGGACCGAGAGACCCTGCGATGGCCCCGTCAGTACGTTATTGTTCTTCGCAAGTAACGGCTGCTACGCACCGCGACAAAGACCATGATTCGGCTTTTGAGGCCGCTCACTGGTACCGGTGCGAGCCGTCAGTCAGTCTCGTCCTGACAGGCGCGACAGCGGCAAGGCACTCACGGCGCCAGACACGGTGGAGGTAGAATCTGCCAAAACCGCGTCAGATGGACGGAGGGGGGGCGCACATGAGGGCGAATTTACCCTTGGACCGAGTTGATGATGAGCACCTGGATTTGTGTGCCATCAGCTCGGGTCTGAGGAAGACAATGATGGAAGAAAGCGCACGCTCAGGATGGTCAGCATCTGCGAGCAAGTGGTGAGTGCAGCTCCGATCATCCTCGACACAGGTGCAGACCGACCTTGAATGCCCTGTGTCTCGCATATCAGTTTACACCGATACCCCGAAGGATATGCGACGCACCAATGCAGCCTCAACAACGCCAGCGGGTTCCCAAAACAGTAAACCACATAGTGATACAGTGCCCAGATCGCAAAAAGAAGGTGGCCGGTGTCCATGAGCCTGCGGTGCGACACAGTCTGTGTCAGCCGCGGCCTCCGCAACCAAATCTGAGACAGACCAGATGAAGCCGACCTGGGACACGGTCAATCAAGCGGGGGCACCGACGCAGACGGGACAGGACATCACGCACGTAGAGTTTGATTGCCCACGGATCGTGGTGGTGGAACTTGTGCAGGTAGAATATGCCGTGGAGCGTGCTGATACCGTAGACACTACCCCAGACCTGCGATTGAGACCGTGCCGTCCACCACAGCACAGACGCCACTCACAACGCAGAGAAGAGGACGCCCATCAACAACGCCCCAAGCGTGGCCGGAAGCGAGATCGCAGGGACGGTCGGGTTCGGGGCCGCCATGGATTACGAGCAGAAGGGAAGGGTCGAGAGCAGAGCTGGCGTCGCCCCTCCCGTCCTAAATATTGTGCCCGAGTCTCTCTAATGAAAAGGGGCGCCGGAGGGGACCGATCGTTCCGTCGCGCAACTCCACACCACCCATTTTGGGACGGGGGCTGCCACGGTCAGCCAGCGTCTGTCATCGCTCGCCGCTCCGGACAGCGTGGCTTGGCGGCGTCATCGCCCTGCCGCACCGTGCCGCAAGCACCCGGGCTGTCAGTTGCGAGTAAGTACCTGGCCTGGACGGGCCCTACCCGAGCGCGATTGCGCCGGGCGTCGAAATAAAAACACATCAGATCCATCCTCGACGATTCCTACTTACATACTTACTCCTCCTCTGCCTCCCGCGGCCATCGCACACAGCCCGGACAGCCCGGAGTTTCGATGAGCCCTGGCCGGGTCGTACCCCGCCGCCCGGTCAGAAAAAAAACATTTCTGCAATGACTTCTGCGAAGCCAGAGCGTCATTGCGGCCATCTACGCGAAATCCCGAGCAAACCAGCTCCCGCTGCTCAGCACGCAAGAGGCCCTTGCCGGGGGCATGTTAGAGTGAGTAGCAGCAGATCACGCCTCAAACCAAAATCGGGGGCGGAGAGGAGCTGGGCTGTCTCGTGCGGAACAGAAGGCGGGTCTGATGATATCAATTCCAGCACCGTTACATAATTGAATTTGCAGTGCTGGATTCATGCATGATCACCGTCCGTTCGACAGGAGGGTGAGCGGGGGAGTGCTGCTGCCTTGCGCGTAGAGCTGAGAAGCGCTCCAGATTATAATTCCTCTGGCAAGCCGATCTGCAGCCTCCCCCCTGCGTCAACCTCAGGTATGTCATGCAAGTTGTCTAGGTGATTCCGCTCGATCCAGATCCAGCGTCTCCTGTTCCCAGATCACCGATCTCGGTGGGTCGAAAATGATTCCCGCGGATCCCAGATCACCAGACGAGATGATGGGCGTGCAGATCCTGCGAGGGACCCACGTAGGCTGGAGGGCCGCTGCCACCGCGGATGAGGGGGTAGCCCGGAGAAAGAGAGGGACGGCGAGCGTGTCCCCTCGTCCCAAGCGCTACATGTTCCCAGTGGCCTGTCCCAGGACACTCCGGCCCGAACGGTGCGGGGCCTCCTGAGCGCGGGTGTCCAAGGTCTTTGATTTTGCCGACGTGGGTTGGCGTCGTGCGCTATCTCAGGCCCCAGGACCTCGTATTTATCTCTCGATTTATCGGAGAATAGTGCGCCATGCATGCTGCAAATTCACCCTCCGACCGCACGACGCGTCGATGCAGCATCCGTATCTAGTCACGTGGCCGTTCAACCGATGCTTGCCAGCCGCCGTATGAATTGATACACATTCCAGACGCGCCACAGGGCGTCCGACATGCGGAAAATTCCTGAAACCATTCGACTTGTCTGCTCCTATTGCTGGTCATGAGGAGTTACTCAAGCATCTTCCCAGAATAATTCTGCGATTGAGTTCGACATCTGCGGATTGGACACTGAAGCGACAGGACGTTGTTGTCCACCTTGAGAATTACGAGTGCCCCCCTTCAACGGGTTTAATGAACTTTGGAGATTCCTTTGGGGTCCATGACTCACATGTGGTTCGACGTGGAGTCTCGATGGGCAGTCTTGCTGATCGCTGGTACTATGTGCCATTTTACGAGAGAACAACCCTGGGTCGCAAATCGGAGAGAATTGGTACTTACCCTCCAAGCCAGTGTCTTCACCCACAGGTGCGTCTCCTTGCAGGATTTCAAACGCTTTCCAGTCGTTTCCACGACCACCTCCGTCAGATTCGCGACTGCGACTGGCCGCGAACAGACTACGGGGTTGGGCACGTTCAGGCCCCCAGAACATTTTTCACAGGAAAGATCCGAGAGGATGAAAGCCCCGCGTACAAATTTAAACTGCGCGCTCAGGCCTGGAATGGTCACCACTGGCCTCATTGTGGAAGTGTAATGACTGGGGGTGAAAATCGCGAGCGCTGTCGATAATTCGACGCAGCAGTCACTACCTTATTCGTCCGAGTTTCAAATGATGCCTCGAAAAGTGGCCTCATCTTTTCAAAGCGCGGGTAAGAGATACAACTTGCCAGGACAGGAACGTCATCATCACTGCATCGTGTGTCGTCGCGAGGGTTAGGGTCACGTTACTCTGTCCGCCTCGTCTATGATGACTCATTGCAAGTGCTAGATGTCGTACGGCCAATACAACTACGCTGCCGGGTAAAAATCGAGCGATGTAGCATGGATTCTTACTTACGGACTACAGACCTACGGCATCACAGCACTATCCGTTTCAATATCCCGAAGAATACGCCGAAACGCTAGGAGGCCAAACACGTTCGCTCCGCACCGAGCTCCTATCCCCCATATCCTCGCATCCATCTTTGACACCTCCTCCCGACGTGCCGGTCTACACCGTGCCCAACACCGCGCCCCACACCGCGCCCCCACCCGAACCCGAATCTGCACCCGCACCCGCGCCCGAACCAGAGTCTGATGAGCTCGACCCTGCGCGTGGGCGCTCCTCGCGGCATCGCGGCCCCTCAGCCCGTTTCCAGCGCGAGCGCGAGCAAGTGCACGCGTCCGCCGCCGCGACCGAAGTCCTCGCGTCCCTCATCGCGAAAGAATACGAGTGCCTGCGCCTGCGCAAGTACCTCAAGCACGCGCTGGCGCGGCTCGCGGCGGACGACGCGCGCGTGTCCGAGGCCGAGCGCGTCACGCAGCACGCGCTGGACCAGCTGCGCGCGGTCACGGACGCGAAGCTCGCGGCGGAGCGCATGCTCGCGGGGGCGCAGGAGCAGCTGCGGATGTGGAAGTTCCAGCACGAGCACGCGCAGCAGGAGATCGTGCGTGCGCAGAGCGTCGTGAAGCTTGTCGAGGAGCAGAAGGAGGATGCGGAGCGGGACGCTGCGGCGGCGCGGAGCTCGGCGCGTAAGCTGCAGCATCGTGTCTTGGTTGCGGAGGCGATGGAGGAGGGGAGGAGGCTGGGGTATGACTCTGGATTGCGCATGGCGCAGAGAGAGCTGGAGCTGCTGGGGGTTGCGAATGCAACTAAGAGTAAAGCCGCGCAGCCTCCTCTTCTTATGGCCCCGAGTCGGCCTCCTTACGAGGCTCAGTCCCCGTACCGGGTTCCACCGATGGAGAGCGGCGAAATTGAAGATTTGAGCGATGTTTCCGACGATGACGATGACGATTTCGAGGAGATGTTGGCCCAGAATGCTTCTGCTGCTCAAAAGCCGGCCGTTGCTGCTCCGCAACCGGTTCTGGCAATGCCCAGTCCTGTGCATCCCGCCCCTCCCGTTCTAGGCAGCACCATACCCATGTCTGCTCGGTCGCCATCGATCCAACTGGACCGTTTCCCGATAGAAATACCCTCTGCATCGGTGTTGAATGATGCTCCTCCCCCGGTGCAGTCGCGCCGTCCTTCGTTCAGGCGCAAGCCAAAACAACCCTCCCCTGCACCAAAGCCTCCGCCATCTCTCGCACCAAGACCTCCACCGTCTCCCGCGCGCTCCGCCGTTGTGCTCCCGCCGCCCGCGAGCCGACTACCGGACAACTATGTCCCGCTTTCCACCGAGAGTGGCATTGTGCTTCCACCGCCGTTCCATCTGTCGCAGACTCTTTTGCCCCAGATTCCATCACCTGCTTCCGAGATTGCGTCCGCTTGGACGGATCTGCAGACAAATCGAGCGCAGGTACCCGCGCCGAAATACAACTACCGCGGCCCTTCACCTGACCGAGCGAGTTCTTATGTGCCTGAGGGACAGCAGCGGGCAACGTCATCTCATGGGCACAGACCGAATGAGCACTCCAGCGGTGCTCATCGACAGCCTGTGGCATCGACCCATTCTCGCAGACGGTCTGAGCACAGACCAGGTTCGGATGCCGATGCGTTTTCGTATACCCATGCGTTGCAAGTCGGCGGAGGCGGCGCCGAGCCGACCAGCGGACGCAATCTGCGCCGGAGCAAAGACAAGCGACCGATATCGCCTTCCTCTGCGGGATCGCCCAACTACGGAATTCTGCAGACTGATCTTCCGAGTTTCGGCGCGCAGATGCACTACTTGCAGCAGCAGCAGCACGCGCATGTTCTCGAGGGGTTCATTCCACAAAGCGTCACTGTTCCGGCGCAGGTTACCATTCCAGTCAGCGTGCGAGGCAAGACGATATCTTCGCCTGTGGGAGAGGCCGTCGACGGCCGGGGGCGACCGATCTCCATCATCAGTCGCCCCATTTCCGTGGGCAGCCAGCGACCCGTGTCGGTTATGAACCCACGGCCCGTCTCCGTCGCCGAGCCACGGCCGGCCACTCCCGCCCGACGCCCCGTCTCCGAGCTCAGCCACGCGCCAACCGAGCCGTGGCACTCCGGCGCGTCGCTCCAGCCCGACCCGCTCCCTCCCCGTCCGCGCTCGCGGGTGAGCATGCACTCGAACGTCGGGCCGACGCTGACGGCGGGCCCGGCACTAACGCGCCAGGCGTCCCGCAACTCATTGATCTCGAATAGCTCGTACGCACACTTTGAGCCGGCGTCGTATGTGGACCCTGCGTTCTATGCTGTCGATGGCCATGGGCCTGGGCGAGGCGGGCATGGGCCTGCTCGTTCGGTGCGCTCTCGTCGGGCGTCTGATGCGTCTGCGCTTTCTGGCTTGTCGTATATTCCTCAGGCTCCTATGTATTGATCGCTTGTGTATAAATCTCTCGTGCGCGTATGTATCCGTATGTTCCAGTGCACTCCCATCAAAATCACGTGCCAAACTGCATGGACCACTTCTGAGCGACTCATCGCAGCCTGAGGATCGGCTTGCCCGTGGATTTTCTCGTTGGCCTCCATCCTCAGTCTCGTGGAATTCGGGACTTTATTCTCAGATTTTTGGAAAGAGTTCGACGGGTCGAGAAAGGAGCCCCATATCTTATCAGACACAGCTTATCGGTCCGAGCCGACGATTTGATGTGCGCGGTGGTCACAGTCAGACTTCATCTTGGTCTTGGTCCTTGTCTGGGGCTGCATATACACATCGCCCCAGCTATTACAAAAAAGCGTCCTAGACAGATGCTGCTGCTTCAGCTCCTCTCCCCCCTATTCATCGCGCCGATAGCCCTCTCAGCAACCCAGCACCCCTTCAAAGCGCCCGTCCCACCCACCACCCCCAACAAAATCATCACTCCCGAGATCGACGCGTGGGTCACCACCCAACTCGCGCGCTGGAACTCCACGGGCCTCTCCCTCGCCGTCGTGCGCAAAGACGCCGCGCAGCCGGGCAGGTGGGCGGTTGAGTTCGGCTCGTATGGTTTCGCGCGGCAGGGCGTGCCGGTGCGCCCCGACACGCTGTTCGCGGTCGCGTCGGACAGCAAGCTGTTCACGGCCGTCGCGGTCGGGCTGCTGGTTGCGAACGAGACGCTGGCGGGGCAGCGCGGGCGGCGGGTGCGGTGGGACACCCCCATAGGCGAGCTGCTGCCCGAGTGGGGCTTGTGGGACGCGCGCGCGGCGCAGGTCACGCTGCAGGATATGCTGACGCACAGGACGGGGATACCCCGCCACGAGTACTCGGGCCAGGTGCGGGGCGGCGGGCTTCCTGAGATGGTGTGGTCGCGCTCCTTCCCCGCTTGCGTATGAACTCAAATCGTGATCCACGAGGACAGATATCTACTCTGCGGCATCTGCGCCCGTCTGCCTCGCTCCGTGACCGGTACCAATACAACAACCTGATGTTCGAAGCGCTGGCGCATCTGCCTCCAACACTGCTCAATCAAACATTCGAGTCATATGTCGAGCAGCACCTCTTCAAGCCGCTTGGGATGGACTCTGCGACATACTCTGTACGTGAGGCCGAGGCGGGCGGCAGACTGGCTCACGGGCATCATTGGGATATGCGGGACTATTCGCGCAATATCACTGGGACGCGCGTGCCCATCGACCCGTACTTTCTGCGGCCCGGAGAAGAGGTCATCTGGAGGGGAGCCGCAGGCGTCTTGGTCTCCGTCCGCGATATGGTGGACGTGCAGTCGTATATCTGACTTCCATTACTGATTCTCCCCAAGGCTATGTGGGCCGGTATGCTGATGAACGAGGGCCGGCATCCGCTCACAAACGCGACAATCGTTCCGAAAGAGGTGATCGAGCACATCTCAGCGGGGGTCAGTGTGGTCGCAGGCAAGGCTGTGCATCCTGAACAGGTGCGTGCTGAGAATTGCAGTAGCGTTCGGCGTCTTCTCACGATTGTAGAGTCCCAAACTGTATGCGTGCGCGCGAGTGCGGTATTCCTATCGGGGACACGAGATTTTGGAGCACGGGGGCAGCAATCCCGGCTTCAAATCCCAGTTCACTCAACTCACAAACAATGAGCTCGCGATCATCGCCATGTCGAACGACGATAGAGGGGTGCCTTTGACAGAGGGGATCAAATGGAGGATCCTCGACAGTGTCATGGGCCTGGAGCCGCTCGATTGGAATTCCAGGTGATGAAGCCTGAGTCAGTCTCCGCGTAAGCCTCTAGATCTGATCCCTCGCTGCAGATTCGAGAATGATATCGAGAACGAGAAACGGTTCCGTGGCCTGGGTACCATGGTCCCCCGTCCCTCACACCCGGAGCCTGCATCGCTCCCGTTCACCGAGATGCTGGGCGTCTTCTCCCATGCGGCCTACGGCCCATTTTCACCGTGTCTGTTCGACGCGCCGACGTCGTGCTCCGACCCCGCAGTCGAGCGCATGGTCCGCTTCAACGCGTCTCTGCACCCTGCGCCCACATTCGTGGTCCCGTTCAAACGCACGCTGGCGACGCACCTGCTCTTCACGCATTTCTCGGGCAACACGTTCAACGTGTCGGTCATCTGGTCCAACACGCAGGCGCGGCTGGACGCTGGGTATCCCGCGGGAGGAGACGTTGTCGTCGGTTTCGACGAGAGGCATACTGTCGAATGGGTGGGGGGCGCTCGCGAGGCGCGGTCTCAGCACGGATGGGCGTTTGGCGGGAACTTTTGGGGAGCGGAGGGTGGGTATGGTGAGGTGGTGGAGGGAGCAGAAGCTTGGTTCGGACGGGTGGCATAGATTGCAATCGAATGAAAGACTGACGATACAAACCGAGTGGCGATCCATCGTCGCCGTCAGTACAATCACTTGCTCAAATCCTTCGACCATCGTTTGCTCGCCTCCAGATCAGCCTTCAGAGCGGATACTTTCGCTTGGAACAGGGCCTGCGTCAAAGGTTTAATTTGAAGCTGATCTGGCCTGTCAAGCACACAAACCATAGCATCGTCCCCGAAGGCGACTCTGCTGGGCGGATGCTCCAACTTGCTGATCTCCCAGAAGTCACCGATGAGCTTGTCAGTGTCTCCGACGATCGGGGCTTGTTCTTCCAGCATGGCGCTGATGTCGTTGCGAGTCTACCACCATGAGCAGAGTGATCCGACTGCGCACCGTGGACGGATCCCCTCACCTGGACGGAGCCTAGTTTCCCATTGTCCGGACGGTCGTAGGCTGGATGGATAGGCTCCACCAGGGCGCTGGACAGTCCCTTCGTCGCTGTCATACGCTGAACATAACAAGCGACGCACACCGAAGAGCAAGTACGCACAGGTAAAGAAGCCGGGGCAAAGGACGGTGATCTTGATGTTCCACGCGGGGTCCAGTTCACGAGAGAGAGCGTCCGAGACGGCCTCCAGTGCTGTGGGGCGGGGGATCCAGCTTGGACATAATCGCTCGCTTGGAGCAGAACTACTGACCGAATTTGCTGTGTCGAGAGCAATCAGTTACGTGTTGAGTGTGAATTACACTGGCCTGGGGCGACCCACGCTGCGGAGTAGATCCCGATGCATGGCGGCGCATCGATGCCGTACATCGAGCTCATATTCATCAGCAGCCCGCCGCGGGGGCTGTTGACGTCGCGCATGAAGGCTACGCTCTGCTTCGCAACATTGAGGGCGCCCCAGAAGTTGACCTGTGGATCTTCGCTGCTCAGCTCGCTGGAGCCGAGAGCGCCATCCACCCATACGCACGTCGAACAGATCCCGAGCCTTGTGTTCTTCCGTCCCCTCGATCTCAGCGATAATCCCATAGCCTGCATTATTGAAGACCTGGAAAAAGCCATCATTCGGGGATGGTGAGAAGAAGAGGCAGATGGCCAAGAGTTCACATGACACACCACATCGATCCGCCCGAAGCTATACTTGGCGGCCTCGAAGGCTGCTGCAATGTCCTCGTTCTTCGTCACATCGAGCTTCAGCACCAGCAGCCGGTCCTTGTCGTATTGTGCAGCGAGATCTTCCAGGACCTGCGGCTTCCGCAGCGTAGCGACGACCTGGGGGGCGTGAGTCCGTGGAATGCGTGTCCGCTGTGGCAAGGATGGAACGCACGTTATCGCCTTTGGCCAAGGCTGTTTGGGCCATGAGTAGGCCGAAGCCCTGCAGGTGCATCGGATAACGAATCAGCGCTCAGATACTAGGTTGTCTGGTGCGGGAATGACTTACGCTGCTAGCGCCGGTGACTGGAGTCGAGTGTCGAATCAGCGGATGCTTGACTGCCACATTTATCCAGAATCAACCTACTGAACCAGACCCGGGGGTAGCCATGAGATACAGTTCAGAGTGAGATTCAGATATCGATGCAGGACATCTTCCCACAAGATGCCTGGCTTATCCTCAACCCGCCGTATGACAGCAGGCTTGACCCAGTAGCATATCGGTCTTGACCCATGCCGAGGAGCAGTGCTATTTCCGACGACAGCTGACGTACAGGTGGCAACTTCCACCATCATGATCATCAATGACTTGATGGAACTGGACGACAGGTGGCAGTGCGTTCCGACAGGGGGCAGTGTCGCATTTCCTGGACATCCTCTGACTAACCGTGTCGCGTAGGACTGGGAAGTGTGTATCCTGAGACGTCTCCGCGCATCTTCTAGCAGCATAAACAAGCACTCCAAAGAACTCATCCATCCGCTCCACAGCGCGCGTTGTGGCGATCGAAGGCAGCGGTATCCTCCGTCCTCCGCCCACATTAAGCTTCCACCCCAGCAATGATACTGCGCCAAACTGGTTCTCCCTTGCTCTTCACATCGCGATAAAAGTACATGACATACATTTCTGGCTTGGGTATCTACATCATCCATCGTCGATATATCGTAGGTATCAGATCGTCGTAGTCAAGGGGTGGACGAAACGGACTCTTGTTCTGGATGTAGGCCGTCGAAACGGGAGTCCCACGCCAGTGCAGTCCATCGGGTATAATCGTCAATCAAAGACGGCTTCGCGCACCGCCGCCCAGCGACTGCGGTGTGGGTATCCCGATGCTTGGACGGATGGAATCGAACGCAGCGCATATCGAGAGGGCGACGCTTGATGGATTCTCTTGCACGATCTGTACGTGCGTAGGCGGCGTGAGCAGAGGGACATCAAGGCAAGCGAGAGACGAAATGCACGCACCATATGTCCTCCGTCCAAATACGACACGGAAGCGATCATCCGTCCGGCAGCGGGATCCGAGAGCGTATCCTGCACCGGCGGCGGTCTGCAGCGGAGCCCGTTAGCCGCGAGAACAAGAACGGGAGCGGGAGCGGACAGAGGCTTACACGAGTTCGCTCCGCTTCGCCCAGACGACGTGGATCGGCACCGCGCGACAGACGCGCGCGATTTCGTCGAGCGCCGCGAAATGCGGCTCGAGGTCCGGGAACGCGAGCGCCTCGTCCCGCGGCCGGCACTTGAGCGCCACTGAGCCATCCGCGCACCGCAGCAACCCGTGAGCCTTTATAGTCCGGACGCGGCGTTAGCTCTCATCCGTGCGCTAGGCCGAGCCCAGAATGGGATAGGGGAGGGACGAGACGTACGAGGAACCGCTCGCGCACCCGCGAGTCCCACTTGCGCCACGGCGCGCGCCGCCGGAAGGCCTGTTCCGCATCTTGCGGAGACGCCCACGACCCGCGACGCAGCTGTGTCGCGGCGACGTGTTGTGGCGTGTTGTCCGCGAGGTAGTGGTAGTACACCGCAGGCGTCATGATCGTCGGCTCGATGAGCACGATCGCCAGGTACGGGTTGGCCGACCGCTGCATCGAGAGCACCCTGTGCATGTGATTAGGCAAGCAAGTTGGGATGGGGCCCGGAAAAGACGACGTACATGGCCCCGGCCCCGGCAGAATGACCGACCGCGACCATTCGCCGGCCATGCATCCGCGGCGAGCGCGCAAAAGCTCCTATCGCGTCTGCCCACTCGAAGGCCGCTGCGGTTCCGAAGAGAGAAATGAGCACCACGCGTCGATACGGGAGATGAAACGAGAAGGCAGGGAGAGGGCACGCACAGACGCCCATGGGCCGCGAGTCCTCGACGAGATCGCGGTTCAGCAGCGCCGAGTCGCCGTGGCTCTGCCAGTCGAATGCCCAGGCCTCGCGCACGCGCTGGCGCCGCGGCTTGCCGCGCTGCGCGAGGAAGGTCTCCGCGATCACGGGCTCCCACTGTTCCTTATCTGTGTGCACGGGGGGCGGGATCATCAGCGGACGGTCGGGCAGAGGAGGGAACGGGCGGACGCACGCGATCCGATGCAGTGCGCGTAGAGTACGCTGAGCCCGTCCTCGTTCGAGAGCGAGTCGCCCATCGTGTACCGCTTCGCGGCCATCCTCAGCACGCGCCCTGCCGGGTCGAGCGGGTTGCGCGGGCACTCAAACACAAACGACGTGCACTCGAGGGGCATGGTGGATGGATGGATAGATGGATAGATGGAGTCGGCTCGTAAGTGAGTAATGCAATGGAAATGGAAATCCTCGGCCATGCCTTCCCTGGACCTTTAAAGCGGCAAGCTAGAGGCCCGGAGGACGCTTCGAGATGCCGCCTCGGGATCGAACGCATCCAAAAAAGGCTTAAAAAGATTACTTGACAGCGACGGCTCGCGTCCGACGAGGCAGGTAGGCTGTTTGTAAAGCTAGTCACCGTCCAAGACAGCACGATGTAAAGAGCCAGCGGAGATCACTGGCCTTGGCTGGATATGTATGTAGACATACTAAACACAGACACTCTCCATGTCTTTCGTTCTCGCTGGCGGTGCCTGGGAGCTCCCGGGGCAGAGACGCGCTGCGGCGCAGAGGGAAATGAAATGAATAGAGAAGGGTGGTGCCGTCAGAGTCCCCCTGGCGACCTGGAAGTCGATTGGGAAAACACAGGTTGCCTGCCCCCCTCCACAGAAGAATTCTGCACAAGGAAGACGCCTCTTTGGCTTTATGCGCGTGACGTGCTGACGTACGCGCTATCAGAGAGACTCGCGAGAGTAAGGGGTGGATCATGCAGATTCGGGGGGGCCCAGGGCGGGCAGCGCTGATCCCCTCTCCTCCCACCGCAAACTTAGAATGAACGTGTGTGCGTGTGTCAGACACCCAACGCACCCTGGAAAGAAAACACAAAAGTAGCTTTCATGGTGGTGGGTGGGGCTTCTGGAACGCAAGCTGATGATCAGAAAGAATGTTCGACGAGCAACACACACACGCGATTCAAGAAACGACGGTGGAAAGAAACGACGCAGACATAAACAGTTATTCGACAACAGACATCCGGCAAGAATCCCGCCCAGGGTCCCGAGTTACTGGCCGTTTGTCCGCGGAGTATCAACAACAGAATTACACTTTTGTCGGCATCAGTGATTGGATCATAGTGGCGGTGTACCCGTCCATTCCTTCCCAGGTTCCAGATCCCCACACTGGAGCTATGATGGCGGCGGTAGAAGACGAATGGACAACATGGAGCATATGCAGCGCATCGTGCAAAGACGAACGTGCTGTTCTGCTCCATATCCATGCTGGATCGGCCCCTCACCGATAAAGGACTGAGAGCAGGATGCCCCGCTTCGAAACCAGTCCACAATGTCTCTCCGGAACATACTTTTCCCCATCGCCCTGACCAGTGCAACACTCACCTGCACACTTGCTGCCACGGATATCACGCAACTCTGGGGCCCGGGGTCGCCGTACTTTCCCTCGGGGACGTACACGGGTCCGCCCCCGGGATGCTCCGTCACCCAAGTCAATCTAGTGCGTCCAGGATCCAGAGTCGTCCCTGCATATCACGTGTGTTTGAATCCACCCGCGTTTTCAGATCCAGCGCCACGGCGCTCGGTTTCCCACGAGCACCAAGGCGGCGGCGTCGGTTGCAAAGCTGCAGAGGGTGGCGAGCTACACGGACCCGGCCTTCGACTTCCTCAAGACGTTCAAGTACGACCTCGGCGTCGCCAGTTTGGTACCATTTGGAGCGCAGCAGTGAGTGCTCTCGCCTATCGTGGAACACTAATCTCACTGGAGCAGATCATTCGAATCAGGGCAGCTCATGTTCCAGCGCTACAAAACGCTGCTTACGTCCGGCTCAGAACCGTTCGTGCGAGCTGATAGCAGCCAGCGGGTGGTGGACAGTGCGACCAATTGGACTGCGGGTACACCTCCTGCTCCCAGGCACTCGTCCGTTCTCGTTGTCTAAGATGATGCCCAGGCTTCAGCGCTGCGAGCCACGGCGCCCTCTCCCCCACGCTCACGGACATCCTCAGCGGAAACGACACGCTCGACGATTCCTCGTGCGCCAACGCCGGCTCCTCAGACAACGCAACGAGCGCCTGGCTCGCGGTCTACGGCCCGCCGATCACCGCTCGCTTGAACAAGGCCGCGCCGGGTGCGAATCTGACGGACGACGACATGGTCAACATCATGGGCCTGTGCTCGTTCGAGACTGTCGCGAGCGCGCCGTTCGCGCCCGGCAAGGGGGCGTCGGATCTGCAGCTGAGCCCGTTCTGCTCGCTTTTCTCCGTCGCCGAGTTCAAGGCCGCGGAATACTCGTCTGATCTGGACAAGTACTACGGAACCGGGTGCGCAGCTTCGTCTCGTCCATCCTACATTCACGAATTGGTGGTTTGAACAGACATGGGGGCTTCCTCGGGCGCGTGCAGGGCGTCGGCTACGTCCTTGAGCTCATCGCGCGGCTCACCAACACGCCCGTCCCTTCTCTGGTCAACATCAACACCACCCTCGACGCATCCCACGCGACGTTCCCGCTGGACCGCACGTTCTACGTGGACTTCACGCACGACAACGAGCTCGTGGCGATCTACGCCGCACTCGGGCTCTTCAAGCAGGCTGTGCCACTGCCGACGACCGCTGCGGTGAACGACGGGGTGGGGAAGGCGGGGCAGTGGGTCGCGTCGCGGCTCGTGCCGTTCAGCGGGCGCATGGTCACCGAGAAGCTGCGGTGCGGGGCAGCTCAGGGAGACTTTGTGCGCATATTCGTGAACGATGCGCTGCAGCCGCTTGAGTTCTGCAACGGCGGACACAGCAAGGAGGGGCTGTGTACTCTGGATGCGTTCGTCGAGAGCCAGGCTTATTCGGTCAGCGGTGGGCTGGGGGATTGGGATTTGTGTTTCTCGTGATTCACTGTTTGCGTGTGAAAGCATATATCCACGTGCCTGCGAACCGTGGAAATGTTCTCACGTGCGCGATTGTCATTTGAGTATCTGATATCGCTGATATGATTCTGGCCCGGTTAACACACAGATGCTAATGGTTCCATTCCCCAATCCCAGGCACGACTGGAAACGGTGTTTTAGCAAGCCGGTGTGGAGGTGCAAGATCTCAGACATACCTGCGTTATTCATGCGATGATGCAGTACTGCCCTCCGTTCGACGAGTCTCCCTTGTCCCCGTTGACAGGCGCAGCTCCCTCCCCGGGTGCAATCGCAGTGTTTCCGGCAACGGGAGATATTGTGACTGCTGAGAACGAGTCCATGGCGGTGGATAGGGTAGGGTCTGATGACAGGAATGGGGCAGGCTCGGGAGTCAGAGATGCTATCGATAGGTAGGTCTTACTTTATACCCTCGTGTGCGCTAGACAGAGCTACGCTAGGTGCATCAGCCAAATTGGCAGCGCCACTGTCATGCCGTGCCTGTGGATTTGTGGGCCTGTACGCCTCTGATCGATATCTCTTGTTCGTCTGGCGGTGTTCGACGAGGAGCGGCTGCCCGCCGTCATTCTTTGTTGATTCGGGCTTTCGCTGAAGGGAAAAGTATGTTTTCGGCGATCCGTACAAGCCTAAGAATCCTCGATCTCGCAACCTTTTTGAACGACGGCAACGATATGTGATACGGAATCTCATCATGCACGCCCATAGCAGCTGCTGATTGACACACACCGGATGAGGATCACACTAACCGGGTTGAAACGGCGGAAAAATGGACACGGAATACGGTGCCTTCCTTGGCCGACTCTTGGGTGTTGTTGGATGTTCACGAGACATTGGCATGTGTACGTTCCCCGGCTACGTTTACTGCAGGAGTTACTCTGAGCACTTAGCCCAACTCGCCTGGCTCCCTGAACACCGAGCCGTTGGACTCAAAAATGCGTGCCTATACAGGCATCATTTTGCAGAGGTACAAAGAATGTTCATACAAGTAGTCCCAAATCATATCCATCCGTGCCACAAGAGCCGGCTCTTAGAGCGAACTGAAATGAACTGATCGGTATTCAACCTCAAATGAAGGAAAATCTGAGCAAACAAGAACGAACGGGAGATGTTGAAGCTTCAACTGACCTATGCGACGACGCAGTACCGGTCTCCCCCGCCGGAACTGTCACCCTTCTCCTCGTTTACAAGAGCGGCTGTCTCCTCGTGGACAAGGGTGCTCTGGGAAGCGAGTGCGATGTATGTGAACGAGTCCATATCGGAGGGTGTGTTTGGTTTTCAGAGAGTGTGAATGAGTGTATGCGTTCGATTGGGAAAGTGAAGTTTTGAGGCACGACTAGGCACAGTTTTTATACCTGAAGGTACTCGTCGCATCACCGTCTTGGATCCCCTTTGAACACACGAAGTAGAACTACCGGGCTCGTTCGGTGCTTTGAAACATGCCGAGTAGATCCGAATGGCGTCACCATGACTATTTGGGTCTGCAAAATCTACATACTGTAGATTCCGCACTGCCAACCCCGTTCGCAGCGCCGCAACATGGTAAGGCTGCTAAAGCCACAATATCTTGCTCCTCATGCGATGGTGACTCAAGTAGAGAACTCGAACATATTTCGAGCCCGAGAGGGATAGCACACCGGAAATTCCAAACTGGTTTATTTTCTTCAAGCAGCCTTGTCAGTGCGAGCGGCCCATCCCGTAGCTTCCTTATAACTATTCGAAGGTGAACTTGACTCCCACAATCTCCTCTGACAAATCCCACAACTTGGCCGCATTAGCCTCGCAAACGCGCATGAGCGACTTGTTCTCAAGAGACACAACTGCCATTAAAGCACTCACCGGATCCGCGGGGTGCTCTTCGATTTTCTCGTTTGCGACGACCGAGTTGTCCAGGTATGCGCCGGGGCTTGCGGCGAGGCGCGGGTCGAACGCAGCAACCACGGTCGTCGCCGCGCCCTCGGGGATCGTCTTCCAGTGGAAGTCCTGCGTGTTGGGTTGGCCGTCCGGCCCAAGGATCCCTTGGCTCTTTATCGTCTCGAGGGACTCCTCTTTCAGGAGGAGCTTCGTCGGGATCTCTAGCGGAGGGAGGGTCAACGGGTGTGACATGTGGAAGCTGCTGCCTCACCTCCCGGATGCAGGCTGTACCCATTGATCTTTCCGTTCGACCTCCGCGAGAGCTCCGCTGCGGTCAGGACGTTGGCGGACTTGGACTGGGCGTACGCGCTGAACGCCTGGTGAGTCTTCGGGTCGGGCTTCCTGAGCGTCCCGAAGTCGGGGCCCTTGCACAGGGTGTGGGCGAGACTTGACACGAATACGACGCGCGGTGTGAACTGCTCCGTCCTGGCCGCAAGGATCTTCGGCGCGATGAGCGCGGTGAGGAGGAACGGCCCGAGGTGGTCCGTGGCCATTTGATTCTCCAGTCCGTCGACGGTGAGCTTGAACGGGCCGAGCGGGGCCGCGGCATTATTGATCAGGACGTGGATAGGCTCTTCGTAGGCGTTCACCTGCGCTGCGGAGGTGCGCACGGCGGCGAAGGAGGAGAGGTCGAGGAGGAGAGCGCGAATATTGGCATGCGGGACTTCCTTCTTTATTGCAGCCTCGGCGAGTTTCAATCTGGGCGTGTATCGAATCAAGTCTGTGTCAACGGTTCTGGCGTTACGCACCGCTCCTCGTTGTGCCCAGTGATCACAACCAGGTTTGCGTATTTCGCGATCGCCTGGGCAGTCTCGAATCCGATCCCGTTGATGGAGGAGAGTGACGTTTTTGGCTTGGCCAAGTGGCTTGTACCGGCGCAGAATGGCTTTTTTTGGCTTGGGCGTGGATTTGGCTGTAAAATGATGCCATCAGGGCTTGCAAGCCAAAATGTTGGCTTGCCAAGCCAACATTTTGGCTTGCGTCCGCTCACAAATAGTCGAATCGATCTTCATATCAATGGGAAACGGGGCATATCTCACAGTTATCTAGTGTCGGGGAGCAACCTATGTGCGTGTTAGGATCATCTGTATAATTCCTGGCCCGCTGTTCTCACCAGAACTCTTGTTTGATGACTTCCGACCGATCTCGACCTCTAAACTCTACATACGAAGTTCCTTATTGTTCGGAGAGTCCATTGTAATTTTTTTCTCATAGGCAACTACAATGTGACATGTCTGTGGGCTACTGCTAGGCGCGGACTTTTATAGCCACGCATATCGAGAAGATTCACCACGTCATGCGTGCGTTGAACAACGACGCTGTTGACGGCAAGCGTGGGGATCCTCTCGGGGACCGAATCGAGTTTCGTCGTCAACACTGTGTTTATGATCGCAGCATCCAGTTTCGTGCTTATCGCCGGGTTGGAGGAGCGGTACCCACGAACGCGGGGATCGCAATCACGCCCAAACGAGCGAGGGAGCATGACGATGAGCTCCAGCAGGGTCCGCGGCCACAGCCGAGGCCGAAGAACAAGAACTTCAGGAGGAACAGGCCAGCTGTGGCGCCGACAACGCGCCAGATCAGGGGGACCTCACAGAAATAGGATATTGTTAAATAAATACATCTATTACAGTCATGAGACGACGGCGCAACTCATTCAGTAGAACCAATTTCTGATGCTTGTCATTACCCCCGGCTTGAACGAGAGCTGAATCAGTGCCAAGCGTTCCGTAGCTCAAATAGTGTCAGGAAGTACTTAATTACATAAATGGTACCTAGTAAAATAAACCTAACTTCGGTGGGAGACCCAAAGCGTCGGGAACGTCGGGGACGATGTCAATCAGGAGGAGAAATTACTCACAAGCCACGCCCAAGCCCGCATCACGCAAGCCAAGCCCCGTCAGCCAAATTCAAACTCCGACAGCCGCTACAAGCCATCACAAGCCCCTCTCCCAAGCCGGTATGTAAAGTCTGGGTAGGCCATCTCTGTGGGTGTGTCTTTGGTGCGGTCGTGTTGTACCAAGTTGGGCTGCTCCCTGTCTGCTTTATACCTCGCCCGTGTTTGTTGCAACGGGCTCTGTACCCGCGCTTACGTGCTGATTGAGGGTCTCAGCGGCCCATGATGAAACTCGGGCTGAGCAATCCTGGGGAGTTTTTCCGTTAACAAGTTCAGTATTAGTGGTCATCAGCTGCGTGGTCAGCCCATCCGCCCTCTGGTCCGGACCAAAAGCCTGCCAGCTGATAAGCCAAACGGAGTCATGGAGTATATCTGGTCGTGGTATGAATCCGAAGATCATCTAGTGACCGATGTTGCCCGGTTTGACGTGTGCCGACTCGGCAATGAAGCTTTGGAGAAGAGAATGTTATTGAATTCTGATTCTCATCGGCATTGGACGTACCGAAAAGTCTTCGATAGGCTCTCGATCATACATAAGGTATGTCGAATCAATGCCGTCTTCAAAGTCATAAACCGAATGGTTTGAGTCATAGCTCGATTCAGATGAGAACACTGGAAGAATTCGAGAACAACAGGGAAGCTTAAGTACAACAGGTTCATCAGAGGCTGACCACATTATCCCATGTGGATTTGTATTAGACCGATTGTGCAAAGCCGCTGTGGGCCGCGTGGCGGCTTCACGGGCATGTGGAGTTGGCGGCTTCGGGGACTTGCGTTCTATGACATCATTAGACACATATGGCCGGTATTCCAGCTAGTTGCAAATTGCGAGGCCACCGTCCTGCATTCTCAACATGATGGGAAGTGGTGCTGTGGTGACATGCCGCTGTTGCTGGGAGGGTGGGGCCGTGGGCAAGCGGGGCCCGCTGTGCAATTGCTTGATGTTCCATGCAGTGCAAGTTCATTTTCTCTCGTCTACTACAATGAATACTATTCTTCCAACAATTTTGAACTGCCCAAGTTGTCTTACCATCATGTATAGTACCTCTTGGGTATGCCCGATGAGAATCCGGCGCCTACCTCACAAGAATAGCTGGCAAAAAATTGAGTCACAGCTACCCGGCAACGGCGGCATGTCACGACAGCTCCACCTCCCATCACGTCGAGAATGAGGGACGGTGGCCTCGCAATTTGCAACTAGCTGTCACTCAAGTAAACTTTCTGTATTGCTCGGAGCCACTAGAATGACAGGCAGGGTTGCAATTAAACTTTGCATGAGGAGAATTGAAGGAAATGAGGCCGACATCATGTCAAATCGTACAAGTAGGTAATATGATGTCATTCCCCAAAGCCGCCAACTCCACATGCCCGTGAAGCCGCTACGCGGCCCACAGTGGCTTTGCACAATCGGTCTATTGAATTGAGTGCTGTCCTACGCAGAGGGTGAAAATTGTTGGCCATCAGTAACCTCCGAGGCCTCTCACGGCGCATCTTTCACCCCAATAGTTTCTGTTCGTCGGGCTTTTCTCGCGATCTACTGTCATTTCAAGTGCCGTCAAACAGCACAGTTCTTCGTAGCTCCAATCAACCCTAAAACGGTTGCGGACCAATTTGGTCATTCAATCAGAGCTAGTAGACGACGTGATTGTGAGTAATTTCAAGATGAACTCGGTTCCCAAGATCTCCTCCGACAAATCCCGCGACTTGGTGGCATTGGCCTGACCTGGCCTGACAGATGCCCGTCAGTGATTGACTTTGTCGCAGACAATACCGCGCAGTGGAGATACGACCAGTAGCGATCACCTATAAGACAGAGTCTCAGCGAGTGTAGAGACACAGGAGCTGTATCATTAGCTGTACCTATAAGACAGAGTCTATGGTACAAGTCATAAGTAAGGTCATTAGATCGTAAGGGAGAATGCATACCTCAGCGAGTGTAGAGACACAGGAGCTGAGGATATGGAGCGTATAGTACTAGGTTTATATACCAGTCTGGAGCAGATATCATGATGTCATAGTGGAGTAATGATATCATAGATGAGTAATGGATGACGCAATAATGATGTCAGGTATGAGGTCATTGTGGAGCGAGCCAAAGTAATCTAAGAATACTACTTATGATGTCATGTCTACATACTGTGATAGTCGCTAATACAAACAAGCTTCAACACTCCCACTCGACTAAACAGTCGGATCACGAAGACCCAAAGACAGCCGATGTTGTTGGAACTTCACCCATGCCAAAGACTTTGTGAGCGTGTCTGACATCATCGCATCAGTCGGCACATGGTAAAGTTGGACATTGCCAGCTTCGACGGATTCTCGTACGAAGTGATAGCGGATGTTGATGTGCTTCGTCCTCCTATCATGAACTGGATTTACTGCCATAAAGATAGCGCCTTGGTTATCAACACAAAGAGGCGTGGATGGCAAGTCATATCCGAGCTCAGTCAACAAAGTGTGGATCCAGGCAATCTGGCGCGTAGCATCGCTCAGAGCCATGTATTCGGCCTCTGTTGAGGACAAAGCGACCGTGGGTTGGCGTCTAGAAACCCAGGTCACTGCACAACCGGCGATGAAGAAGGAATATCCCGTGGTTGAATGCCTGTCGTCTTTATTCTCCGCCCAATCAGCATCGGAATAACCGATAAGGCCTGCGCCAGTGGAACCATCATAGCAAAGTTGGTAGTTTTTGGTGCCCTGAAGGTACCGGAGTATGTATTTTGCCATGTTCCAATGATGTTCTGACGGGTTGCTGTTGAACTTTGATAGACGGATGACTGCATAGGCAATGTCGGGGCGAGTACCAAGCATGGCGTATAGAAGGCTGCCAATCAGTTGCTGGTATCGGGTATGACGGTCTTCATCAACTTCTCCATCATGCTTCTCGAGCACGATGCCGGAAGGCAGGGGAGTACGAGCTTCTTTACACGAAGACATCCGGAAACGTTCTAGAACTCCTTCGATATAGGAAGCCTGATCGATCCAGATTTTACGCGCTTTGCGATCACGAACTATGTTCAGACCAAGGAAATCCTTTGCAGGACCAAGATCTGTTATTTTGAAGCGATTCGCGAGCAAGGATTTGATACGCGCTATCTCCGGCAGATTGTTGCCCATAATGAGCATATCGTCAACATACAGCACCAAGATGATGACCGTATCTCCCATCTGTTGGCGATATGTGTAGACACCGGCGTCGGAGTATGTCCGAGCAAAACCAAGTTCGAGGAGGGCATTGTGGATTTTGATATTCCACTGACGAGACGCCTATTTCAACCCATAGAGTGATTTACGAAGGCGTGCCACCTTTTCTTTTGGCCATGACGAGAAACCTTTGGGTAATTCTGGAAGTTCCATATAGATTTCTTCCTCCAGATCCCCGTTTAGGAATGCCGTTTTGACATCCATGGCATGAATCTCCCAATCTTCGAGAGCAGCCAGAGCCATAAGTATGCGCAAAGATTCATAGCGCAATACTGGCGAGAAGGTCTCATCATAGTCAAACCCATGAACCTGAGTGAATCCCTTGGCAACAAGTCGTGCTTTGAAACGACCGTCACGCTTCCTGCTAAACACCCATCTGCATTTGACAGTCTTTCGACCGCGTGGGAGGCTGGTCAAATCCCAAGTACAGTTTTCCTCGAGAGAGTCCAGTTCTTCGCGCATTGCGCGCTCCCACTTGAGTGCATCCGGGCTCTTTGCTACATCCCGTACGTTTTGAGGCAAGTCATGCTCAGCTTGGGCAGCTGACAACATAGACTCAATGCTGCTAGGCCTCTGATACGTAGTTCCATCTGGCATAATGCGGGGCTTATTCCGACGAGGGCGGCGATGGGCAATCGGGCAATCGTCTATCGGGCCAGGCATTAGGGGTACTTCTCGCGATCCCGTGACAGGACCTTGTTGCGCGAGGGGTGCCGGTGGCGGTGGGAGAGCAGGAGGTGGTATGCTTGCATAAGGCGTTGCAGGCGCAGGATTATTGATAAGGTCAGGGAAGGTTTCCTCAAATGGTGTGAACGGCTCCGGTCCAGAGGACACATTGCCGGTGACTAGCTTGGACTTGGCAGGGAATACTCGCTCATCGAACTCAACATTTGAAGAGACTCGTATCTTGCGTTGATTCGGATCCCACACTTTCCAAGCTTTTGTCTCTCGTTCGTATCCAACGAAGATGTGGTCGGGGCGTCCATGCTCCAACCCTTTCGGGCGTTTTTCAACATCCACATAGAGAGACGCCTTGCATCCAAACACACGGAAATAAGAGACGTCTGGCTTCTTTCCAAGCCACAGTTCCGCAGGTGTTCGCCATCCCAATCGTGCCATAGGTTGTCTATTATGAACGTGGACAGATGCATCCATAGCACATTGCCAGAAGCCTTTGGATAGGCCAGCATCGAGGCGCATGCATTCCGCTTTCTCGTAGGCTGTGCGATTCCAACGTTCAGACCTCCCATTTTGCTGTGGTTCGCGTGGCGCGGACTTAGGGTGCATAATACCACGTGCATTGAGCCAGGCTGTGAGTTCATCGGACATATATTCGCCTCCACGATCTGACCGGAAGGCCAGTACTTTTGTGCCAAGCTGACGCTCTGTAAGGGCAACAAAGTTTTTAATCGCAGTAGAGGCTTGGTCCTTTGATTTAATGAACACCATCATGCCAAAGCTCGAGAAATCGTCGTAGAACGAAATTGTGTAGCGTGAACCTTCCAACGACTGAGTAGGCCAGGGGCCCATCAAATCAGTGTGGATAAGCTCGAGGGGTTTGCTAGCACGTTTCTCTGATGCAGGGTACGGATGCTTGTGCTGTTTTCCAAGCATACATCCATCGCACATGCCGCGCTGGTCTTTATTGCGTCGCAAGGGGGGAACACCTTCAACTTGTGTCGGCAAGTGAGTAAGGGTCCTCCGAGCCGCATGACCAAAACGCTTATGCCACAATTCACGATCGGTAGTTTCCAGGGAAGCAAGCGCGGTAGACTCGTGAGATGCAGACACAGACGGTGCCACGAGCTCCTCGGGGTAGTACCAGTAGCAGCGATTGCTTGCTTTAAAGGTCATCAAGACATCCCCATGCGTTTTTCCCTTGTTGAGCCAATCCTTGGTGACTAGGATTGCCTTGTTGTCACCAACCACGGTGTAGTAACCAGCCTGATCGAGCGCATACCCAGAAAGGTAACGCCCTCTTATGTGCGGGTTGTAGATGACATCCTTCAGCGTGAAGGTGTAGTCGATGCCACTACTAGTATGACCCCGCAACACAATGTCTCCAACGGCTTCATTCTTGAAGCGAGCTCCCGACCCAACGATTACATAGGTGTCGATAGGTCTGATGTTGTGAAGATCAGATCGGGTGTTTGTCATATGATGCGTACAACCCGAGTCCCATAGAAAACGAATTTTGGAGTCGTCTCCCATTTCTTCAACAAAAATTCCATCATCGATGTGTTTGAGGGAGTCACTCATGAGATAGGACGAAATGTGCATTCCATTGGAGGCAGCTGCAACCGCGGGAGCGGCTACAACTTCTTTTACAGCGCTAGTACCATCACCGCTCTTCTTTTCCTTCTTCTTTTTCTTCTTCCCCTCATCCTGCTTCCCCTTGCCTTTGTCAGAAGATTGACCAGTCGGCTTGAGGTTGGGATACTTCTTGTAGCAGGATGCCGCAACGTGACCGGACTTGTTGCAATGAGTGCAGCGGGTGGCAAGGGACGGAACGGTGGAAATCTTCGAGTTTGACGTTGTGTCGAGGTTCTCGATCTTGATATTCCCTATGACGCTGTTCTTGACATCGACTGGGTTCAGAGAAGCGATAGGACGATTGGCCAGGTAAGAGGTGACAAAACCTCTGCTGGAAGCGGGCAAAGCGGCGAGCATTAGAGTTGCGAAGAGGTAGTCAGGGATCTCGATTCCTCCTTCCGAACACTGGCGACAACGAGTCTCCATTTCCATGATTTGCTTTTCAATGGTATCACCACCGTGGAAGGTGGTGGTGTTCACGAGGCGGTACTCGACGAAAGCATCGATGGCATTTGGTTGGCCATAATCCGTCGCCATCTTCGCAAAAACCTCGCACGCAGTGCGCTCCCGCTGACCGTCCATAAAGATTCCCTTGCGCAGATTCTGGGTGATATAAACCCGCGCAAGACCCAGTGCCTTTTCATTGGCAACGTCCCATTGATACTGGCTGTCACCAGCCGTTCCAGGACGCTCCATAGAACCAGGGTTCGAGGTAGATGTGCCGTTAACCATAATATGAGTGGGTTTAACCACTCCCCAGGTGCCCTGATGCATGCAGATGCTCATGTAGTTGTCCGACCACGTATTCCAATTGGTGCCATCGAAGACACTCAGAATGGAGTTGTTGAGTTTCTCGATTCCCGACATGGTGGGGAGATACTCGATAACGTCGGCGGTTTGGTAATGAAGAGAGGGGAATTCGATATAGGGAGGATCACCAAATAGGGAACGAAGTTCAGGAGTCCAATCGTCCTGATGGTGAAATAGATCTTCGTTGTCGTGTTCACCAAGTTCGTATAGGTCTTCCCAATCGGTGTCTTGAAGGGTAGTGTAAGAAGGTCCCTGAGCCCAACGGACAACAGGAAATAGGATAACCCCAACGGGAGGGTCGTCTGGTGATGACAGGGTGATAGAGATGGAGACTAGAGCGACGAAGTCAGCCCCAGATTCTCTGCAGACCAAGAAACAAATCCCAAGTGCCAAATCTCTGAAACAAGAACGACCAAGCGTCCCCATCCCATCCATGATGCCCATATACGCGCGGGGAATGATAACGAAATAAAGCGGTATAGTAAGTGCCCATATTTGTATCAAAGTAACGTAACTATATACGTCAGCGGCGGCAGTACCCGACGGTGATTACTGCCCTCGCAGTCCGTCACTGGCCAAGGGACACGTGCCCAAGGCCGTCCCAAGCACCAGGTTTGGCCGCCCATCTTCTCCCTTTTAAAGACATGCATACACGCAGAGCGTCATTGCATGAATGCTCGTAGTGTCACCAGCCCGCAGGGTCCCTTGTGAGGAATGCGAGTCAATCCCGAAGGATTGTTTTGCCTGGCGGAGGGATTGACCTCCAGCAGCTGTTGAGAGCTACCACACCACCTAGGCGCTTCGCGCAAGGTTCAGGAGTGGGATTGACCAAAGGACCAGTGCCTGGTGGGTATGTCCGCTGTACAATAAAAAGATGTAACGTAAAACGCGCGCGAGCAATCATGGACGGAATAGCTAACGGCGCGTCTGCCAACTGAATGACTCCCTGACGCCGCTCGCGTAACCCCTTGAGGGTGAGAGCACAAATGCAAGGACCGACATCCAGCAAGTGGGACGAGCGCACAAAGACGGCGCTCTAGAAGGGCTGAACGAGTGAAAGATACTCGCCTTAGTAAAGGGAGTGGTTCGATGTTTCTTGATTTGCCGCTAGTGGTTCAGGCGGGGCCCATAACCTGTCGCAGACAATACCGCGCAGTGGAGATACGACCAGTAGCGATCACCTATAAGACAGAGTCTCAGCGAGTGTAGAGACACAGGAGCTGTATCATTAGCTGTACCTATAAGACAGAGTCTATGGTACAAGTCATAAGTAAGGTCATTAGATCGTAAGGGAGAATGCATACCTCAGCGAGTGTAGAGACACAGGAGCTGAGGATATGGAGCGTATAGTACTAGGTTTATATACCAGTCTGGAGCAGATATCATGATGTCATAGTGGAGTAATGATATCATAGATGAGTAATGGATGACACAATAATGAGGTCAGGTATGAGGTCATTGTGGAGCGAGCCAAAGTAATCTAAGAATACTACTTATGATGTCATGTCTACATACTGTGATAGTCGCTAATACAAACAAGCTTCAACAGACTTTTAGTTTAGGAATACAACCGCCATCGAAGCACTTGCGGGATTCGCGGTGTAAACTGGCTGAGAAGCACACTAACCGAGTTGAACCGCGGGATAGCATGTGTAGGCTCCCCGGATACGCTACCGCACAAGTTGCTTTTAGCACTGAGCTCATCCTGCCTGTCTTACCTGACTCCCCGAGCACTGGGCCGCGGGAGTCAAAAATGCGCGCCTTGAGACAGGCATCATTGTTGCAGAGGTACAAAGAATGGTCATACAAGTAGTACCAGCTCGTACCCATCCGTTCCACAAGAGCTAGCTCCTGGAAGCGAAATAAAATGAACTGATCGTTATTCAACCTCAAATGAAGGAAATTTTGAAAAAGCAAAGCACGAACGGTAGATGTTGTGTTCAACTGACTTATGCAACGACGCAGTACCGGTCTCCCCCGCCGGAACTGTCTCCCCTCTCCTCGTTGACAGGAGCAGCAGTCTCCTCGTGGTTCAAAGTGCCTTGGGAAGCGAGTGCGATGTATGAGAACGAGTCCATATCGAAGGGTGTGGTTTGGTTTTCAGAGAATGTGAGTGAGTCAAGGCGCTCAGTCGGGATAATGGGGCTCAGCTGAAGAACGACTGGGGAGTATTTATACCTGAAATTACTTGCCGTATCACTGCCTTAGATCTCCTTTGGATACACAAGACTGAACTACCATTGAACTACTGGGCTCGTTCGGTGCTCTGAAACATGCCGAGTAGATCCAACTGGCGTCACCATAGCTATTAGATTCCACGAAATTGGGTATGCTGTAGTCCGGTCCTGATCTCACAGCAATGATCGAGAAACATATCCACCCCAAGGGTTCTTGTGCAAAAAATCATCCGCTTTGACCCAGACTCAATGCATATTATCGACTGCAGACACGATTGTAAGATATGATATGATATGAGATCTCATCAAATGAATCATTGGGAGGAGCCCGGATCACAATTGTAACACTATTGAAACACCATTACTTAGAACCGAAGCTAAAGCTAAACGGGAGATCGTGATCGCGTGCAGGAGACCGTAAAAAAAAACATCAGATGGAGATCACGTGTCTCAATTGAACCGTGGGAAGCAGGGGGAAATTGTCCAGATCGCACACAAGGAAAGTGATCTGGGTCGGCCTATACAATTTAGCGAGAATGTGTCCCAAGTTGGATCATGGCCAACGATTTGAAGATGTGTGAGAAGAACGCGAAGATCGAAACAACGATGCCGTGGCCCATTTCATGCCCCGTTACCAGCTACAAGTAATTTGTGGGTGCATTATTGGGGAAAATGATCCTGATTATCGTCGTGCGAAGTTCTCCCACCGCCCGGCCTCACTCCAACACTGCAGGGGGACTTAATTTTTTTCTGTGGAAAATGCGTGACAATCTAGAAGTCCGATTTTCACTGTTATGTTTTCAGACAAAAAATATATATTGAAAATAGATGTTGATTTACAGCTCGATTTTTACCATGAATAGACATCTATTCCTCCCGAAAACAGAACTGTAAATAGATCATCTTTTTTTTTGATCGATTCCCACTGGGAATAGATGTCGATTCTCACTGAAAATAGAGCCAAAGAAAAGATGATCTTTTTTCACTGAAAACAGATTAAAACCACTGGAAGAATCTGTTGATTCTGGCCCCAATTCACATCACAAGTCCTGCAGCATGATTCCAACATGTTGTGAGTAGCATCCAGTAGCCTTTTGCAAGGCCAGGGATGCAAATTGGGGCCAGAATCAACGGATTCTTCCAGTGGTTTTAATCTGTTTTCAGTGAAAAAAGATCATCTTTTCTTTGTCTCTATTTTCAGTGAAAATCGACGTCTATTCCCAGTGGGAATCGATCAAAAAAAGATGATCTATTTACAGTTCTGTTTTCGGGAGGAATAGATGTCTATTCATGGTAAAAATCGAGCTGTAAATCGACATCTATTTTCAATATATATTTTTTGTCTGAAAACATAACAGTGAAAATCGGACTTCTAGATTGTCACGCATTTTCCACAGAAAAAAATTGAGTCCCCCCGCAGTGCAACCCCAAATCTACCGGTGCATAGCCGAAAGTCAGATATGCCAATCAGTGATGAAAGTGTTGGCATCAGATGCGAAAAGCCACTGATCACTGGCAGATCTCCCATTTTGCTACTCGTCGACATCACTGGGAATCTCGCGGCTTCCACCCTGCGCATAACGGCGTCAAAAAGTCTTTGCCACCGAAGAAAAGCTCTGAATCGAGCCTGAAATCGGCGCGACCGCAAGCACCATGTCGACGTCGATAGCAACAGATACACCAGCGGCGGAACCCAGCACCGGGGACAAACGCACCTTCCCGTCCGAGGCCCCGCCCTCGCTCTCCCCCGATACGGAGATAGCAGATGCGCAGGCGCGCGAAGACACGCCCGACGCGAAGCGCGCGAAAACTGAGCAGCAGCAGGAGCAGCAGGAGGGCACCAGCGCTGCGACCCCGGCCGCACCGGGCAAGAAGCTCACGGGAAAGGAGCGGCGGCAGGCGAAAAACATGCAGGGCGCGGGTCGGCGCAAGCGCGAGGGCAAGCGGGACTACACGCGCCCCGAGGGGAGTGCAGATGCAGCTGAGGGCGACGCGAGGGACAAGACGCCGCGGCTCCCGAAGCGCATGACCGCGCTGCTGCTGGGGTACTGCGGATCGGGGTACAATGGGCTGCAGATGTACGTCGTCGCGCGATCCGGGCCCGGGTCCTCCGTCGGTGGCGGGTTAGCTGACGTTTGGTTCCGTGCGCGCCGACAGCCAGAAGGACGGGACGGGTGTCACGACGATCGAAAATACGCTGTTTGATGCGCTGACGCGTGCAGGCGCTGTATCTCAGGACAACGCCAACGATCCGACCAAGGTGTGGGTAGTTGGTCAACGCTTGTGCCCTCGGTTTCACACTGCTCCAGGTCGGCATCGCCCGCGCAGCTCGCACGGACGCAGGCGTCCATGCTGCAGGGAATGTGGTGGCACTCAAGATGATCACGGAGGTGCCTGGCGTTCCGGACATGGTTACGCGCGTCAACGAGGAGCTTCCGCCGGAGATCCGACTGTGGGGGCTGGTGCGTTCCGGTATCTGAATCTCAGGCTCGCATTGTCTTACGCATCCTTAGGTTCGGGTGCAAAACTCATTTAATCCCCGAACGTGTGTCCACTCTGCTCCGTGTCGTAGGTAACACTCGCCTGACTTGACCAGTAACTGCGACAGCCGAAAATACACCTACTTCTTTCCGACGTACCTGCTCATTCCGCCGAAACCCAGCTCGGCATTGTATCGAGTGCTGACGGAACACACTGCAAGCTTCAATCCGCCCATCCCGTCGCCCCTCCTCGGGCACCCGTTCTGGGACGCCGCGCCGGCGGACAGTGCGGCCGCAGATGACATGACGCGGAAGCGCGCGTGGCGGGTCGGGAAAGAGCAGATGGAGCAGCTGCGCGCAGGGGCGCGCAAGTACCTGGCTACGCACAACTTCCACAACTTCACGGTCGACGGCGCGTTCAACGATCGGAGCAATATGCGTGTCATGAAGGCCATCGACGTGCGTGCTTTGCTCGGCCTTTGGGGGCCCGGGATCTGAATCAGTGCAGATCGCAGACCCGGTCGTGTACGGGGAGACCGAGTGGATCAGCGTCCTGTTCCATGGACAGAGTTTCATGATGCACCAGGTGCGTGCGGCCGTGTTACCCGTCGCAGCCTCGTTTGACATGCGAATAGATTGTGCCAGGTGTTTCTGCAGCCCCTCGAGTCGAAGCTGACACGTTCTGCAGCGCAAAATGATCAGCGCACTTGTGCTTTCGGTGCGCACAGGCACGCCCGCGGATGTCATAGATGAGGTAGGCGGAGCAGACTTGGCCCCTCGGTCCTTCTGGCATTGACTCACACGAAGCTCTACGGTCCGCGAGACATCTTCATCCCGAAGATGCCGGCGCTGGGCCTGCTGCTCGAAGAGCCGCTGTTCGACTCGTACAACCAGCGACTGGACAAGTTCAACGAGAAGCACAGCCCGGGCGACCCTGACTACCGCCTCCCGATCGACTTTGAGCCGTTCCACGCGCAGATAGCCGCGTTCAAGCAGAAGTACATCTACGACAACATGCGGATGGTGGAAGATCGGGATGGACTGTGCGTGGCTTGACTCAGAGATGCCTCTGACGTCTGACACCTAACAGCTACGACGCGTGGATCCGTAACGTGGATGACTACGCGGGGAACGATCTGTTGTACCTGAATCCCAAGGGTGTCATTCCCTCTGCGGCAGTGGTGAGAGACCGCAGAGACCGCCATCGGAAGGGCGGCTTCAAGGAGAAGCGTCTGTTCGATGCGACGAGTTTCCCGACTGGTGGGAAAGAGAGCGGCGCTGTCGACGATGAGGACGTCGAGGCTGAGAGCAAAACAGCGGAAATGGAGGGTTAGCGTAGCCTGTATTGTGCGCTTATTACGATCAGAGTGGCTGTGCCCGTCTTTGCTCTTGACCGCGATGTCCACGAAGTTCCGACACCGCGGCATTGAAGAAGAGGATGCTGCCGCCCTGAAGCTCGGACACGGTGCACGGCACTCACTCACGAAGACAGAGTCGGCCCGCTGAATCTCCCTACATTAGAATTCAACAACGCCGGATGTCTGCTCATCTCTGAGGTGAAGTACCTGCTCGAGAACCGGGACAAGGACGCGCCGGACACCAAGTGCGTTTTTCCGTGACCTGTCTGGAGGAAAGATGAAGGGAGGGGGTGGATGTGTGCAGCTTGGTGCTGATGCGTGCGCAGGGTGTATAACAAGACACTGGAGTACGTGAAGACGTTTGCCAAGTTCAATACGACGGACTCGGCAAGTGCGGTGCGCGAGTACGTGTCGTCGCCGCCTCCTTGCTTGAATTTCCCCTCTGATATGGTGGCCTGTCTCAAGGACGCTCCGACGCGAGCCTGCGCTCACGCAATTCGAGACGGCGCAGATCGCGAATCTGTGTCCTGGGTCAGCAGAGGAGGCGAAGAGTGTAGTTCCAAGGTGCGTTCCTTTGCCAGACCATAAACAACTCATTGGCTGAATGTGCTTGCAGTCTGGTGAAGATCGAAGACGACCGGCTCGAGGCGCTGTTAAGGGACATCCAGACGATGCGCAAGTACCAGTCATGATGGGAATGCAGACGCAATGATTTGGTCTATCTGTATATTTCCTCTGGTTGTACGCTACCTGTCGATTCCTGCTATGTTCTCGCCGAGTGGATGTGAAAAGCGATAATGCCTACGTCATCGCTATCAGCCTCTGAAACTGGTCGTCGTGCCTTGTCTGTTTTTCGCCCCCTGAGGGTGAGCACAGCCACAAATTTGAATCTTAGCACACCCATCAGCTCGAGCTTCTACGAAATCACTTTTCGTTCTCTGGACCACCCATCTGTACACGAGACGAAAGAGTCTCGTCCTATCCTCTCATCCTCCTCTTTGACGCCAAGCCCATGAACGCCTTGCCCTGATCATGGCGCCGGGCCGAGCCGCAAGGTGGCCGGAGGACAATCGACCCAATCCGTCAACGTCAAGAAACAGGGGGCAGGCAGTTATTATGTGTCAAGTGTTTGTGTCGCCTGCACTTTGCCCGTTATTCATGACCCCCACTCCCACCGTTCTTTGATTCTCTTACGGGGTAGTTCCACATGCCCAGGGTGATGGCACTTTTGGTCTGGGACCGATTATGACCGAAGAAAACCGATGCGACCGAATGCGATCAATTTCGACCAAATGCGATCAATTTCGACCGCACAAGCACGTGATCGCATCCACTAACTACGATACAACCCGAACAGACCCGAAACGCTCTCCTCAAAATGGCCCGACAATGCTCACAGAACTTGCCCGCCCAATAAACTATGTTCGTCCGCCACAATAAACTATTTCGACGCCAATAACAACGAGTCAGAGACAAGAAGAGGACCGAACCGAACCGAGAATCGTTTGCAGGTGCCCGCACCGGGCACTCGACTCAATTGGATGCAGGATGCGGGGAAGAATCAGATGCGAATGCGGACTTGTGTGTGCTGACACCCAATCCATACAGGGCGGCGGCTGAATGAACAGACCCAGAGTAGGGAGCGCGGCAGCCAGCCAGAGATCGATCGATCACAAATATCGATGGGCCGGGAAGTTCTCAGAGGGAGCCAGGACGGTGCGTAGAACCGAACGAACTGTATAACATGATATGCTTACAGGGTACCAGAGGTCTTTCTGTTTGCCGAACTCTGGATCTACCGATGCACTCGCTAATCATCGCGCTCCTCGCTAATCATCGCTGTCAGCTCGTGAATCTTGCGAATCTCGCCAATCGAAGACTGGGTTATGCACTATGGGTCCATCTGTGTAGCATACTACCTCTCGAATGAATGTCTTGGCCAGTCAAGCAACGCAGCGGCAGCGCTTATGTCTCTGAATCCTTCAAATCTCCTAATCTCAAACGTTTTGCAATACTGGTAATGTGTACAACGGGGATCTTCAGTTCTCGATGCAACGTAAACACTGACATGACTCTTGAAGCAAGCTGGACCCCATCTGTTCCTCTTCACGCATGCTCTACTCTATGGTGAGGAATGATCGGGGATTTGACTTCAGTGTGACACCGCTTTGTATCCGCCCCTCTCTCTCGTTTTCTACTGTGCGCTGCTTGCTCAATGTCGACCTTCAACCATAAGGCTGTATTAGCCATCCTTGCTGGATTACAAGGGACAAGGGCTGACCGAGCTGTATTCGAACGGAAGTATGAGGAGTCGGTAGGTTTCACAGCGAGTTTTATCCGAGCCAGAGCTGTTGTGCTGACTATGGGACCATTTGACTAGGTTCAGCGCCGTTTCGAAAGCTGGAAGACCAACCGCACATCACAGTCAAGATACGACCCACAGCTGCTCTTCGAGGCTCAAGTCGCTGCCTATGTCGACTACATACATTCTGAGACACGAGCAAGTCGGAAGGTCAAGAACTCCAATGCGCTCAGTAACCCACGGATCTTGCGTGCAGGAATACCGTTCTACGGACCAAGATTCACACCTTGCACCTTTCGTGAACTGCAGCTTCGTGGAATCAACACAGCGAGCGCCGAGACTGTGTACCTTCGCCCAGTCACAGTCATTCACCCGGTTTACTTCCCTGAACTGGGAGATTGCCCGCATTGTGGCTCTAGTAACACTTCGTGGGACTCGTGGAACTCGACTGGCTCTCGTGAGGTCCATGGACTACAGTATGAGGAGAGCGCTCTTGGATATCAACTGCGACATGAGGGATGCACCCCGGATGATGTTAGTGGGGACGGCACAGATGTAGGACGTGTCCGCAATCGCTCTTTCTCGTCAACAAATAAGATCTTTTGGAAGAATTGGGAGCATTGGAAGATCCCTCGTGCGTGTTTTCCCCTCAAGCTACTCTTGCTGGTCTAATACAACCGTTTGGCTGTCACTCAGGCGGTATCCCTCACTTCTTCACCCGCTGTGCAGTTACACGAGAACTTTATGATGTGATCATTGAACTCCGACCATCTACTACGTCTAACGGTCTTGGTGAGAACATTAAACGTGAGTGCTATTGATCCAAATGATCAAGCTGCTTGACTCAATGCTGGACAGAACTTCATCTCCTTGAATATCATCGCCGGCTTCGTGAATACCTCCAAGCCTACAAGGCCACTATCTCGTCTGGATCCCTTGTCGGGTTCTTCAGAGCTCCTGATCTTCCCAACTTCTCCAGTCCCACTGAAGACCATGGCTATCGTGACGCAACCATATCTAATGATGTGATCACTGAAGTCTATGTCGAGTTTTCGAGGCAGACTCGAGAAGCTGAGTCGGCCGTATACCTCCGAAACACGTCAGGCATGTATGCGTTACCATTATACTATCTGAAACTAATGTGTAGCTCTGCACTACCAGGTGCTGCAATCAGTCTCGACAACACATTCAAGAGTGCATCGAAAGCAACAATAACAGACCCGTCGAAAGCTCGTATCAAGCTCTGGAAGGGTGGGGTCTTGAGTGTCATCAACGAGTTCAATGAGATCATCTCATGGGTACGTTTATGGACTGAATCAAGTTTTTGGATTCATCACACTCAACTCCTCAGCGGTTCTGTCAATCTGCATCTCCTGCTGAGATTTTCGAAACACTAGAAGGCCTGAGAAGGCGCTGTGAGCAGCTGGGTGTAGATCTTCCCGAGATGGTAACCGTTGACAACTGCTGTCAAGTTCGTAGCAAAATTCTTGAGTCCATGCCCGGAATCGACATCTGCCTTGATACATATCACTTTATAGTGCGGTAAGTCACAGGATCATTCTCCGTCTGAGAACCGGTCCTTATTCGACATTGATGATGGCAGATACCTTGTCGCTCTCTTAAATGGTGCAAGCAATCCATATCGAGCTCGAATTGCAATGGAAATTCGAGATGCCATTCTGAAACAACCCGCCTCAAAAGGCATACCGGCCAAGTATCGGAGCAAAGAAGAACAAGAGTCCCGGATCATTGGCATCTTCACCATGTACGAGAAGATAGGAAATGTCTGGAGTGCTGCAGCCCAGAGCGTGAGTAAACTTGATCAAATCTCCCGTTTTCCGATCTACTAACAAGCACGCCAGGTGCATCAGGCTCAGCTCAAGCATATCCGAGCTGGATGCCTGGCAAGGAAGCGAGATGACATAGCCACCGATGGTAGTCGGATTGAGGGATCTCACAAGGGGTGGAATGGGCTGCAGCGTTCTCATGCAAGCGGTCTAGTCCTGCAGACGGCGCTGTGTCACGACTTTGTGCTACGGCGCAATATGCGACAGGTTGTTCGTGACACCCGTGTGGCTGGCTCTACAAGCCCGCTTCACAGCTTTGTCAGACTCACATATGGATCCCATCACATTCAGCTGGTCAACAGCAACTCGAGCATCATGAACGATGTGCTCAGGATTCATGCAGAGAGAACAAAGAAGAAACTGGATGTTGTACAGTTGTGGACAGTCCTACAAGACGTACAGAGTTTCGAGAAATTTGGGCTTGTTCACTCTGCGCATGCCGAAACATTTGGTGGGCTGATAGAGGTCAAGGACGAGGAGATGGGGGTGGAGATGGAGCTCGACTTGTCGCTGGATTCATCTGTCAATGACGACGATTCATCAATTCTCACGACTCTGGATCCCAGCCTCCATCCTCTCTCTTTCCCGAGTCTCGCACGCGATCCACGCATTGACCCAGGGCTGTACGACACACCTCTGCCAATTCCCAACCTGTTACCAGTGCCAGCTACCACAAGTGTTAATGCAAGAACGCATGCTCATGTCAAAACAGGCAACACCGAGTCCATGCTGACGGAGCCTGAAAGTCTAGGGGATGAGCTTCATCAGCCAAATAAAAAGCAGAAGCTCGAAGGAAACATGGTACGTGGCACCTGTATCCGCTATGGTCCTGACTCTGATTCCGATTTCATCTGGCTTAGGTCCATCCTATCTTCCACACCTCCAATCTCGTAGTCTCGTCTAATGAACCATCTGTGGCCTCGAAACATCAAGCTGCGTCAATCAGGCTTACAAAGACCCAGATTTTGTTCATGGCTGGAACGAAGACAGACCCACGATCTCTGAAAATCGAATACGGGAATGAGTTTTTTATGTTCATGGATCTACGTGCCGAGTACGGATGGAGATTGGTTAACATGACTCCGAAGCGCTGGATCGAGGCTACATCTCAGCTCAATCTCAAACTCGGACTCACTGGAAAGCTGTTAAAGAGTCCACGTGCCCTGCTCGACAAACTAGCACGGGTCGAAAAGGACATTTTACAGCGGATTGCCACTGGCAGCTTCTTCAATGGTGCGCTTGTTCCATTCTTACCCTTTTCCATGTCAACAGATGCTGACCTTGATACATCGGACAGCTTCTGGTCAGAGTGACAAGTTCTGGAAGAAACACTGCTTTGCCGTCGACCTCATCAAGCCAGACAATTCTAAGGGCCCCACATTGGGAAGTTTCTCGAAGACGCTCGATCCCTTATCCCTGGATGTCCCGAATGGTGCTAGCTCAAGCACCCCAGAGAAGATGGTAATCTCTTTCTCTCGATTCATTCTGAGTGTCCTCATTCGTCATCAGCGGAAACGACCAACATGCAAACGCTGCCACCAAGACATGTACGCTGGAGGCCGCGGAGGTGAAGAGAACCACAACCGTGGTGTCTGTTCCGATGGATTCAAGCAGAAGATCCCTACTGGCGAAGAACCAGTCCCTTGGCCACAACCAGCTGGTGTATTCTCAAAAGGTCTACACTTTCACCCTCGCGTGTTCTTACAGCTCGTACAGCATATCTATCAGAAGCTGGTGGTCGAGAAGCTGGGCACGATGGGACTTAGCATGGAGGAGGATGCGTTCTTGGCCATGTTCCAGAAGCCAGAGCGTATTGTCACAAAGACAGATGGTTCGGTGTTCTTCAAACTGATCACTGGTTTGAGCATCCCAGTCAACGACCGGATTCCGGACAGTTGGATTGTTACCGAGGGCAGTACAACTTTTCTACGCTTAGATCTACTCCACACATCAGACACTGGACCTGCCGCACTTGGTTCGACAAGCCTGTAGCTTATAGTCAAAATGAATGTTGTGTCAAGTCAGTGTGGTCTTGGCTGGCGCCGTCGCTGAATCGAATCGTCGAGTAGAAGAAAACAGAGGCACGCATGCGAGTCCGCTTGTCAGACAACATATGTGGTGTCGGAGCAACAGAGGGGAAATGCTCGGGCAATTCCTGGGAGATTATATCAGGCATCTATGTGAAGCCGTAACAAGATTGTAGCCGTCGTACTTACGCATAGTGCTTGGGAGTACACGGCTGACAGGCCAACAGGCAATGGATGACCATTTGGTGATTTGCAAGGCCACCTTCCATGGGAGGAGAGCGCAGGAGAGCAAGGTAGCCCGGGGCAGCGATCGAGCGAACGTTTAGTGATTTGCGATGTTGCCTAGGCTGCCTTCCATGGGGGGAGAGCGCGGGACGGTGAGGTAGCCCGGTGCAGCGACCGAGTGACTGTTTGGCGATTTGAGTTTGCCTTCCGCAGGGGGAGAGTGCGGTAGCCCGGGGCAGCGATCGACCCAATGTGCACTGATTTGCGGTGCCGCCTAGGTCGCCTTCCGTGGGGGGAGAGCGCGGGACGGTGCAGTTGCCCGGGGTAGCGAGCGAGTGACTGTTTGGCAATTTGCAAGGTCGCCTTCCGTGGGAGGAGAGCGCAGGACAACGAGGTAGCCCGGGGGCAGCGATCGAGCGAACATTTAGTGATTTGCGATGTTGCCCAGGCTGCCTTCCATGGGGGGAGAGCGCGGGACGGTGAGGTAGCCCGGTGCAGCGACCGAGTGACTGTTTGGCGATTTGAGTTTGCCTTCCGCAGGGGGAGAGCGCGGGACGGTGCGGTAGCCCGGGGCAGCGATCGACTCAATGTGCAGTGATTTGCGGTGCCGCCTAGGTCGCCTTCCGTGGGGGAAGAGCGCGGGACGGTGAGGTAGCCCTGGGTAGCGATCGAGTGCCCGTTTGGGAAGCCCTGGCCAAGACGATGTCGTTTCCGGCCATTCTCAAGCCCTGGGAATGACAAAATTTTCCTCTTACGCGGTACGTATTTCTAGGCCGTTCGATGGACTAGATCGACGAACCCGAGTAGAAGCCCTATTACGCGTCCTCTTCGCATCCACTCCTTTCTCTCCGTCCCAACGATGTCCACAACTCGACCTCGCCGACACAGCAGCAGCAGCGTCGCCCCTTGTCCTACGCACCAGCATTCTGAATCGTCCTCACTTGATTTCGGTCCTGTGGAGACGAAGAGCGATGCAAGCTCGCGCCGGCACAGTCTAGTCAAGCCCGTGCAGTCATCCCCATTCATGGCGACCCCTGAGATCCCGCTTGCAGTAGCCTCGACCCCCAACCTTCTGCTTCCGGTCGCGGTCTCCTCGCCCCTTCCACCGAGAAAAGTGCGGACCCCGCCGCATTTGCCACTGCCCCCCACACCCATCAGCCCCACGATTCAGCCTCCTCCACCCTCACCCCGCTTAGGACGTGATCGCGCATCGATGTCGGATCTCTCCGCCTCGTTCCCAGCCCCACCAACCGATTTCCTCCCGCGAGCCTTCAGCCGCAGCCGCGCCCAACCCCCGATCCCAACGCGCGCGAACACCGCGCCCTCAGCCGTGCCCCCGCACCAGCACGCGACAGACAGCCAGGGCAGCCGGCAGTGGCTCACGTCCGCGCAGGACGTGCCGCGCTTCTCGCGCACGGCGCTGGCGGGCGTCGTGCTGCCCGTCCCCGCGCGTGACGCGAAGCGGAGCTCGAACCGGGTGTCGCTCGTGCACGTGCACGTGCCTGCGTCGCCGCCGACGCCGAGGCTGTCGCGGGGGCACCGACCCGGGAGTCGATCGTCGTCGTCCTCTGGCGGTGGGCCTGCGACGCCGAGCGCCGGCTCGTCGGCGGGTCATACGGCGACGGAGCTGGATCTCGGCCTGCATGCGATGTCTGTGCTGATGTCGGACGACGAGGACGAGCAGGCGCAGGTTGTGGCGCTGCACAGTCATGGTGGCCATGTGCGCCGGAGGAGCTCGACGAGTGATCTGCACGATACGTCCCTTCGGCAGAAGCTGGTGTGGAGTCGCAGCCACCGCAGGTCGCATGCCAAGGGGACGAGTTTTCTGTCGTTTGGGTCCGATGACTCGCTGGACTCGTTCGTGCACTTTGGTGCCAGGCAACAATCGGATGCTTCGTCGACGATTGCAGCCAGTATGGTGACCATTCCGCTTTCGACGCACAGCCAGTGGGCTGAGTCACCTGAGCTCACTGGCTTGACGAGTAAACAGAAGGAGGGGGGTGGGACGATGAAGAGGATATTCAAGTCTTTCATGAAAAAAGGTCATTGATATTGGACATTAGGGCGCATACACTCTTTCAATAAATATATATGTATATAATCATACCAGGATCTGCTCATCCTGCATCAGTTCTGGAGTGTATGATGCCCACCGCTCTGTGCAGATTAGACATGATAAGATAAGATCGTGTGCCTGGGCGCTGTCAAAGGTGGGAAAACGGATCTACGAATTCAGATCTTGAGCGAGATTTTCCCGGAAGTGGCTCTCGAGTCCTGAGTTCGGGATTTTCCGGTGCCCTGACATGAGTCGGCGTGCTCGGGCGATTTACCGGGATGACGGGAACAATTTAATGGGGATCTCCTCAGAGCACATATAGAACCAGGCGGCTGGTGTCACTGGAAACATGCCGCCCTAGAGCCGAACGAGATCATGGAGTTCAAACTGATTAATGTTTGGAATATCCCTCATCAAAGCCGGCGCACTCTAGTTACGAGGATCGTCGGGCCTGCGATGATGTGCCCATATAAGGTTAGCCCGAAAATCTGAGATGGGTTTCGTCGGGCCGGGAGATATTGCTCTCGCGCAATTGAGTGTCGCCGGAGGGAGTTGGCCTTTTGGGTCAATATTCTGGTAAAAACCTCCCGGCATCGGCGCAGGCGTTGCCTGGGGAGACAATTTCATCATCAGCGGTCCTGGATCGTTCCCTCGCTCACTCCTGACGTTCTGGAAATGGAAGGCTCGGTTACCGGTTACCAATACCGCGATACAACGCAAACCGGGGGCCGGGTATCGGTCAATATAGGTATTTTAAAAAGGCCACGAGCACGGCGCCGGCTTTTTTTGCGCTCCCCCTCGTCGTCCAGCCCCTCACTCCACCCCGCGCTCTTCCTCCCCGCCCTTTCCTGTCATCATGCCCGGAGCGATGACAGCCAGGGTCTCCCTCGCAGACACGCTGGGCGCCATCTTGATGGGGGTGATTTTCTCTGCGCTGTGAGTCGCCTGTCTCGGTCTCGGTTTTCCGACGGGTGTCTTGCTGACGAGGGTCCGGCTGTGCAGGATCTACGGTATCAGCTCGCTGCACGGATTCTTCTACCTGCACAAATTCCACCACTACGACCCGTGGCTGCTAAAGGCTGCTGTGAGTGTGCCTCCTGTCGCCCACGTTGCCGGGCGGCCGTTCCACGTGCCTAGTTTGCTGACCCTTGGCGGGCTCGATGTTAGGTTGGAAGCATCTGGTGCGTTTGGCGTAGTCGATCTGCCTCCGCGCATGCACTAATTCGTAATGAATGGGTTTCCAGGCTCCTGGATACGCTTCACCTGGTGTTCGCGATCTGGGCGATCTTCTTCTACACCGTGTTCTGTTTTGGGAAGCCCGCGGCGTTGTTGGAAATTCATTGGTCAGTGGATGGAGTTTTGTTGTCCACCGCGGGATCTCAATCGAGTGCTTTATCTAGGGCCGCCAAGGTTGGTTCTCGATACTCAAGAGCGAAGGTTACGCTGAACTTGCGCTTTCAAGATAGTCGTCGTCTTGAGCGTGGGTCATCCATGTTGCGTGCAACTGCCGAAACTGTTTCTGACTCACGCTCCAGGTTGTGATCGTGCTTCTGGTCCAGGTGTAAGAACCCCTTCTTTCCTGGGCTCTTCCCGAATGCCGGTTTATTTTCTCCCAGCTTTTACGTTTACCGAGTGTGGCGTTGTGAGTGTCATCACGGCATCTCTGATCGGCATCTAAAACGGAGTAGTGAGCGGGCTGAAAAAACGAGGGGTGGTTTCAATCGCGGTGCGTCTTGACTTTTAATATGCCGTTCGTTCGATGGACCATTCAATGCCGAATGAAGATCGTCGCGGTGTTATGTGGTGCTGGTACGTCTCGTGCATCGTCATTTCCGCTATCACCGACCCGAACCTGATCGTTAGCGTTCGGCTTGCGTGAGTGTTCTATAAAGCACGTGCCGTCCAATCGTTGAACCCTGTTGGTCCCAGTGCTGGCTGTAAAGACGTACGCACGGCCCCGCCAATTCCAACCCCAGCCTGCTGATCAGCTCGCAGAGTCCAAGCATCGTCGTTTTTGGAGCTGTCGCGCCCGGATTTGAGTGTACGTGTGTTTTGTCCTGTGCGACTTCTGTGCCACGTGGTTTAACCATCTTGCGTAGGTCGCCACGCAGGCCTCGTTTGCCGTGGCCACAGCCGTCGACTTCGCCATCGCCGGGACCATGTGCTATTACCTGTACTCTAGCAAGCGGGTGATTCCTCGAATTCGTGGCTCGCGGTTGCACGTTGCCATCAACACCGTAATTGTGAGCTGTTTGGTGTTGACTGGGGTTGGCTGCTGGTAGACTCACTCATTCGTCTTCTCCCTTGCAGCACTATACGATATGGTGCGCTCAATCCAAGTACTACTTTACCACTTCGGTGTTGAACCTCGTTCCCTCTTCAGTTCAGGGCTACTCACCAGGTATGAATGAGGCTGTCCAGAAAATTGGGACTTCATGCTCATCCCGCCCAGTGTTACTTCACTCGCTTGTTTAATCACAGTGAGCTCTCTCTTGGCTTTCGTTTGTTTAGCTCAAATGTCTTGTTCAGTTTATCACGCTCCCTCGAACTCTAATATTCTTTGCACTGTCGTTCATCCTGACAAAATGTGCGTCTCTGGTGCTCCTTCTGGAGCAGATCTGCTCAATCTACGCACAGGCTACGTCTTATCGCTATTCACACTGCTGAATCTGCGGCGCGGGAAATCCCTCACGCCCGATGCGACGAGGCAGGCCGGAGAGTCCTCCAATTCATATTCTATGGGATACCGAAGGAACGGTACCACCCACCATCTTGACGTGTGTCCTATTTTTGTCCCGCTCCTATTCTCTCGCTCACCCTATGATGTCAAGACTATGCACGACCGACCGGTAGTTGTTGGCGTCCATGTTGATGTTGAGCGCGGGATCGACCCTGTTCTGGATATAGATGGGAATCTGAAAGCCAGTACGGACTGGTAGTGTATATAGTATAAAATTTGGGATGCCTGATATACGCGTTGCATATCGTGTCGACTTCAGTGGCGATGCGCAAGTAGTAAGAATCAGCACATTCGCATACATCAAGCTCGCACAACCAGGCCGATGCTTGCATCGAAGGTGAAAATGACTGGGAATCTGGTCGCAGCTTGTCTGTAGGTCTAACGTCCAGTCCTTCAATTGCTTTACAACACACGTGACACAAACAAGGCAAGTTAACTATTGATCCCATCAATCTCAATCTGACGAGAAGGACGCGTGACGTATCGTCTCTTGTCCAGTGACACCACCCTGGCTGAGGTCGTCCTCGTTACATACTGACCAACCCTCTTCGACCGATTTCCTCTCCTTTACCCTCTCTCTGTTTATCCGCAGCAAAACATGCGTGCCCCCAGTCTTGCCAGGTCAGTCGGCTTCCATCGCTCTGCCGCGGGAAATCAAATCTGACGATGTCGATCCTAAATTCTTTTCTCCCCTCTAGGACCGCTTCCCTCTTGATTACGCTCGGCAGTGGGCTGACCCACACATACCTTACTCTCCGACTTGCCTCGCTCTGGCTCGACTATCGCCCTTTTGACGGAGACGCTGAGCCGGCAGGCAAGGTCGACGGGTTGCGCGTGCTGTGGGCGTTGCTAGGGCTGTATACTTTCGCGGGTGCGACATTGTCATATATCGGACTGCACGGAGTGATCAAGGTGTGCGCTCGTCCTCTCGAATCTCGTTCTTGCGTCTCCTGTTCCCCTGCTCGGGTCCGGACCGGACGGAGCTTGCTTCGAGTCGGCGACCGCTACTAACACCGATCTTTCTTTCCACAGAACAAGGCCCCCCAAGTCCGTCTCTACCGCGACTGCGCGACCGCCGACCTCGTCTTCACCTCCTTCCTCACGGCCCTCGCCTGCCTGGCCGCCTGGTCGCCGACGCGCACGGCGTGCGAGACGCCCCAGCTCGCGCCGCTGCTGAGTCTGATCCTCCCGACCCTCTCGCTCATCGACGAGTCGTGCGAGCGCGCGCTCGCGCAGGCGACGGTCATGCTCGCTGCGGGGATGCTCGTGCTCACGGTCGCCAGGACACACTGTCTGCTCGCGGTGCGCATGTACTACACCGCTCTGCTCCGCTCGAGCGAGGGCAAGCACGCGGAGTTTGAGGGGCCCCGGCAGATCAGGCTGCTCCCGTTGCCGAGTGGGATGGACGCGGGCGAGGTCGTGTATGCGCCTGTGCGCCTCCCGGCGGACGCGGCGCCCCAGACGGAGACGTGGGTTCGCGCGACGGAGGCTGCGGTCTTTGCTGCCGACGCGGGCCTGCTTGACGTTGAGGATGTTGACTCGAAGCGGGATTGGATCTGAAGGGAAGGCTTCTTTCTGGTCATCGTGTGAAGCAATACCCTACTTCCCTCTATCTATTGGACTTGTGTCTTATGAGTACTACTACGGTACTGTATTCTTACTACGATATTCACTCGCCTGCTGCCGCTATTTCCGCACGCGTTGTTCTTGAGAGAGTCCAGACACCTTTCGCCCGGGGAGTGAATCTCTCTCTCCCGTCTTTCTTACTGAGCCTCGAGAGATGAGAGTTTTTCACAACGTTTTGGGATCTCGCCAGTAAGTATGGGCGTCTTCCAAAGTCACGGGCAGCCGGCACATGTGCGCCGTATTAGGCCGTATTATACCTGACGCGGGGCCTACGGAAAGCGTGGAGAGAACAGTAATCCCAGTGGGTAGCGACCGGGGATCACTCGTTCTCAATGCCAAGGGTAAGAGATGGAATTTGAAACCCGATACGAGACGTCTTTGCCTCCCACCATCCATGTGTATAAGGTGCGAGGACAGTCTACAGCCCTGGAATCATGGATGTCACAACAAAAACAAGACATGCGGTGGCGGAAACCCGACACGAGACGTCTTTGCCTCCCACCATCCATGTGTATAAGGTGCGAGGACAGTCTATAGCCCTGGAATCATGGATGTCACAACAAAAACAAGACATGCGGTGGCGAAGCCGCAAGGGGCAAAGTGCGTCCGTCTTCGGTAACAATGAGCTTCTCCCGTCTGTGACGCGTCAGGACGCACACAGGAGTCCTAATTTGGAAGGCACAGTTTTTCCCCACGTCAGTCCTTTTTGGGAGCAAGGGAATATGCTGTGAGAGCGTCAGGACGCACACAGGAGTCCTAATTTGGAAGGCACAGTTTTTCCCCACGTCAGTCCTTTTTGGGAGCAAGGGAATATGCTGTGAGACTCTAAACACCGGGATCACTCCTCGTATATAACCACCAGCGAGCATGCAGGGCATAGCATCCTCATTCTGCCATTATCCCTCAATATACGGGGTCCAATGATATGTCTGCAACACCGCATTCTAATCTATCATTGGAGTATATAGCTTGCTTGGCCAGCGTGTGGGAACAGGCTGTCCGTGGTGGGCTCGGATCATACAGCACTCACCGTGACGAAGCCGCCCGGGCAATTGCGAGGAACACGAGGATGTAACAAGTCTCCCAAAAGACCCAATCGGGCCATGACCAAATTGTGGCGATCCTGATTGCGTAGAAAAGGATCAGTAGAAAAGCAGGCGAGGATTGAGGACGAGGTATCTTCATCCTGCCATCCCTCGTCCCATCTTTGACATGTCTCTCACATCCACCGCCAAGACCCAACCTCCAGCTCAAGGCGCAGCATGTTCAACAGAGATTTCAGCTGCGCTTGTGCAGACGCTGGTATCCGGCCTCACTCCCACACCAACGATCGTAGCCATCATCACCATCATGATCATCATCACAAGTTGCCTCGTCTTTCCATTGTTTGTGCGACGGGCTCTGGTACGGCTAGTCCAAGAGATGTTGGAGGCGACACAGAGCGCGGAGAACTACTTTCTCGGGGCCGTCGACAACGGGCGAATGATGGATCGAGACGGCGAGCTTAAGCAGGAATTGGAGAAGTGCGTCCGACCGCTGCCAACAACACATCTTCCAGTTTGACTGATACTTATCGGCCTCTAGGACTCAGCTGGAGATATCCACGCTCCGGGAGGAGTATCTTCGAAGCTTGTTATCGTACCGGACCGAAGCTCTGTATTGGCTGGCAGGACGCGCCTTCAGATTGCTCGCTGCGACCAGGCGCGTTGGCATTTTGCGGATCCGAATCGAGGTGAGCAGTTCTCTTTTGATTGCGAGCTTAACAGCCTCAAAGCAGCCACCAGATTCAAATGGAACAGCGCAGTCGGGATCCCCCCCAAGCCAATCCGATAGCTGCTATCACACGGCGCCGTCGGTGTCAATGGACGGATCACCGAGCGGAGGTGGATATGTAGTCCTTACAGTACAATTACTGCCCAATGATTGAGAGTGCGCGCTTCCTGAATGACATCATCTTCCCGCGTTTTTGTTTCCCCGAGCTGCCATCAGTGCCATTGCGTTGGCGTCCGACCGTCACGTGTCCGCGTTCTCTGAATTTGGCGTGGATCGCGTGACTTCAACCCCCGTTCATACCCCACTTCCCTCTATCTATATCTATTGGACTTGTGTCTTATGAGTACTGCTACGGTCCTGTATTCTTACTACGATATTCACTCGCCTGCTGCCGCTATTTTCGCATGACTCGTTCATCGTTGTTCTTGAGAGACTCTACACACTTCATGGATCTCTTTCTGTGACTACTCATCTCACTTACTGACCCCGCAGATGTTAGCTTTCAAGACCGTTTTGGGGCCTCCCCAGTGCGGCGATGTGTTAACTTTGAGGAAGAAGTCACGGGCAGCGGGCACGCGTGCTCCGTATTACTTATGCCTGGCGCGGGGCCTACAGAAAGCGTGGAGAGAACAGTGAACGGCGACGACGGACTCAGTGGAATGATCACCGAGCGGAGGCAGATACGTAGTACTTGCAGTACAATCACTGCCCAATGATTAAGAATGTGCTCTTGCTGCATGACATTTTTTACGGGATTTTTCTCTGAGCCGATCTAATATCAATCGACTATCAGGGTCACTGCATTGGCGTGCTATCACGCGTCCGCGCTCGCTAGCGCTTGAGCTGTGTCTTCGCTAGCGCTTGAGCTGTGTCTTCGCTAGCGCTTGAGCTGTGTCTTCGCTAGCGCTCGAGCTGTGTCTTCGTCATGGATCCCGTGACTTCGAGCGCTTCCCCCGCTTATCTCAGTCTGAACATGAACAATCGTTCTCGTTGATTGCATGATTAATCAGGCCCAAAGAAATTCACGGCTCGGATCAAATTATCGATGTGTTTGTGACCGAAACGACAATCGCGCCAGGGCTCATCAGCCCAAGTGCACCGCGGAATGCTCTGCGAGTTTGATATCAAGTTTCCCTTCTTCAGTCAGGTATATTGATGAACAAGATACGGTGCGTTGAAAATGAGAGCCCGTCTAGATCGGGAGATGATTTCGGGAAGTGATGCTATTACTAGACCAATATCGGTTCGCCGGACTTTTTAAGGGAGGGTGAAAACCGTCTGCGATTCGGCGATTCACGACTCTGAAAAGTTGCCGAATACGCTGAACAGGTTCTTGAATGGTAACAGATGTTTTTTTGCGCTGGCTGGAATTGGCGATCGTGGATCGCGAGGATTCGTGGAAAGCCTACATTATACATTATGTGTGCAGATACACTGACCATTGATCTTGCGTACTACTCCTGGCAACCAAACAAAATGCAGGCACCAGAGTCGGACATACCTCGCCGCCCAACCCCGCCCTGAATTCGTCAAAAACATCCTCCAAACGGCCCGTGTCGAGGTCCTTGCGAAAAGCCCCCGCTCGAGCATCGATCGCGCGGTGTGCCACAGGATGAGCAATAGGTTGGCCGTCGTGAGCGCGTCGTATTTCACCAGCGGCATCCCCGTCGCACCGACGCGGCGTACGACTTGGCTGGGGTGAAGTCGATCCGGGCAAGCATCTCTGGTCAGTGATGGGAGTGTAGACGGGGGCGGTCAGTCGGCCGGATGCGATTAGGCGAAGGTCATGGTTGTCACGGG